TCTCATTTGTGTGTTCTTTGTTGCCTCATTAAAACCTTTCATGGAAAAACCCAATGGGATAAAAACCATGATAAGGAAAAAGAGTACAACCACACATATCATCATATATCTTCCCTTTGGAAGCATCTTCTTCAAGAGATGCATTCCAATAATCAATACCAACTTTTGGAGATTACTATGAGTATAACCTCAGTTAATAAACTCATATGATTATCTTATAATCTTCTAGGTCATTTAAACTTCTAGTCTATGATATTTTTTATAAGTGTATTCTTCAATATTTCTATTATAAGTAATTATTTCTTGGTCTATATTTGGACTTCGGCCAAACTTTCCCTTCTACATAAATTCTTGTAAATATATCTTGTATATATAAGTTATCTCATGCTCATTTTGCTTATCTTTGAAAGAGACCAACACATTTCTCAAATATAATTTAAAGTATGATACTTCAAGACCAAATGTGAGCATTTTTAATGCAAATCTTACAAGGATCTTTTGAGATTACATCTTTTTGTTAAACTGTGAATATGAGATATCTTAAGACAAATTTGTCTTTCCAATATCTTTTATCTAATTTCAACAATTCTTCAGGAATTTCGATAATGTTTAGATTAAAGATCTCTTTTGATCCATAAATTTTTATAAATATACACTGGGTAACACTTTTGTGATTGTACCCCACTGAGACGTATTTCTCTTCATTTGATCAAATAATTAGAGTTCTTGGGAACATAGTTTTGATATCATTAATCCTTCAGGAATTATATCCTTCAGGGACTTTTATAAAAATGTCATTATTTAGTGGGTCTTAAGTCAAGTTCTTCTTTCATTGCCACACTTAATGAACTTGAAAGTTGCATCCACCACATGCCTATTATAACCCACTTGTTTTACACTTTTAAGATGTAAGGACTTCTGGTCCAAATACATTTCTCTTTCTAAGAGATTTTAGTTTTGCGTCTATTGCTTCTTTTCGATTTGGCCAAATCATTACTTTGTGTACACAATGCAATAGACTTTGTTTCATGATCCTCTTTCTCATTCATAACATCAACTGCTATAATGCATGCAAATATTTTATTTACGACGTCGATTTGCTTTTATGGTTCCATTTTATTCCATACATGACATAATTAATTCTCGAGATCTCTTCTTTGTCTCAGGTACCTGAATTTCTTTCTTGTCATGTTTAATATCTCTTCTTGAGATCATTTCAAAAACATTTGTTTCCTCGGTTTAACCATTATCAATTTATGCTCATTTTACTTTACCGAGGTCACTAATATTTGGAACCAACAAGTCTATCACACTTCATGCGTTCTTTAGACTTACTAGCAGTTTGATATTGTCCTTCTGGGAAATCAATTATTCTTAGAGCATTTACAGCTGGTAAGTGACTCAACACTATATTTGGGTCAGTAATTGTATCTGGCAATTGATACAGTAAGTTTTGTGAATGAATTATCTTTTAGACTTTTATTTCACATACTATCGTCTGAGGATCAATGATAATTCATTCTAACTTTAATCTTTCTCCAGCTGTTTTATTTTCTCCCCCTGATGTTGGAAAGACTGAATCACTAAAATGACAGTCTACAAATTGAGCCATATTTAAATCCTTCATGGATAGCTCTAAATATTATCATAGGAGATTAATATCCAACATACATTTACTATCCCTTTCGAGGGTCCATCTTATATTGTTGTGGTGGAGCATTATGAATGTATTCTGCACATCCATAGATCTTTAGATGGAAAACTTTGGTTTCTGACCTAAACCAATTACGATGGGGAGAAATTTTAGTTATTCATTGGCTTTATGCGAATTAATGCTTTTGCATTATGTGTAATTATGAACATTTGCTACTGGATGTTCAACATTTATTCTTACAAACATGTTTTTCTCAACAAAGATTTAAGATGTGATTTCACTAGCACTACCAAGTAATCTCGCAAACTTCAGGTTGCAGATATGTAACATTGATACATAACACTTGTTGATATATTTAAGAAACACCATAACATTTCTCTTACTGGATGATCAGTCCATATAATGGTTTATTAGACCACAAAAGTTTCTTATATTCTTTCTAGAAATTGGATACATTCCAAATCTATTTTGGCTAGTTGGTAATTGTATAATCATAATGTCTTATGATTAAACATCACATTATAGATAATTAAGAAGAATCTTCAAGTTCTTCAATAAATCTTTACATGATGTATTTTATTTCGCATAATTCTTGAACCGAAATGGTCTAACCAGCTCATGCCAAACTATGTTATATTCGGTAAACTTCTAGTTTACTACATAACATTTACATCTCCTATAATCTTTGTCTATGATGAGGCATTAGATAATGTATGTTATTTTTTCAAAATAATTTTACACCATTGAGTTACATTATATATGATTCATCAGGATTATTTTTAGTGTGAACATAATCTTCTAGATGTTCCACTTTCTAGTGATTGAGGGATTCATCCATTCTCCCCCTCGAGATGATGTCACTTCATGTTCATCAATCTCGAATGGAATCCTAGTATAAAATCAATAATATATCCAACTTGAATCATGTTTTATATCTTTGATTCTTTAAACTTTTTATATTTCTATTATGTGTTTGATTCTTTTCACTTCTGGGATTTCAAAGATATAATGCATCAAAAATTATTTACTATAAGCAAATATAAATTTATATACTCTTCTGGAGATGTGTATATTTTATTTGCTGCCATCTTTATTTTCTCACTTCTTGTGAGAATTTGAGTTCTTGAAATAAAACTCTTTGGTTTTGACCTTAACATGAACTATAAAAGATTCATATTCATGTCTATGATCATATCTTTAATCATTCATATCACATTCACTTCAGGGAATGGATCAAAACCAATTAGACAAGATTCAAGATTTTCATTAGTAACTCATTATTTTATCAAAATAATTTCTTAAACTTTCTTCAATAATATTTTGTCAGCTGGACAATATATGCCTTTTATCATCATTGATTTACATTATCTTCCAGATAAATAAAAATCATTTATAGACTTCAAGTCTTGTAATCTTAAATGCAAATACAAAATATTCATATAGAGGATAATTGAAAAATAAATAAATATTATCAAACATATATATAAACAAAATATAATAATATAATAAAATAAATAATAATAATAACATTACCTTTTTATTATCACTTCAAGTGACAAATTTAATTTTAAGACAATAATTTTATTTGCTATTGTGTCTACTGGACAACAATATTTTTAAAATATTCCTTAAATATATTTATGCTATTGTGTCTGCAGGACAACAATATTTTCATAATTTCTTCTTATACATTTTTATTAGTAATATATTTTCACTTATAAACTTCAAGTTTATATGGTCTGAGATGCTCTATCAGATCATATCACTTCAGGTGATTGTTCATTTTCTTTAGATTGCTATATTAGATCACTTCTAGTGATCATGCCTTTCTTTTTACTCAATGGTAAAATTATTACATTTTAAAATCATGTAATGATAGATAAATACACTTATTAGTATATAATAATAATAATTGATTTGTTAAACCAAATCAAACCAATAAATAAAACAAATCAAGGGAATAATTATACATTTATTTATAATATTAAATCAGGATATGCAATAATATAATATATATTATTATTAGCAATGATCAAATGATAATTTAGCAATAATAAGCAATCTCAATAGCAATATACGAAGTTATGTGCAAAATCAAACAATATTATTTTAAAAAGCTGATCAAGATTCATTTTAACAAACAGTCAACAATCATTAAATAATAATATTAAAAATATATTTCAGAGTGATTTTAGCACACATTAATTATAATTCAAATGTGATCAAATGGTCAACTTAAAATTAATATGGTCAAGAATGCAATAATATTTCAAATTTAATGGTAAATTAATTCAGACAATGAAAACTTCTTCTTTAGACAATTTTCAATAATTATTCATTTAGCAATAATTATTACGAAAATAAATTTAAAATAACAAATATCATAAGAAAAGCAAATAAAATAAATAAAAACAATTATATAAATGCAAATCAAATAATAGACAATGTAAAATCCTTCTGGGATATAAATAAGATATAAATCCTTCAAGGATATAAATCAAATAAATAAAACATAAATCCTTCAGGGATATAATTAAAATAAATAAAACATAAACATGAAACATAAATAAAACATAAATAAAAATATGAATCCTTCAGGATAAAAATAAAATACAAATCCTTCAGGGATGTATATATAATTCCTTCAAGGTAAAATAATATATAAAACCTTCAGGGATATATATAATTGATATATTTAATTCCTTCAAGGAAATAATATATAAATCCTTCAGGGATATATATAATTTTTTTTTATAATAATATTAATCCTTCAGGGATATAATTTAACCAGAGAAAAAACAAAAATTATTCTGGCAATTGAATAAATATATTACGAAAATAATATAAATATATATAAAGCATGAGTTTGCTGAATCCAAAATATTATCAATAAGTAATATAAATTAAGTATTGATAGAAATGGAATTTAGTATGATAAACACAAATCAACAAAGTAATAGGGATTACTCATTGAATTTTGTGAATTCAAACTATAAGAACTATTAGAACTTTTGTGATTACATAGAAAAGCTAAGAGGTAGAACTTTCGTGCTGATAACGTGTTGTGAGAAAGAGAGAATGAAGGTTTCTTATTCCATGAGGGAAGAGCTCTTTATATAGAGTACATAGTAGGGTTCCAAGGGAAATCAACATTGGGGAGAAGTGCCTAATGGACATCCACCTATGGAACTAATGGGCATCCACTTACCCATAACAATTACCCATAACAATAGGCCAATTATAATTAACATAATTTATATATTTAAAATGAAATCAAAATCGGCATATAAGATTTATCATGACAAAAGAAAAAGACAAAATAAAGAGATTAAAACTAGTTTTATAGTCAAGAAGTCGACCCAGAACCCGAACCCTTTTTGTATAATTTGATTCTCCGACTTATCTCCTTCTCTAACTCTTCATCTCCTCCAACTTCTTCCAATTCCTGATATCACCAATACAAGAAAACAAAATCAAATTATTGAGAGCCAACATAAAGAATTTCAAAAAAATCTAAGCTGATCAAGATTCAAGATACTTGCCTTTGGTCCGAGAAACAGTCCATATGGCACACCGTCGAATTTATCTGTGTGATGTAGCTGAAACATAATCATGCAAAAGAGACTATTAAATCAAATTTATAATTAGGAATGACCAAAGTTATATGACATAAAAATACTACTACTCTTTTCCAAAAGTAAATTTGGTGGTTTATTTTTTGTAACTAAAAAAATATTTCTATTTTGGGAAAGAAACCGTTACATTTATGTCGTTGACCGACCGAAGAAGTGAAAAAGGTTGTAAAGTTTACCTGATGAGCGGCGGCGACCTTTCGGAGATAAGGAACGTCGGCGATAGGACCTACAGGGAACCGCTTGTGCACTAGACCATCGTGCACAAACATGTAGGCGATCCCAAACACCGTTATTCCTAGCCCCTGTTACGAGGAAAGAGAGACAAACACGTGAAGCGAAACACAAACGCAAACGCAACATACCGACGTTTCTAGAGCCCAAACAAAAAAACAAAATTACGCCACCAATCTAATTTATAGTTGTACTAATGCAGCCAACGAGTCATTTTGTCATCACATGAACTGAAACGAAGATCTCTAAATTTCGTTGTTAAAATATTCAACAAATACAGAGAGACATAAAATACGGCAAAAAGATACGTTACTAATTTAATTCGATTGGATTAACTTATTATGATGTCCACAGCAATCTCAGTGAGAATAAACAAATACTATTTTTTCGACCTTTTGTATCGATAAAAGCCACCGAACGTTCTAGTGATTGTTGTTTAGTTTAATCAAAACAATTAGCCTAACAATACAGTCAAAGATTCAAAGACGTTCTAAGTTGATTGGAGACTTAGAGAGGTGTAACAGAGAAAAGATAGGAGAGAAAGAGGACACTTACGGCGCCAAAGCAGAGACCAGGAACGAGTCCTTTGTTGAAGAAACCATAAGAGAGGAGAGCAATCGCAGGAACAGCGTTTACTATTGCGAACACATCGTTTAACTCAAACGGTCCTTCTCTAGGCTTGTGATGCGACTGCAAAAGAAGAAAAATAAACAGGCGGCTTGAAATTGATTCTCAAAATGAGAATTTTCTGAAGAAAATTCAGAAAAATGTTACTAACCTCATGCATGTTCCACAAAGAAGCATGCCAGAGAGCTTTATGAGCCCACCTTGCCCAGAATTCCATGCCAACCTTTGATTCCAAAACTCAATGGTTCAGCCAAATTTGTGTTAAGAAGATGAAATCGGAAAAAAAAATCTGGAATGAGATTGTTAAGAACTTACAGCAGCACCAACAGAGAGAGCAAATGTACCAAACATCTCCGATATTGATATCTCACCTCCCTGATTTTGTAAAAAAATAACGAATGTGAAATTTTAAAAATCGGATGAAGGAAGACGTGAATTTCGAATTGAGTAATTTGTTTTCGGTTACCTCCATTTGCCAAGAGAATCTGTAGTAAACGGCCATGATAGCCATGGAAGTGATGCCGAAGCTCGACATGACTGCAGCGATTAGATAAGTGGACCTCTCTGATTTCTTCCTCTCCAATTTCTCCGCCAAACGCGACGCGAGGAGCTCTGCGTCTATGGCGGTGGTGGAGCTCGTGCTCTCGGGTCTCTCATCGTTGTCGATGGGAGAGCTCTGCCTCCGCTCCTCGACGACGTAACAGACCGAATAGCCTCTGAATCGGAGAGACGAAGGGAATCCAGGTACGGATTTTGGGTGGTGTAGGCGGAAATTGGAGGACGAGGAGGAGGAAAGAAGAGAGCGGTGGAGCGGTTTGAATGTTAAGGTTGTTGAGAGTCCTGCCGCCATGGGAAGGAGCTCCGAGACCGAGTGAGGTTTAGCTTTTTGTGCGAGAGAGAGAGAGGGAGAGGGAGAAAGAGATGTGGTGTAAATGCAAGTGAGGCCACAATTTTGTTTGGCTAAAGTGCGCTTTTATGCTCTTTTTTTTTTTAATCTTTTAAAACCATTAAATTAAGCATTACGAGTGAAGGACGGTTCGGTTTCGTGTGACCGAAATTTGCCCCTCAAATCTTTGTTTTTTTGTCTAATCTTGCCCACTATTCCTGGTGGAAGGATTTATTGTAGGACCGGTTTTGTAAACATTGGACTATATACTCAACGTGAATGAATGGTAATAGTGTACTGTGTAAATACTCTTTACTCTAATGTATTAATTGCAAAACCCTTAAAAGGGAAATTTTTAATTCAAGATTTGATTTTTTTGCTATTTTCTTTCCCTCTTATTTGTTTCCCTTTAAATCCTCTTAATTACAATTCATAGTGGAAAAGAAAGCTCAGTTAAGAAGTTTCTTTATTTCCCAGTTAAAAAATATTTCTATTAATCAGATTTTTTACTAAAAAAAAAAAACTCCAATAAGAATAGTAAAATTTTAAATTGCGTAAACGGGTAACTCCAATAAGAATAGTAAAATTTTAAATTGCGTAAACGGGTTAATGGTGTTAGCTTTCTTTATTTTTGTTGGTTTAACACGCAATTCTGAATTTTCTTAGTCAAGAATGTTTTCCACACGATTAACCAAATATACACATAAGTGTTGGTTTATTCAAGCATTGTAAAATGCGAGCAGATGTTGGAAATCTAGTAAATGTAGCTAAATTGTGTTCTTTTTTTTCTCTCTCCCAAACATTATCCGGTAGAAAAGGTTTGCATGCCGCTAAAACAAACGTCGAAGCCAAATTGTGTTCCAACTCTCAACTTTTGAGAATTAATTTTCCAGATAATGTAAGATTTTTGTTGTAGATTGTGGTCTGTAGATGCACGTTTTGCAAGACGCTATATCATGCTACATGTTGAGTAATACGTCTAAATTCCACAATCCCGGAATTTACATGATAGATTGTTAAATTCCGTTTGCTAAAATCTTTTTATTTGTATAATTTTTCAGAACACATGCTGAATGTACTTACTCATTTAACATTTGGGAGAGTGGGTCGAAATGGCAAAAAAGTAAAAACACAGAAAGAGCGATGGTATTGGTAAGGAAAGACAAAAAAGTTCCGATTCAAACAAGCAAGAAGGCAACAAGTTCCTTACAAGTTACATCCATATGTGAGGCTGATGCTGCGATAGTGTGATACGTATGGGTCTTCTCTACGTGCCACATTTCTATTCGCTAAGACAAATCCTCCTAGTATCTTTGTTTTTTCTGTTTGCTTCATATATTATTATTTTTATTTCTAATCACCTTTTTTGGGACACCAATATGTGATAGAGAAGGATACAAAGCTCATGAATGCAATTTGGGTCATGGACCATTAATGTTTAGAACTTATGGTACATTAGCATTTTAACCTTTCGCTATAACAGTATACATTCTAACCAATTACCATCTGTATTACTTTCTTTTGTTTATACCAAGCATTGCTGAGCGATAAGTTTCTCGCTCTTTTCTGATGCCGGTTTTAGCTTGATTTGGTACATCTTCGGCCACAGTTTCCCCGTTACTGCAAAGCAAATAATCAATACTCAAAACGTTATGATTAAGGAAGAGATTTATCACCAAGTTCAAAGGACCGAAAACGGTTTATTTACCAAAGAGGCGTTGCTTGTCGCTGTCCCATGCTATGCCGTTCAATACATCGATACTCTATACAGTGCAAACAAGATTAAGGTAAAGGAAAATAAGACAGAAAAACTTGCGAACTTCAGATTTGCAACTCACCTGATGTCCAGATTTCAGCAATCCTTGTCTGAAAAAGGATATCAAAAATGAAGAATAAGAAGATCATTGGTATAACAGAGTGGCTTATCCTAAACAAATACAAGTTAGAAGAAACAAAAACCTTAAATTGGGAAGCAGTATCCATCCAAGCAGCGATCCATCTTTAGGTGAAATTCTGGCAATACAATCAGACTGCAATCGAAAGAAGAATACACATCAGCCTAAATAATAAACCCCAGGAGAATGAAACCTTGTTTCTGATATCTCAAAGTGAGAGAATCAATGAATAAATGCATATTTGTGTAGCCATAATTCTAAACATGCCACAACGAATAGATACAAATATCAGTAACAGTTGGAATACCTGCCACACGTTTGCCCAAACTTCGTTGTTCACGTACTCGAGTTCATTAAGGAAACGTACCTCACGGCCATTATATCTGACCGTATGCTTATCAGTAACTGCAGAGAAGAAAACACCAATGAGATGCTAAATCTACTTTTCAGAGGATATGCAAGTAAGTTGCTAAAGGGGCACAATTTAATGCAGAAAAGTGAGGGACCTTTCATTGTTCGAGGGGCCATCCGGTAGAGTGTGGAAGTGCCATCACTTCCAAACAACACTTGTCCATCGGTAGCCAGTCCCCATCCATCTTTCATATAATGTTTAAATGGTTTCACCTACAGTCATACCAAATGCTTAACATAACAGAGTATGACGATACTAGTCCATCACTAATAGGTAATGCAATGGACACAGGGTAGCTTAAATACAACAAACGAAGGAGCTAAAAATAAAGTCAGTCACTAGACATGAACCATATCTCCAGCCTATGACAAAGATCTTTCTTTAAATTTTTTTTAAAATAAAATAAGTTGAATGTTAAGTCTACTAAATTATAGCAAGTAGGCTGCTAGCTTAGACGACTTGCTTGACCGTGATGATTATTAACTGAGAAACCAATCTATGCAAAACAAAAAGAGAGAATGAGAAGGATAAGAACAGTACAAACTTTGGTTAAGTTGCGAATGTCATATGTGAAACCCCTGTTGGTCAACCATGCGACTTGATAGAGCCTACAACAGATAAATAATCGGTTGATCAGAACTACTATCTTAACCACTAAATTGGCCAGAGCTTCTTTATGAATTACAGAACTGGTTTTATGAAAAGTGCCACCTTTCACCAAGGAGTGTTAAACCCTCTCCAAAATATGAATCGCCCATTTTCTCAAGAATCTCAACCTACGCAAGGGAGATACAAAAAACTAAGTTTTTCACCAATGTATGGGAAGTTAAATTCCAATTCAAGTAAGGGTTATGTGCATGAACTCCAAATCAATTCACAAATTCATAGGCACCAAAAATTCAATCAACAGTCTATAATTGCATTCTCTTTTGCAATCACCCTGTAAATCTCACTAACATGTTTTGATATAGACCACAAGTGTGTGCACCTAAATACAGATATTTCGTCAAATCACAAGACGAAACCATACCTTCCCTGTTCTCAGAGCCACTTTCCTCACTGACGACTGTTCCAAAGGAAACAAGAAGAAAATCAAAACTTGAGCATCCTATTGTGAAGATTTCTGATTAGAGAAATGATATCGAACAGAGTAATACAATGCAATGCGTATTCAATCACCTGTCTGTATAGACCAGTCGATTCGTACAGTGTATCGTCTCCCGCATAGAGAAGTCCCTGCGATCGTTAAACAAGGATTTCAAACACTTAGCGATACTGAAATTCGAAAATGAGAATGAGATCACTAATACTCAACGATCCAGGGAGGATAAACAAAAACCTGAGTAAAAGCGTCAGGGTCGTGAGGAAACTCAGCAACTACTTCAATCTCATGGATCCTACGGGAGAGATCCAACGGAACAGGTGATTCGCCCCAACTGTTGAACGGCATTAAGAACAGAAAAACGGCGCCGGAGAAGAGCGCAATCGGAATCATCATCGCGATCCTCCTCCGAGAAACGAATCGCCGAGATTTAGGACTTGGAACTGATAATTGAGCTGAATGAGCCATCGATCGCTTTTTTGTTTGTCTTTTATTGGGCAATCTAGTCGCCATTCAAACTTCCTTCGCCGTCGTCGTTGACGGCCATTCGTTTAGATGGAAATTATCGTATTGTCAGATTCGTAACATTAAAAAGAAGCTTTGATTATTTGTAACTCTGACCAGTCAAATTTACTAGATTCATTACCATGTTTCTCTTTTGAAAAAAGTTCATTGAAAACAAAGCATTTCAATTTAGTTACCTCTTCTTAAACAAAATAGAGAGATTCACTTAAAGTTTCAACTTAGAACACGAATAACATATAACATAAAGTATTGAATCAAGAACAAAAAAGTCAAAATTTTGCTATAAATAAGACTTAAAATAAAGTGTTCCTTTCTCGACTTATCAGACCGTTTTGATGATGGAGTTAACCACCGCCCATGGGTCTCTTCCCTCTTGGTTTCTTGCCTTTCTGGCCTGCTTTACCACCACCGGCGCTCTTCTTCCCGTTCCTACCGGGTTTACCTCCGCCGCGCTGCCTAGCATCACTCTTCATCCTCCTATCAACTCTCTTCTGACCTTTCCCAACCTTAACACCAACTCCCTTCTTAGACACAACCAACTCTTTCCTAGGCTTCCTTGGCTCTGCTGCTTTCTTGTACAGCTTGTCTATCATCTTGTCCTTTGAACGGTCCGCTATGTCCGCAGTGTCAGATATTGTGTTTGCCTTCTTTATCACTTTCTCCAATCTCTTCTGAGCTGCTCGCTTCTTCCTCGCCTTGGCCTCTGCCACCTTCTTCGCTGGACGAGCGTTGATCTCTTTGAACTGAGCCTTCATTGCGTTGACTTCTTCTTTCGTGATTGGTTTCATCGGTTGTCTGTGCTGCTTCTCGTCGTCTATAAACCATTTGGGTAAACCTTCGTCCTGAAACATGTACTTGTTATATGCATCGTCAAGCATCTCTTCTCTCTGCTTCTTCCTCAGCATTTTCTTGCCACAGGCCAATATCTCGGCCTTTGTATGAATGTCATCATCATCAGAGGATGAGTCTGAGTCTGAATCGGTCGCTGGTGCAGGGACAATCTCGAAATCGTCTTCTTTCTTAGAGTTAGTATTGGGCAAGCTCTGTTCAGACGACACGGTTGCTTTCGTAGCCTTCTTCTGCTTTGACTTGTCCGGTTTGGGCAGAGTTTTGCTCTCTTTCTTGGTTGGCATCTCGTCGTCACTGTCGACTTTCCCCAAGTCTCCTTCTTCCACGGCTACTGCAAATAAATCTTGACTGAACCACTGGTTGGATATTTCCTCCTTTGTTTGCGTCTCTCCATCATCAAATGGTATCATAAGAGGATTCGCCTCATCCTTCTCTTCATTCATATCTGAATCGTAATCGAGTTTCATTTCTTGATCTCCATCACCTCCCTGCAAAAGCCAAGGCAGAGAATGTCTAGTTCCGAAAAATCTGAAGTATCCAAGAAAATGGGGATAATGAATGATGATAGTACCTCCAGCTTTTCAGCCTTTTCAGCGTGTGCCTGCCTAGCCCGCTTCCTTTGCTTTGCACTTCCATCTCTCTTCACCAAAAACCGGTCATAAGCCGCATCGAAAATCTCTTCCATTTTTTCTGAGTATCTGTGACGTTAAGAAGAATATAAGATAAAATCCCTGCACAAACTTGAGCAATGTATAACATTCTTGAAACACCACTATGTAATAAACAGAAAAGGTATGCTGTTTGCAGCCATACCTCTGACGCTCTTCATCAGAATCGATGTCACTGTCATTGGAGTCATCTGAAGCTTCCTCACCATGATGTTCGTTATCACTGTCGATGGCGTTGCCATTATCATCTTCGTCATTGTCAACTGCCATTAGATCTTTCTTTCCCTGGCAAGAATCGATAGTTGAAGATCATATGTTAACCGACTGAATTGTAAGAACTAATAGTGTGATGAAAGTTGTTCACTCTTCATTCCGTGAAATATTAATACAAACTTCCTTCCAACGCCAGACAAAAATAACAAAGTTCAACTAAGAGATTGGATAAAAAAAAGTGGAATACCTTAATGGCAGAAAGAGAAAACAATTCATTGTCGACATAGCCATCTTCAAGTGCATCTATCTGTGGATCAGTCGCCTTCCGCACCTTATCCTGGAAAATCATATCAAATAAAGCTAAGTATGAGGTCTAAAAGATCCATAACAAATATGTGCTCTTAGTTAAGTGAATCGTTACTTTCGGAATACTACGCTATTTTCAGAGCAAGCTCAAACGATTCAGAAAGCAAAGGGCATCAGCTATGCTTAAGCATGCATACAAATCTGGATATTATTTTGCAAGTAAATTTAATTGGGTTCATAAGTACTAAATTTGATCCTGTCATGACCTATGTAAGTTTCAATTCTTCGTGGCTTCCCAGAAATCAGTTAGAAAGTGATCATGTGGAACGTATCAACAAAGACTTGGGAGCTGATTATTAACAAAAGGTTAAAAATAACCTTAGCACGTCTTTTAGCAATAAGCTTCTTTGCCTGTTTCTTCTTGCGATCTACTGCGTTTGTCAGCTCTTCCAATTCATTGAGTAGTTTATCATCCTCGTTATCCTCATTTTCCTCATCTTCCTTTACCACTTCAGGCTCCTTTTTAACTTCTTCCTTTTTCTCAGGAGTCAGAGCTTTTCTGAGTTGCATCCGCCACCTACAATAGAAAGGGAGTTAAATGTCCGTAACGAAACTCATATAATTTCCAGAAGCATGTATGACTGACCACAAATGATAAATGAAAGTCTTAACAAAACAAGTAGTTTCCCTCAAAGATATTTCTCAGAACAGCATTGACAGAAAAACTCAAATTGCTAGGGACAACCAATAAACAGTGAGACATGTTAGAATAAGAAAGGGTCATGGTGGAGTAAGTGACGAAGTTCTTACTTTAGGAGATGTTTGAAGTCATTCTTCCCCAAAACATGAAGATCACCGCATAGAATTTTAATCTGCCGCCAGAAAAGAAAAAGAAGTAAAAGTTACCAACATGTGGTGATCGTCAAATATCCCTGATTCGTAAAGATATGGCAAATTAGAAACAGTACCTCCTCTGTAGTCAAATCATGTTCCTTTAAAGGTAGAGAGGCTTCATCCGCAAAGGATATAGAATTAACCGTACCAAGAATGTCCAGAGGAGTTTCAGACCAAATGAAGTCAGCAGCAGATGAAACTGTTCTCAAAACAGAGACTCCATCTTCATACCTACATATAATCCCCAATTATGAAAAAAACTTCATAAATTTACCAAGCAAAACAGAATAACAGATAGTGGATAATGATAATGCCTACCCATCACGGTGTCTCTTCTTCGATTTTAGGTCGTTAATCACATCCAGCACCTACAAACAAAAAATTTAGAGGACTTTGGAGAATTGCAGCAATCAAGCCATTCCAAACACCATTTAAGGCATAACAAAAGATCACCTTTTTCTTGCTTCCTGGTGCGTCCTTGAAGAGATGTCTGTAATCAAGAAGACGCGGATCAATATTTCCAGGAGCTTTGTATTTCAAACCAACAAGATATGTTTCTGCGGATGTTGAACGACTAGCGTCCGGCTTATACACTTCAACCTTCTCAAACAGCTGCAAAGAAGGAAAAAAAAAACTACCAGTAAGAAGAAGAAGCCGAAACATCAAAATAAGAGTGATAAGCAACAACAGTACCTTCCCAAGGCAGTAGAGCACAGAGTTGTAATCTTGCGACCTGAAAACCTAAGAGGCGGAAGACACAGCAAGCAACAATTCAGAAATCAAGCGCAAATGAAACAAATTCGATTCCCGAGAGTAATCTATTTTTTCAGAAGCAGACCTTAGTGATTAAATTCCCATTGCGAGCTAAGAACTCTGTGGCCAATTTCACGGAATCGATAACCAATGCGTTCTGGATCGTAGCCTCTTGAGCCCACGCACCACCGATGTTTGGGGAGCCATCGTGGAGAACCAGATTGAAAGCACCAACGCCGTGCTTCTCCATCACCTGCTTGATTTTGGACCTGCACTCGGGCCGGGTGATATCCTGCTGGAGACTGACACAGCCGCGAATTGGAGCAATCGGAACGAGATCGATTCCGAGAACGAGGCTGCCGACGGGAGCTTTCTCGACGGCGACCTGCATCCATCCACCGGGGGCGGCACATAGATCGAGAACGGCTCTCGATTTGTGGAGGCTTGGGAACTTCTCGTCGAGCTGGAGGAGCTTGTAAGAAGCACGAGAACGGAATCCACGCTCTTTGGCGAGTTTGTACCACTTATCCAAACGATGCTTTCCTTTGCCCTTACCACCCATCGTGAGATTTCTCTAGCGTCTCCTACTGGTTCTAACACTCAGTGAGAGAGAGACGAGAAGTATCAATTAAACACCACCAGCAGAAAGATGCTAGGGTTTTAGGGTTTACGTCGCGCGCCGTCCGTGATTAAGTAGTTCTAATTCTGATGGGCCCTTTATATCTCTTTTCTGATGGGCCTCTCATTCGGCCCGTTTGTTGAGGGTAAGTGACATTTTGGCTTTGGTCAATCTAATTCCATATCTTTGTTAGTGTTACCATAGTTATGGATGGTACCTATTGAAAAGGTTGATTCCAGTTTTTGGATAAACAATTTCGACTCGTCTTTCACTCGGTTTTATACAGACTGAATGGCCGAGATACATACAATGCCCCAGTCCAGTTTCAACTTCCATTACCGAACATGGTTTTTTGCACGTATTTGGTCTGAACTCAGAATCCCAAGATATGATTCACTTATTGTGTAGTTAATTGAAGCAACACAAGATTAAGAAATTGGGATTTTTTATCACTAATCCAGAAATTGAAGGATTTGTTCGTTTAAACCAAAGTGAGAGGTAAACAGATAGATAATAGATTCAGGATTTTGCATTACAAAAGCAAAACTAAAACCACAAAAAACAAAAATGTCTTTCCATCGTTGTGACGATAAACAAAAATAACTTGATCAAGGGAAAGCAGAACCAGATGGTGCGGCTGCGTTGTAACCGCCTGCACCACGGCCGAATCCAGGCCTTCCACCACTTCCCTGGAAAGATGGCTGGTAATCAGCTGGAGCTCCACCCTTCTCGCCACCAGCATCACCGCCACGTGGCCCTCCACGGTACCCATCACGGTCACCAAATCTTGGACGGTCTCCTTCAAACCGAGGTGGTCCTCTGAAACATTACACCAAAACACATTTGAATCAGACATAGCCAATGAGGTTAATGGACTTGAAAAGATGTAAACCAATTGAGTATAAAATTTACCTTGGGCGATCACCAGGTGGGCCACCGAAGGAACGACCACCAGGCTTAGCAGACTTCTTCAAGGTAGCGGGAACGACATCAGATGGAAGGTTGAGGTAAGTTCTCAAGAACTCAATGCCTTCGTTCGTCAGGAACCAGTAGTAATGCATCCATGCGAATGTCTCTCTAACGTACTCCTTGGATTTGAAGCTCTGCATGAGCTTAATCACTTGAAGGTTGGGAACTGACTCGATCAATGGATGCTTTGCGAGATTGAAATCCTTCTTAGCGAACAACACTCCTTCTGCAAAATCCCAACCGCAAGATATAGATCATTTAGCATCCGCAAAACATTTTCAAAGACCGCAATAATGTGACTATTGAGATACTAAATCGGTCAGCAGATTCAATGACATTTTCATGGATCTAGCTAGGATGTCTAATTACTTCACACTACAAGCTGAGATCCGAAGAGTTCTATGATAAGGTAACTAGCGGAGATTGAGAAAGTGCGTGAAATACAAAAAAAACTTACTAACCTTTGAAAAGGTATTTGCAGATCTCTCTGCGATTGGTCTCTGAGATGATCTGAAAAATAGAGGACGAACAATAAGTGGATCAGACATTTCATTACATACAGTTAACACGTTAAAGAATAGAAATGGAGATAGAGGGGAGAAAGCAGAGTTTCTATACCATCGTTCTTGTTAGTAGAGCTTTTTCGATGCAAGGAGGCACTGAGCTTCGGCAATGGGTAATAGTCTTGGGGATTAGGGTTTTCTGAGGATGAAAGACGATTTGTTTATATATTAAGTATTTGGGCTTTTATTGGGCCGAGAGTAGTTGTTTGCTGCAAGGCTGGGCTTTGAGTGTTCACTTTAGAACCGGTCCCTTCTAATTCCGTTCTTTGAGGAAATTGTGAATTCTTTGAGTTTTTAAGGGCATAAAAAAAGACGTGAACTTTTTTTTTCACTTGTTGCCCAATGATTCAAATTATAATTGCTCGGAGAAATCTGCCACAAGAATGTATAAGTCTCTTTATGCTCTTTCGAAAATTTAAGCATTTGGTCTTTTCGTCTCAACAACTCATTCCTCCAGCAATATTGTACATCATAATCGGCCAACGTACCCCATCTTGATAGTGTGCGAGTAAAGCTGGTTGCGTCTATGAATCAATGACTCAAGCTGAGGAACACAAGCTTTAATGTCAAGTAAAATAAGTGGAAACCTAAAACTTGCATCTCAAGAAACGTACGTAGCAACAGCTTCCTTGTTTCTCAAGTTTCATAACAAACCGGATCCCCAACTTCAAGATCAAGACATGATATAGATAGAAATGAGTTTTAGTTGTTTTTAGAGTAGGCCTCTAAAATTAGTAATAAATAAAGGATTTGGGTTGGTCAATTGTGATTGAGTCAGGAAGCCAGCTTGGTCCGGACAAAATTTGTTTGTTAAACAAATTGGGACTCAGAACCAAATTGGGACTCAGAAAAAAAGCAGTTCACGGACGACCAATGAAACATGCATGCCCGTGAACTCGTGAATACAAACGAGAAGCAGCATTTTGTATGTCAACTTGACCAAAAATATATTTTAATTCCTACTTTATTTTTGTCAACATCATGAATATACTTGTTAACTAGTTCATTCAACTTTTATAAAACACTGACCAAAAACAAAACACAGCCCAGTGTTCTTTTCTTGGATAACCGGAAAGCATAATGGTCCCAAAGTAAAGGCAGGAATCTGCAACATCATAAACACAGAAAATTAACATCGCTTAAACTAACACACAATATCTAAATGGAGATCAAGATCTTGATTCCAAATCACAACTGAGAATGATAAGTTTTACTATCGATCACGATATGATTGATATCATCATCATTATTAAATTGATTGAGTCAGTCATGCTATGTGAAGCTCTTTTGGATATCGAGAGAAACAATATATGTACATTTGTTTTCATGTATATTTATGTAGAGGACAGTATGATAGGGGAAAAAACAGACAAATGTAGATAAACGAATTTACAATTTAACTTAGCCATCAATAAATTGCTTCTTTTTTTTTGGTCGTAATAAATTGCTTCTTTGTGTATACCATGAAGTCCGAAGAAACAAGAAACAGAGAAAGGAAAAAAAATGAATTTATCTCTTGGAACCCGAAACCCTTTTGAGTAAAACAAGAAAACACAAAACACGATATAGTACAAAGAACCCTAACATCACATAAACATTAAACCATCTCTGACTCTCATGAAGCCCTTTCTTGTCTAACACGCCACCTCCAGTAATCAAGCAGCTTTTCACAGTACCGTCCCCAAACCAGACCAGACACTTGTTGAGCAGACACGAGTACTCGTTTATCAGAAGTGCATCCAACGCATACCTGTACATCGAGAAGTAGTACATGAAGAGCCAGTACTTAGGAAGACTCTCTTTAGAGATGAAGTAACCAGAGAACAAGAAGAAAGCCGCCAGAAGAATGGTCACTAGAGATGTTCCAGCTATATAGTTAGGCGCGAGAGAGCTCAAGAAAAGCACAAAAGAGTTTGCCATTAGGACAATGATCCAAATCACGAGCACAAAGTAGGCAAAAGCTTGCCATGAAGCGCAGAGACCTACAAGGAAATAGAGAGACACAGAGTAGATGACTGCGATGAGGAGTAAGTAGGGCAAGAAAACCAAGGTGTTTGCAAGAATGTGAGAGGAGAGTCTGTAGAGTCCGCTCGAGGTTTCTCGGAGAAGAATTGGTCGTTCATCGATGAATATTGGAAGGGTTTGGGTGGTGGAGGAGAGGAGGAATGTGAGAGTGAATGCGAAAAGGCCGAATCTCTTCTCGATTCCTTCTTTTCCGATTCCAATGTTGAGGTAGATAGTGCCTAAGACAAGACCAACTATAAGAGCTTCTAAGATGTTGGTCAGAAGCAACTGCCTCGTACGGTATATAATCTTCCAAAATCTTCTAGAAAGAAGGCTTATCTCGGTGATTCTCGAGCTTCGATATTGAACAATGCTCTGTTTTGTGTTCTGCTTTTTACTTTCAGGGAGAACAATGATGGAGTTTTCGTAGGGATCATGGAGGTCTTGAAGTATCTCCATAGCATACTCAAGAGAATTCAGCTGAGAAGGAACCGTGAATCCCTTGGATAGCAAGAAATCTCCGATTTCATCAAGCCTTCCATGGTATACAACGCTTCCTTTGGAAAGAAGTAACAAGCTATCGATGAGAGACAGAATCTTGAAGCTAGGTTGGTGTATGGACAAGATCACGGTCCTTTTTCTTGACGTAGCAATGGACTTGAGGATCTGAACCACGTCGAAAGCGGACTTACTGTCTAAACCTGATGTGGGTTCGTCGAGGAGTAGAAATCCCGGATCGTGAAGAAGACTTAAACCAATCGAAACCCTCCTTCGTTCACCACCGGACAAGCCTTGCGCGATCCTTGTATGTGCAAGATGTGTTAGGTTAAGTTCTTTGAGGAGAGAAGTAACGGCATTGGAGACTGTTGATGGGCTTTTGGGGAGCAGGAGGGAGGCGGAGAAAGTAAAGGTCTCGGAGACGGTGAGGAGAGGGAAGAAGGCGTCACGTTGAGGAACGTAGGAGGAGATTTTTCGGTAAGAAGAAGGGTTGATAGGTATGGAGTTTAGAAGGATTGAGCCTGATGTTGGGGAGGTTCTTGCGGCGAGGATGTCGAGAAGAGATGATTTTCCAGCGCCGCTAGGGCCAACGATGGCTAGGATTTGAGAGGGGTGAGAGGTGAGAGTGATGTTGCGGAGGATGTAAGAAGGTTGCTCCGCCGTGAGGAAGAGCGGTGAAAGAGGTTTGGCGTAGGAGATGGAAGATGTTGTTAGAGTATATGACTCCATTTAGGGAGAGATGTTTGAAGGCTGTATAAGGGAAGAAAGTGTTGTAAGGACTAAGGAGAATTTATGTATGTATGCTTGAGTTTGGAATGTTTTGTATTTCACTATGAAAATAGACAAATTTTAACCCTTTTTTGTTTGTTTGCTGAATAAGTTTGTCTTATATTTCCTACCATTTTGGATTTTGCGTTACCTTGAACTCATCGATTTAGGTCTATAGTTGTGTTTAGGCAGTGATGTAACAACGTTGCAATAGCCAGACAGGTCATAGTCAGTTCGGACAGACAACAACAAAAAAGATCATTAGAGATTGTAATCAAAATTGAGACAATTTAAATACTAACGAAATGGAGCTATTGATGAGAGGCAGATACAGAGACGAAAATCCATATATTCTCATGAATATAGCATGGTTACAGTTGCATAACAAAACCCTTTTTTAAAACATGTAAAGGTCAACTAAATATGTGTGCAATAGTGAATATTGTTGAGAAAATGAGAAGAAGAATCCAAAGGGGAATTGCAGGTAAGGTCACGGGGCTGCTGTTTTTTCTACAGGCATGCCTTCGTATTATTGTTACACACAAAATTGCAAAGCACCTATTAGTCTATTTCCCGATCTGTGAACCCTTCCTTTGTTTGGTACACACATTGCCAAACCATTTTTACAATTGTATATGTTAATGATGTGAAGGAGTTGAGAAACCATTAAATAGTCGTCACATGATTATAGCATGACAGTTTTTGTTAGCATGTGCAATTATAGCATTCGAACATATAACCCAGTTAAACAGAAAAAGCTTGAAATTCGTTTGAATATGCTTACAACATTTATGGACCTTAGGAAATATTACGAAATAAGCCCATTTGGACTTGGAAATTGGATGTAATTACAAGAAATGATACAGTGTTAGGAAATGTAAGTCAATTGTTTTCCGACATGGGCCTTATCACCAATTCCAACCCCACCACAATGTTTTCCGACGGACTCTATTTACTCAAATATGGCACATCTCTTCTGGAATCTTCCAGACAATGACGATATGCTAATATTTCCATGGTTACTTTGTTTTATTTGGAAGGCCCGGAATTACAAAGTTTTCTCCAATACGGATCAAGATCCGAGAGAGGTTTTGGATTCTGCAATAACAGAGGCTCGTGCATGGGCCGCAGCCCAACCGGCTGGAGAGATGGACAATGTGCGGATAGACATATCAGCGACGCAACCGCCTTGTGGTGAATGGTGTCAAATAGATGGAGCCTGGAAAGAGTCAGAGACTCGAGCGGGACTTGGGTGGTACAATCTAGACCCGGAATCGGGTTCAGTTTTGGTTGGGGCCTGTAATTTACGACGGGGTCTATCCCCTTTGCAGACGGAACTGGAAGCGTTGGTGTGGGCCATGCAAATCATGTTGGTCTACAATAAACGGCGAATGCAGTTTCAAACTGACTGCACTGAACTGGTGAAGATGGTGTCTACACCGACAGCGTGGCCGGCGTTCGAAACACTGCTTGAAGAGGTGGAGAAGTGCAAGAGGCGGTTTGAGGCTTTCTCCATAATCCACATACCGAGGACAACAAACACGAAGGCAGACAAGCTAGCACGGAGTGCTCGAGATCAGCCTTATGACGTGTATTATGTAAACTCAATTCCACCAACATCGCTCCCTGAGCTGATTTAGGGGGAATTTAGGCTGTTGACAAAAAAAAAAAAAAAAAAAAAAAAAAAAAATGTAAGTCAATTGTTTTTGGTCGCTTCGGCTTAAGCTTCTTCTTTTTTTTTTTTTCATTGTGGAGGAGCTTTAATTTTCTTTGAATCAAAGCTTCTTCCCCAAAAGAGTTTCAGACATAAATTTCAGATTTTTGTGAATTGACTTATGTAAATGTTTATGTTATAGCCTCATAATAAACGAGAAGGTGCAATATAGGAACACTTTCTAGTTCAGACAGAGGCTTATATCAAAATAACTCGAATCAGTTTTGTCGGTGAAAAAGCTTCACTCTTTCACCATCAAACTCTTCTTCCTTTCCTTGGATAGATTCGAATATCTGTTGAACAATTAGTTTTTTCAAATTTGGTTTTATGTTACAATAATTCTTTTTTTGTTTAATTCAATTGACAGCATTGTATTTTTATATTCATGTAAAGAGGAATGATAAGACCATTAGTCCACAACAGAGTGTATGAATAGAAGTAATTGTCTAGAAACACATGAAATCTCAAGATAAACCTCACCACCTGACATTGAAGACATCTATGTAAAAGAAGTATCTACGGCCATGATAACTAATCCAAATTTTTAAAGTAGTGTGGTTCTTGGTCTAATTGTTTAGTAATTGAAATAAAAAATGAATGAAAGCAAATCAGTTACTAATCTACTTGTAACCAAGAAAACAATCAGAAATATTTACATTTTATAAAAAAAAAAAAAAAAAACTGCTGCAAAGTGCAAACCAACAATTGGAACTTATATCATAATGGTGTGTATTTATGTTGTAAGTTGTAAGTTGTACAGCTCCTGACATTTTCTACCTCTCATTTTTGAATTGATTTTAACTTATTTTGTTTCTTTTTTCTTTTATGTAATTAAAAAAATGAGAGGTAAAAAATGTCAGGAGCTGTACACAAGAAAGTGAATTCTTTTTTGCCAATCTTGCGCTATAGCTTGTGAGATTCGGACACGACAAAGTGTGTAGCTTCATATTTTCTGGCTATGTATATTTAGTTATTTACCGTTACGAGAACATAAAAAAACACACAAGATCTTAACATACGAGACTCTAGTATCTTTTATGGTATACAAAGACAACTGATCCACCATTAAACGTTTTAGGACTGTAAGTAACAAATGATAAAGCGTAGTATTTTAATCGCGTAAGAACACAAGCTAAAGGAACTAATGGATTTTCTTGGAAAATGCGTGAAAAAAAAAAAAAAAAAAAAGAGGTTAATGAAGTTTTAACGTCATCGCATCATTATTTTTTCCTCTCCTCTCTTTCAACGTATTTGGTTCCTTCAGTTTTGCTTCTTCTTCCATTATTATCTCTTTTAACTTGAGTAGCGAAAAATCGTTTCTCCGGAGACCACAACAAAAGAAGAGAAGAAAACGATAAAAGAGATTAAAAGATGGGGCAAGTGTGAAAATGGCTTGAAGCTTAAAGGATTTCGATTATATCATATGAGATTAAGAAGAGGAGAGTTGCTTTGAACAAATCTCAAAAATTACTCAATTGATTGTCATTACAAGCATATATATATATATGAACTGACATTGGAATTGGTACACTGACATTGCAAGTTGCGTGTATGCTAAGGTGGACGAAGGCTTGCTTAACAAAGGCCTCGGCCCAAAATAAGTTTTTCGAACTTGGTTTCTCATTCTGAAATGCCAATAGGATTTTCTGTTATTTTTCATCAAAGGCAAATAATAGCCTATGATAGTGGGGGGGGGGGGGGGGGGGGGGGATAAATGCTTTTTCTTAAGTAGTCTAGGTTTGGAGAACAATATTTCTTCACACACTCATGAATTTGAATCCGAATTGTGAAACGGTTACAACTTACAACATTAATACACACCATTATGATATAAGTTCCGGTCGTCCCAATTGTTGGTTTGCACTTTGCAGCAGTTTTTTTTTTTCCTTTTCACAACACTATACTATGCTTAAGTGACAAAAGATTATATCATATGAGATTAAGAGGAGGAGAGTTGCTTTCTCAAGTAAAAAAATGAGAAAACAATACATCTCAACTGCAAAAACCAGTGTTATTACATTTTTTGTTGTTGTCGAGCCAGCCGTACTCAGGACTGGATAGTGTTATTAGCTATTTACACCCAAAGTGAAAATATCTCTGAATGCACGAATACATTTAAGTGTCAAAATGAATGTGAGGGTAAGTTAAAATGAGGCAGAGGCCGACAGTGGAGGAGGATGGACCAGGCCAGGGTGCTGGACGATAATGACGTCTCGGCTAAAAGCTGAACCAACCTCCCCCTTGGTCGGCCCACAAGCGCTGGTCCCCGTTCACACCACAGTCTCGCATGTACTCTCTCAAGGTAACACCTCTTTCTCCTTTACTACTATTCCCTCTTTATTCCTCCATTTTTTCTTACTGTTTCCACATGAACCATGTCACACAACATATACAAACTTATAGAACACATAGGATATGAGTTTTTTTTTTTTTTTTAAACCGCTGTGTTTTTCCTCCGCTTTATTCCCTCGGCATAGTATACAGTTGTTTTTGTCAGCTCGTTTGACCACAAAAAAAAAACACATACAGTTCTATATATATAACTACCCCCATGTTAATTTATGAGCTGAAAAAAAAAACTGATATTTTGGTTGGCTATTAATTTACTCCTCTGTTTCCACAAAATTAATTTTCAAAGTTTGTATCCTTGTTCCATAAAAAATGATTTTTTTTTTAAGTTTTCTATGTGTATTTTTTTTATTAAATCACCACAATTATTGTACTTTCATTAAAAGGTTAAAAAAGAACATCCTTTTGTCACCTTTTCTTTTAATAAATCTTATTTTTATTACCATATCTTCTCTTTTTGCTTGCGACCATATCTTGATTATTTTATTTTTCAAACTTTAATTAACCAATGGTTATCAGATGCATGCGATGATGATATTTGTTGCATCTCTTCATTTTTTGTAGGTCATCATAGCTCTATAAAGTTATACTGTATGACTTTGTAGTATTAAAGAATATTATAAAACAAAAAAATTAACGAATATTAATGAATATTGATGATACCTTGATACTCTCTATCCATTTTATTTGGATACGCGACGGCTTGAAGAACTAACTAATCAACAACGAAGCAGTTGCTAAGGATGATTAATTTTTCTGCCTCTTGTATGAAATATGAATTTTAAAGCAAACTCTTTACCAAAAAAAAAATTAATTTTAAAGGAATTTTCGTTTTGAATAGAGTAAAGAGGACAAGTATTCTAGTATTCTGGGTTTATCCCACGAACAAACACGAAGCACCCATCAATCTTTTCAATAAGCAGAATAACTACCGGAAAAAAGAATAAGACACCGATATTTAAATACTTCTTTTTAGTTGATACTCACTACCATTTATTAATTTGTTCGAGAAACTAATGGATTCCTAGGTATTTATTTTATATTATCGTCACATGTAACGTGCCTATTTAGCGAGAATACGATTCATGCATAAACACATAGCAAATCCGGGAATTTAAGTTGGATCAGGCAACACACATTACTTTCAATATGTAAAGTAAACTAAACTGCTAAACCTAAACATTAATGGCTAAACCCTTAAGGTTTTGGTTATAAAAGATAACGTAATACTATAAAATATTATCATTCGACTTATGTGTTCCATTTCCACCTCACATATGATTATGTATGTTTGTGTGTCTACATATACAATGCGAGAAATGAAAATGATAGTTTATGACTTTATGTAAATAGATTAATGTAAGCGGGGGATTAGGTTGGAATATTAATCTCACGACACTCTTGGCTTGGATGCTTTAAGAAAGTTCTGCGCGCCCTACAAATTCAATGATTATTATTGCTTAATAACATGATACTAGTGGACACATTAAAGATTTAATATAAAGACAGAAATGAATGATGTTAAAGAAAATAAGAAGAAAAGAGGAAGAATATGGTAATGGGGAACGTCAGGGAAAGTGATTGGAAACTAATGGAATATATATCCGTTTGTGCTTAGACATGGTGGAAGCTGACGCTGAGAACTCAACCCTCCAGTTACCCTACTCATTCTAATTTCTGTCATTTCATTTTATAACGAGTATATTTTCTTATTCACTATAGAGTTGTAAGTATAAATGTTATGTTTACTACTGTCAGAAAACTCACACAGGAAGTGAAATAAATGTTGTATACCCTATAATAATAGAGTAATATTTAAAATGATAATTTAGTACAAATGTACAAAGCTTCTATTTTCCATATCCCAAACTTCTTTTGTTTTTTTTTCTTAAACATTTTATTTTTATGGTCCATCACATTTTAAAACTAGAGCTTAGAACATGTAAATGACTAAATGTGAAAGAAACTCTACATTTGAATTTAGAATATGGTTGATCTCTTTCAAACTTACCATTTCCGGCAATTTTATTTGTACAATTCTTCAATTTTACCTCAATCAGCTATTGCAATTTAAAGGGTTTTAAAATCCACAACTTAACTTAAAAATTTATTAAAGTATACTAAAGAGATACATAAAGAGGAAAACACAAACGAGAAAACCAACTAATTAATTTTAAGTCCAAATTAATCACCCAAAACAAGTAATAAATAACCCCAAATTTTGTAAATACAGGTGGGAAAAGTACAATCTCTATATCAAAGACTAATGAACAACGTATCTGTTCATTCCATTAACTGTAGGTGATTCCCTAGAAAATCAAGTATGTTAGCACTCACTCAACAAAGTTTTTAATAATACTCCTAATAAATGAATATTAAATTGACAGTCATTAATCATTGATTCGGAATACAATTAATTAAGAAAGATAACCCTAATAGATGAAACGTCATGAACAATCCAGTGCTTACAATAGCCCCTACTCTCTTCTATAAATGTCCCTCACAAACACAATTTATTCTCTCATCGATTTATATATAAAAAAAAATTATTTACTCTCACAAACTGACACATGCAGACAATGGAAGGAAGACAGTATTACCAAAATGTGGAAGGAAACAACCAGAGCTCCTCCTCCATGGTGGTGCCTCACTCCCCGTGGCACTCTCCGGTTCCTTATCTGTTCGGTGGTTTGGCCGCCATGTTGGCTCTCATCGCCTTTGCTCTTCTCATCCTCGCTTGTTCCTACTTGAAACTATCTGGCTCTGCTCGGAGAGATCTCGAGGCCGGAGATGATGCCAAACCCGACGGTGACACTCACAAGGATAAGCTCTCGGTGATGCCGGAGAAGTTTCTCGTCATCATGGCTGGTGATGTCGCACCTACGTACCTGGCTACGCCGGCGAATCGGTCTGACCAAAGCTGTACCTGCGGCGATCATAAGGAAGAAGAAGAAGGAAGAGGAGAGTAGTGATCAGGTGGTGCGGCAGAGCACTGGAACTTGAAAACAGAGCAATCATTAGGGACTCAGAATTGTTCACTGCTCCGGCCGGGTCATGATTATGCGGACGGACCTTACATGAGCAGATTTTTGTCTGATTAAAACGATGTGTAAAATCATGGGAACTTTTTTTTTTTTTTTTTTTTTTTTTAATGAGAATTTAGTAATGATGATATTGATTTGTTGGCATCCGTTGCGGCGAACCGAAGTTGTTAATTATTCTCTTTGCACATATACTCTCAATTTTCTAAATAGATCGATAAATATCATTAAGTTTTTCTAAAAGAACGACTAATCCCAACTCCCAAGTTCAATTTTCTTTTATTTGTTTCATATGCTATAATTATAACCATTCATTCAGTGATGAAGAAGGACTAACGTACGTTGTCTTGTCGTATGAGGTAACACAATTATTATCTTTTGGCTGATCAGTACAATGTGAATAGTGACATACATATGTTTGATGGAGACTACTTTGACTTACATATGATTGTTTTTCTTTTTGGGTAGTATGCCATGTGTACGTCATTTCATTTTCTTGTCCAATTTCTACAATATGTTTATGTGAACCTTTGAAACAAACAAGACAACCAAAAGCATGCAAAGAAAACATAAAAAGGAACAATAGCTTTTCGAAAACCGCACTCAATCTTGTGAGTTCTTCGGATGTCGTTTGGAATGTCAATTAGTATTTACACGTATGCCAAGTTGCCAACTAGAACTAGTATAAACTATTAGCGCCAAAAAATTTAAGATTAAAACAGAGTTTGATGTCTCTGACCTCAAAAGATTTCTCTAGACATTTCAAAATGTTCACATAGATGAAATGAGTTTCGGCTAGACTGACCCGTCCTCTTAATAAAGCCCAGTCTAAATCAAGATCGTTAGTTCAAAAAAAGAAAGAACAGCCAATTTCATTTCATTAAGGATGGTTAGGAGTCTTGTAGCAAACAAGAAAAGGATGAAAAGTTTTACAAAGATCGAGCACATCTGTACAGATTCATCGTTCGACAGGACATAATACATTTCAAACAACAACAAGGAAAAGAAGCAAGAACTTAACCACGATTTGTATCGCATCAAGCATCATATACTAAATACAATATAAAGAGAACAAAAACAAAAAAGAAGAGATGTTTGTAACAGTTATCGCCTTCTTACAGTGCTCACAAATTGCAGCGGTTGAAAAATGTTGGGGGCTAGAGACAGAAATGATCCATCATGTGGAAGACAACATCTTTGCCATCAGAATGTAACCAATATGTCTTCACCTACACAATTACAAAAATTTTATATAAATCACTCACTATCGAGTTAAAAGGTTCCTCCTAGTAATTAAACTTGCCTGAATGGTACTATGAGCGGCGTATCGTTGCTTGCTATTGTGAAAGCTAACGTCTACTCGTTCCCACGATAACTGACCAAGTCCATGTAACATTTCCTCTATACATGTTCCACACAAAAAAAACAATAATAAGAAGTTTGTGATGAACCTGATTGAGATATCATTATTTCTAGCAAGTCTTGGACAATATAAATAATCAAGTGAAGAACGGAGCAAACCTTCAAGATCATTGCTTTCATCTGTTGTTACTACTGTAGAAGTTGACTGGCAACTACCATTGTCTACATTTCCTTGTTCTACGTATACAATATGTGGATAACTTGGATCAGTCGCTAGAAGATTTGGCTGCAAGATGAGAAGTAAAAAGTGTTACTGATAAATCCTTGACTTCGTTTATAGATGATTGATTGCGCACAAGACACAAACAGCTAAAAGCATACCTCTGGGAGCTCATTTGGACGGCGAATTGAAGATGTCCTCCATCCAACCATATCTTTGTTCGTTAGTTAAGGCAAACAATTACTCTCATCAATGAAACAAATGTGAAAAACCATTGACAGTTACTTCACAAGAAATGTTCTTTTTCTTTTCAGGGAAGGATACAGTCGAAGTTCACATTTGCATACGCCACACGACGCTTGAAGGCATGTAAAGCTGATCTGTTGAGGTCATAAGAAAAAGATTGAGTAAGTGTCAATCTCAATCTGCAAGTTACCAATGGAAAACAAACCAAAGACACAGAGAAGCATTTACATGAATTTCAAGTCATCAGAATCTGTAGCCATCCGGATAAGAAGTGGAGGTTTCCCATCATCCTTATCCACAAGAAACAAATGCTTTCCGGTCCTCCCAGCAGCCAAGTGTGCAGTTTCGGATGCTTTTCTCTCAAGAAAAGGAAGGCCACAAAGAATCGGGAACTGAAGGAAGGAACACAAAGAGTAACCATGTCATACACAAAACCTAAAGAGAAACATTTGACACCTAGACATGCAATCTAAAATCCACACCTGTCTATGTCCCCTCGAACCAAGATGAGGCGTTGCGAAAGTTATAAAGTTTATAGGTTCTAACCCAGCAATTTCGCCGGGCTGTTCATAGAGCTTCCCAATGGCATATCTTGCAACGAGACCTCCTAACGAATGAGCCACAAATGAGATCTTCCTCAGTCCATTTCTGTGCTTAATAACAGACACAACCTGCAAAAAAGATTTTTACCAAGCAAAATTTGCAGAGAAGAGAAAACAAAGCTGCCAAAAACATCAATTTCTCGTGACTCTACCTCATTCGCTAGCCTCTCACCCATCTTATCAACACCATCAAACGTCAACGTTGCACTATTGCTCTCGCTACCTGCTCACGTTTATAAACTGATCAATTTCATCGAAAATCAAGAAATTTCGCTCTTTTGAAATACAGAGCATTGAGAAATTTCCAAAACCAAAATCCCAATAGGTTAAGAGAAACACTCACGGTGCACAAGTACTTTATCTGGGAACTTCTTCACGAACTGCTCCGCCGCATATTTCCAATCCGCCGAACTACATCATGGTCCAACCAGAGAAGTAAATCAAACTCTGTAACCCATAATACAGTAATCTGAAGTTGTTTTTTTGAAGCTGTTTGATTGATTTACCTGCCAATGATACCGTTCACCATGATTACTAAATGGTCCGGCTTCTCTGAGGACTCCATGGCAGCAGCATCGAAGAAATCCTCTCCTCCGCTGTCGATCTCTGTCTTCACTTCTCTTTTGCTCCGATTCGTCGCAAAGCAGCCGATTCCAAGGCGGTTCATCCACTCCATTTGATCGAGACTCTTTCGTTGAGCGGGAAATCGGAGGTATAACCCGAACCGGAACCGGAACCGCTGTTGACTAGGCAGAGGGAATCGCGGAGAATACGGAATGGATTCGGGGATCGAGATTTGGAGTCTGGAGAAGGACGTGATCATGTGGAAGTGAGAACGCGAGAGTAAGTCTCTAGATTACCGAAGTTACACTTTTTCCCGGCGGAGAAGCGTTAACATTTGCGGAGGCGCTAAGGAACAGTAACGGTGATGACACCTGGAAACGCTTAATCAATCATGTATTTTAATAAAATGATAATCCAATGTTATCAACTAATGATTTTAAATCTGTTTTTAACATTCAGTGTTTCTGTATTAAATTATATTTGTAAATCTTCATTAATTTTCTTTAAGTGTGGTATTATATTAAGATTTCAAATTGTATGAGTACTGTAGATTATTGAAAACAAAATTCAAGAGAATCCACACACATAAATTTTTAAATCTAGAAGATTATAATATTAAGAGAGTGAACTTTAAATCTATAATTTAATTTATTTCAATATTGAATAAGTAAAAAATAGTACTAATGTATAATTTACCAATTTGACAAAATCTGGAAGTTTTCTCTAACAAAACTTTAAATTAAAATTCAAAACATTCTCCGTTGCCGGGACTCGAACCCGGGTCTCTCGGGTGAGAGCCGAGTATCCTAACCAGCTAGACTACAACGGATTTGTGAGTGGATTGTTTATTTTATTTATTCATTGTCTAAATTCTAGTTTACAGTAGAAAACAATCGATTTTGTAAATATGAGTGAAATGTGTAAAGATAAAATAGAGTGATAATAAGAACTGCGCCATGTATTTTCCAAAAAGGCTTAGAGATGTAGATTCATATAGTATTCATCAAAATACAATAATGTTGTGACTTGTGAGTGCAAAAATTGGCTGGCATGTTGACATATCGGAGTGTTTCAGTGAAGATCCACTATTTCCCCATGCCAGCCTTATCTAATACGGACAAGATTAGTGTTCACGGGACAACGCATATATAACACAATCATATCATCAACATGATAATATCCATACAATAATACAATCCATATTTATCCTCGAATCATTTTCTTTCTTTCTAAAATTTACAACCTGCCAAAGAAACCAATCCTTCATCACAAATGGCAATCCACGTTACGCGGTAAAACAAATAGACATGCGCCGCTAAAAAAAGCTCAAATTTGTATCCAAACATTTTGTAACAAAATTTATCCTTTCCCCTTTTTATTATCGTGTATATATAAATAACACACTTTGAACCTCCTAAACCATTAGCACCCAAAAGACAATAAAACTCCCAGCAGAAATAAGCATGAACTCATCCTATTTACGAGTAATATTACTCTTAGGTGCCATTAATGTCTTCGCTTCTATATCAATAGCCAATGCTGCAACAATCGGTCACATCTTCCAAATCAGTAAGAATTTGTGTCCGGGATGCAGCCACGACTCCTTACAGTTCTTGTTCCGACACAACTTGGTACGTTTCGCAAGATTTGAACCTCCGTTGATATGGGACCGCAGACTCCAGAACTACGCTCAGAACTGGGCTAACCAAAGAAGAGGAGATTGTGCTTTGAGACACTCTTTCCAAAGCGGAGGGTTTAGTCTCGGCGAGAACATCTACTGGGGATACGGCGCCAACTGGTCTCCGGCCGACGCCGTGGTTGCATGGGCCAGCGAGAAGAGGTTTTATCATTACGGCTCCAACACGTGCGACATTGGGCAAATGTGTGGCCATTACACGCAGATCATCTGGAAGAACACGAGGAGGGTCGGGTGCGCACGTGTGGTGTGCAACAATGGTGGAATCTTCATGACTTGTAACTACGATCCTCCCGGTAACTACATCGGCCAGAAACCCTATTGATCGTTCATTCATCTACTAAAATTTTCTTTGGTCTTATTTTTAGAAGTTATTATGACCTTTTTAAAAAGGAAACTAGGGGGTTACCCACGCCTAATGCGTGGGGTTGAGATAACTTTAAATTTATCGTACTTAAAATTAATTATTATTGAATGGATATGTCATTTTTTATATTATTTTTAGATTAATATCTATTTTGTTTCTCAATTAATCCATATAAATATTTTTAGTATAATAATAAGCATATTGTCTTGATTATTAATATTGTGTTTTTTTTGTTTTAGAATAATGAATAGATATTTGGTTATTTATTTATGTGTATTATTATATGTAAGTTAAACCTTTAATTTTTTTATTATTATATGTAAGGTTTTTCCTATTTTTAGAAAATATTAATTATGTGATTTGTTCAAAAGATTATAATGTAACTAATCTAAAATACATTTATAAATACGTATTGTTCATAAAATTTAGTCAAGATAAACCTTCTTTGAAATTTATATTAAGAAAGCAAATAGTAATATCCATTACATATTTCACTTAAAATACATGTAGGAAAAACAATTTTTAAATTTTAATGCAAAATATAATTCTGCTAATTTTCACCAAAACTTGTGTCTAAAACTTCATACACTATTTTCATGCACTAAAAAAAAACTGTTTTGGACTGTTTGGTGTTTACCAAAGAAGTTTTGAGTGAAAAGCATAAAAAAAAATTTAAGTAACCAGGTTGGTTTTAAAGTTTTTATGCATATTTAAAAAAAAAAAAATCCAACCTGATTTTAAAGTCTTCATCTTCAATATTTCAGCTTATTCTTTATTTTCATAGTTTTTGTTTTGCATATCTATAGCATTGTCCAGCTTTCTATCTTTGTTGGTCAATCGACAGTTTAGACCATTTGTAGGATTATTCTTTTTCAAATAATAGAGATTATTTGGTTATATAATAATAGAAAATTAAATAAGTAGAAACTTTCTAATCAGAAGTATTTTTTCATTGTAAAATACAATGAACCTTATTTAATCGGTAATAATATTTAATTTGCCATTAGATATTATTTTGTATAAACTAAATTATTTTCAATATAAATTAAAAACGAATGAAATTAACAGTGACCATAGAACATTTGAATAAGTCTCGCATGAATGTTAAAACAAAACCTAAACTGTTTTTTTTTCTATGCAAGACTTCCTAAAACTACATTAATGATACAACGGTAATCATCAAAACAGAAATTATTCTCTGTAATATATTTTTGAACCTAAAAACAAAAAAAGAATCAATGTCTTCAATTTTGAAAACTGAAGCAAAATCTTAAATGAGTAGCTGTCATATTAATAGAGACGCAATTAATAATAAAGATCTCGTAGTAAAAATCATATATTCGGGCTTGCATACGGAATTTAAGAAGGGCCAGTGATCTAAATTCGAAAAAGCATTTTCAAATTAAATGAGTGACCCGACCCGACGATGGATCCGCGTGTTTATCCGTTTTGCAACTAAATAATTTAATTAAATAAATCAAAATTCTCCAAAAAAATGAGAGCTCGCCACATCAGCAAAAAATGCATAGTCTTTAATATATTGTAGGATTAGGTGGGTGTATTGTATGTTTTACTAGAAATAGATTTATGTGGGGTTTGTGGTACTGATTATGTTTGTATCACAATACATGATTATTTTACTTGATGGGTTGTAATTGCATTTACGGTTATTGATATATATCCGTATGAATGCCCATTATACCAAAATATAATAAAGAGAAAATTATTTAAAAAAATCCCAATTGCACAAGGGAAATTTTTTTTGTTTGTGTATATATTTAGCATAGTCATGCTCACAAGTACATAAGTGTCATATTTGTTTACGTTCAAATTTTTAAAATATGTTTGATACAAATCATTTTTTTTTTGTTCCTTTCAAATATATCATACATAAAAGTTGGCTTTCAAATAATCACATCGTTGTTGTTTCAGTCGATTCTAGGATGAATTTGAGGATGATTTACATAGGCCAATAATTTGAATTTAGCTGTTATATATATATATATATATATATATATCTAGGATATATAATAGATGGAGTCATGGAACTATGGGGTGCTCTTTGTATATAAAAAAATAACTCATTCGGGGACATGCCATTACAAGATGAAAAGTAGAAAACAACAAATTTTACCAAAAAAAGTAGAAAACAACAAAACGCTCATAACACCACCAACATAAGATCCATACCATACGATAAGCTCGAAGAATTAAAACATATACAAAGAAATTAAATCACCAAACGATTGTAATTTAAAATCATATTGTTAGACAAAAGTTAGTAAGGATTCTCGCCGACGTAGTTACCCGGTGGGTCGTAGTTGCAAGTGATGAAAACTCCTGCGCCATTCTCACAGACAACTCTAGCGCAACCTACACGCTTGGTGTCACGCCACACGATCTGAGTGTAGTGACCGCACATACCGCCTTCACACGAGTTGGTCATGTGGTTGTAGGACTTAGCCTCCACGGTCCATGACTCCACTGCGAAAGTCGGTGTCCAGTCTGAGCCACTTCCCCAAAACAAGTTCTCACCGTATGGACCGGTCGAGTGGGTTAGGGAGCAATCAAACCGCCTCTGATTAGCCCACCATGTTGCGTAGCTCGCGATCCTTCCGTCCCATTCCAATGGAGTCAGACCTGAGTATGGAACGAAAATAATTAAGTCATTACAATTAACAGTATGAATAGTATACTTAATTTGATCCAACGTACGTAATAACAATATTATCAATTTGTCCTTAGTAGACCGTGTATATAAGACATAACCTTATTGTCGAAAATTAACATATGGTCATAGTTTTTAATTATTAAAATATGAAAATACCTAAGCTGGTCCGAACAGAATTATGCGGATCAAGGAACTGTTGTTCAAGAGAGCCTGCGGGTGGATGGTAGGACGTGGGAGGAGGATGATAGAGGATGGGTTTGGGGCTGGGAGTTGGGAGCGGCTTCGGTTTGGCGACATAGGGAGGAGGGCTCGGGCTCGGGAGTGTAGGTAGCCGTGGACGGTAGTAGTCTGCGTGGACGGCTTGGATGGCGACCAAGAGGAGGGCAATTGCGGATAGTATGGCTCGGGTTGATATTGTGGTCACCATCTTTTTTTTGGGGTGGAGTAGCTCCAAAGATTTTGTTTTGGATGGTGGTGGAAGAAAAAATGATTTGATGTGGTGATTATTTATATCTTTTTTACATAGTGTTATTAATGATGACAATGCAATTTGGGAATGTCAACTAGAAGTGGCTTCCATGTTCGATTATGGTTACCACTCTATGTTTTGCTTTGGTAAAGGAGACTTGTAGATATTTTAACCATGCAAGTAGGCTTTTTTCTTATTCCATACATATATATTGTCTTTAGACTAAAGATAAATAAAATTGTTTGAAGTATCAGAATAAAAACATAATTATGTTTAGTGAGGTACTGAGCCTGAGGTACATAATTTATAATTATGATATATTAGTTTGGTTATATTTTTTTGTCAAGATATGTTAGTTAGTTTGTTTTTTTTTTGCTAAAGTAGATATAGACTTCAATTTAACCACCCAAGTATCACTGACTTTTTTTTATAAAAAAAATCTTCTTTTAATATTGTAAATTTTGTTTATATTATCATTTCTATGACCGACTTAGTTCTTTAATAAAAAATACAGTTTTTTTTCTATGTTCTATTTGGTTTTAAGGATATCCAAAAACTAATTGATCATATCTTACAATAAGTTTCTGAATTAGACAAAACCACAAACAATTCTGAGTTCTGACATTGTACGTTGTACTACAAAAACTACAAACTACAAACAATTCTAGCCAATAATGGGCCAGATCAGGTTTGGGCTAACCCAACTGTTAGTACTAAATTGAAACATTCCTTACCCATTTCTCAAAAACCCTAAATTGAAACATTCCTTACACTGAATACCAAAAGTGACTTACAGGATACGGATACAAATACAACACAGAAAGATGCAAACCCATTAAGAAGTAATCCATAATTCAGAAAAGGTTAAACAGACAAAATCGAAATCAATCTTTTAATTTGTTTTTGAACAAAGGAGGAAAGCAATGTTAAAGAAAGACTTTTATTAGCTAAAAGACAAAAAGCTACTAACCATGTGGAACGTACGGCCACGATTTTATTCACATTCCGTACAGTCACATCGGGAGCCGTGGATCATCTGGAGAGAATGTCGTTGTGGGGTCCTCACTTATTAGCTGACACGTGACTATCACGACAGCTCCACGGTGGAAATACGTAGACCTCACCACATCCTATTTGTTCCACCACACAAAAACCATTCACTCGGTCACACCACGGTTGACTTGACACATAAAGTCATTAACCAAACGAATAAAACAACGAGAGAGAATCGAACTAGGAAGGAGACTCAGTCTGACAAACCATCGACCAACAAAAAATACTCTCACTTCCGTCGCCGGCGGATTTACTCAGTCGTTACTCTCACCGTACATGTATTTTCCTTTTCGCTCGCTTTCAATTTTTTTTAAAAAATTCTTCTAATAATTGTCACCGAGGGAGTCTACGTGAAGTCTTCTCCGATTCCCGGGAGAATTTAGTTACGTGATTTAGGGTTTTTGTAATTTCTGGGGTTTTGGATGATTTCCGATGGTTTCTGCAGTTCAACTATTGTGTATCTGTTCGTTGCAGATCTGAGAAATTAGTTTTTGCTTGGCGAAATCAGAGTTAGATGGATAGAGGGCATAATATGAATCGAATGAAGAGGATCTTAGAGGACAACGATGACGACAAGCCTGAGCGAAAGCGTCCTGCTCTTGCTAGGTATTTTTTTTATCTTCATCTTCTCTGCTTTACCCGATTGTTTTTCTGAAAAATTCTTAACATTTGAGACTTTCTCTGATCCTATTGCTCTTTTGCGCAGTGTGATTGTTGAAGCTATGAAAGTAGACAGTTTGCAGAAGCTTTGCTCGTCCTTGGAACCTATCCTCCGCCGAGTTGTAAGATCTTCTTGCTCTATTTCTACTGCATCTTTGCTCTCGTCTCTTTAAAACGTTAGTTTTGTTTAGCTATGAGTCAGTTTTCTTTTGTTAAGGCCTTATTGTTGCTGTGCAGGTCAGTGAGGAAATCGAACGTGCCTTGGCAAAATTAGTCCCTGCAAGGCTCAGTGGAAGGTAACTTTCTGTTGAATGTAGAGCTGAGTATAAGCTTAGTGTCACTTGATATCTTGAAATTCTCGACTATTATGCAGTTCTGGATCTTCTCCGAAACGAATTGGAGGTCCGGATAGCCGCAACTTGCAGCTGCATTTCAAGTCTAGGCTCGCTCTCCCTTTATTCACTGGAGCAAGAGTGGAAGGAGAGCAAGGCGCAACGATCCACGTTGTATTGGTTGATGCAAACACTGGACGTCCTGTAACATTTGGACCTGAAGCTTCTCTAAAACTTGAGGTTGTTGTGCTCGGTGGTGACTTCAACAGCGAGGATGAAGAAGACTGGACGGAGGAAGAGTTTGAAAGCCATGTTGTTAAAGAGCGTGAAGGGAAGAGACCGTTGCTTCACGGAGAACTGTGTGTTGTGCTCAAGGAAGGGGTAGGCACTTTGGGGGAGCTAGTTTTCACGGATAACTCGAGTTGGATTCGGAGTCGGAAGTTCAGGCTTGGTTTAAGGGTTGCCTCTGGGTGCTGTGGTGGTGGTATACGGATACGTGAGGCAAAGACTGAGTCTTTCGTTGTTAAAGATCACAGGGGAGAATGTATGTGTTTCTTGTTCTTTATCTCTTTGTATCTTTTGATACGGATAAGTTGTTGGATTGAAAAATTTCTGTATGTGGTCAGTGTACAAGAAGCATTATCCACCTGGTTTGAGTGATGAGGTGTGGAGATTGGAGAAGATTGGTAAAGATGGTGCGTTCCATAAGAGGCTAACCGTTGCAGGAATTGTATGTGTGGAAGACTTTCTGAGAAAATTGGTCAGGGAACCTGCAAAACTACGTGGTGTAAGTGTCTTATAATATTATCAATCTCGTTGCTAAATGCTATTGAAGGAAAGTATGCATTCGATTTACTTTACGCTCATGAATCTGATGTCTAGATTCTTGGAAGTGGCATGTCAAACAAGATGTGGGATGTGCTAGTGGAGCACGCAAAGACATGTGTCTTAAGTGGTAAGCTTTATATCTACTATGCTGAAGATTCAAGGACTGTCGGTGTTGTGTTCAATAACATCTACGAGTTAAATGGCCTTATCTCTGGGGATCAATACTTCTCTGCTGATTCACTCTCTGACAGCCAAAAGGTCTGTTACTCTCTCCTTTAAACTTATTTGGCACTTGATCTTTGTTATTAGTGATGTTTGATAGTAGTACTAAAAGTGCGGTGTTTGATTCTGAAAGGTATATGTGGATGGATTAATGAAGAAAGCATATGAAAACTGGAACCAAGTTGTAGAGTATGATGGCAAAACTCTGTTGAACTTCAACCAGCCTGAGCGGTTTGATATTTCTCAGACTGATGATCCTGCAAACTACGCTGTCCATCCGATGCAAGTGACAGGGCTTCCATCTTCACTGCCTTCTAATCACTATCCGGTGGTTTCTGAATTCTCAATTGGAGGTTGGAAACCGTCCCTTGTACGTTACTAGATTTGCAGATATATGCGTTCTTGGTTCTTATTATATTCCGTTTCTGTCTTCGTTGCAGGGTATAATCAACCGCAGCAAGATCAGTTTATGGGATACGTAGCTCAGACTCATGACCTAAATGAACAATTCCAAATTGTTTCGCAGCAAGATCAGTTTATGGGTGGACATCAAACTCAACACACCATAGAGAATGAAAATGTAACCGGACCGGCTATTGGTCCTCCACAGTTATTCACAGGCGGGTACCAAGACATAGGTACATCTCTTCATCAGGCAAATCTTAATCCTTTAGAAAACTGGTCAAACCAGAGCGAGAACGGCTTCTTCTCGGAGGAAGAGATCAGGCGAAGAAGCCATGAGCTGCTAGAGAATGAGGACATGCGACAGCTGCTCCAGGTTTTCAGCAACGGAGAAGACGGATTTGCTTTTATGCCAAATACACCGTTGATGCAAGGATATGAAGAGGACCGTGTAAGGTCAGGAAAAGCAGTTGTTGGGTGGCTGAAGATAAAAGCAGCAATGAGATGGGGAATCTTCATAAGGAAGAAGGCTGCTGAGAGAAGAGCTCAGATTGTGGAGCTTGATAATGTTGATGACTAGTCAGGTTGCTTGCTAGTGTATAGAAAATCCCTGTACAGTTTAGGTATATACAAGAGATCACTTACCGTTCAGCTTTGGCCATCGTTATTCGGCTTTTGTTTTCTTGACTTGGGTTATTAGACAGAAGCCTCACTTGCAATAATGTAGCAATTAGGTTATGACATCAACATTTGCTCTTTCCTACATTACTCCATCCAGTCTATGGTTTTGTTCTTATATTCATGGTATGTTTTCACTTTTCAAGTAGCTATTTGATTCTTCAGAGAACTGGAATATCTCTAGTTCTTGATAAATAAAGTTAAGAATAAAAAACATAAGAAATGGCTAATCTTGAAGAAACGCTTAAACATGAGCAAAAGCTTCTTGAGTTCACAGTCTCTAGATTCGGAAAAGCAGTAAAGACATTAAAACTAAGTCAAGCCATGATTTTGGCAGAACGAGCATAGAGACTATCAACAACCATCCCTGCGTTTGCAATGGTATCAAGAGTCGCCGAGTAGATAGAATCCGCCTTTGGATCTTCAAACACAACGAGACACCCAGCTCCCTGATCAAGAACACCTGCAAACTTCTTGTCAAGAATCATCTGAGAGAGTTTCTTCTCCACATGGTCAATCGGCAGTCCAATCATCTCAGCGACATGAGCAATCTCCACTCTCGAAAACGGCTCAATCAGACGGCACAAGTTCTGCTCCATAAGCGTGTCGTAGAGAGAAGACAAATGCCTGTGGACAATCGGATCTTCCTCAAGCTGCACCTTAAAGTCACGAACCGCACTCTCAAACAACTTCAAAGACCTCTTGGCATGAGCATCAGCAACTGCTTTCATGGCATCAAGATCGGAGCCAACGTACTGCAATCCAGCCTTTGAAGAGATTATCCCTGCAACGTCATCAGCTTGGCTCACCATGATCTTACACAGCAACATGTATTTCAAACAGAACACAGCTCTCGGATCCGCGAGAGCGTTGAAAGACTCAAACGCTTCAAAGAAGTAACTGTAAGCAGTCTTGTAATCTTTCTCTTCCGCGTGAAGAATCCCACTCTGCAGATCAATGGTGCCCTGTTGAGCTGGTGGGACGTAGATAGCATTCGCCGCGGTTCTAGCGGCAGTGAGTGAAGCTTTAGCCTTTGGTAAGTTTCTCAGCGAGAAGTGAAGTTTGCTCTCAAGCAAATCAATGTCAACAAGAAGAAGCTTATCATCTAATCTCCTTACTTCTTTCACCAAGTTCGTAATCAGCGCCAAGGCTTCGACGAACTCCTTCTTCTCCATCAAGAGAGAAACAAGCTTCGTCTCTACTCTCTGCCTGAGGAAAGTGCGCTTCTCGACACGTGTCCATTCGACCATCTCTCTGCAGAGACTGATTTGGAGATCGGTTGTTCCGTGGATCTTCGCAACGGCGTCGATGACTCCTCTGACGATTTTAGCAGTTTTGGCCTTTGGGATGAGAGTGAAGAAGGGTCTGAGGTGAGTTAAGAGCATCCGGAGATCCTCTGCTCTCTTCTCCTTGGAGAGAAACTCGGAGAGGTTTGAGATCGCTTGCTCTTTGATGCGTAGAGCTTCTGGAGACGTTGAAGCATCTTCCAAGATTCGGTAGAGGATTGAAATGGAATCTTCGGAGTTCTTAGCTTCTAGAGCTTGAGTGATAGACTCCGTTGTTGCAGGAAACGAGGCCATTGGTTGGTTTATTATCAGTGTCAAATCAAATCCCTGCAATTGAAAACAACAATCATATACTGTATAAAGCCTGCAATTTTTTGATTTCGATTATCATTCTCTTAGATTCATCGATTTTTCTCCAGCTACGAAAGCAAAAAAATACCCAGAAGCAGTGAAAATTACCCAGACTGGCGATTTGCACACAAAAGACCCAATAAAATCACCTTACAAGCTAAATACTAGAAAAATATAAGCGATTCGGCAAAGAATTGATCGGATTTTGCATAGAATCTGAGAACAGTGCATCGCATTAAGCTAATCGATGAACCATGAGAAGAGTAAGACTAACCTTCGGCAGCAAGACAAGTTAGCTCGGAAACAATCTGATTCTTTTTTTCCTCTTCAAACTTGCAGATTTAATAGAAAGACGGACTAAGAATGGGCCTTTTCTATAAGCCCATTTATGCTGGGTCTCTCTATTAAAGATCCAATTGATACAAACTAAGTAAATACCCAATTGAGTGAAAAGTACTGTCACTCATATCATTTTTTTTTTTTTTTTTTTAACTCCAAGTAGGATGAGAGAACCAAGCAAGTAGATTTTAAGATTACAAATACACTGCACGTAACATGTTTACATATTTTAGCATGTGACAAAAGGAGTCACTAGGTTCGGTAATAAACTATAGGAATTTGTTAGTTGTTACAATATCCTTTAGCGCCTTTATTTGACTAATTTTGTTACGTAATATTGATTTGATATGAACAAGATTTTTTTATTTATTGGAGAAGATGAAACTTGATAGGAATGCTTCTAAGAAGGCTGCAGCCACTTGGAGTCTTGGGTGAGATGAAACTTGTCAATAACGATGGTTAACGGAAGATGAGATCTTTCTTAGCTGTGTCCCATACGCTCTCATCTAGAAAGAAGCAACGAGAGTTGGTCAGATTAAATTAATGCATTTCTTGACGAAAAAAAGACACATTTAACAAAACCGCGTCTCCAACTCCAAAGCCATATCTATCTAACCATCACTTTCCATCTTCCAGCTGTTCCGAATCAAAACGCGCATTTCTCTTCAGTCTTCACCAAACCCATCGTCCGAATCCAACCGAACCTTCCTCTCTACTCTTCTTACTATATATACACAACCAATTCAACCTCACAAAAAACATTCAACATCACACAACAAAAAGGAGACTTTGTACAATGGTGATGATCAATTACTCCGCCATCTTGGTTCCTATGCTTTCTGCTCTTATGATTTGCTCTGTTTCCGCCAACTTTAACCGAGACGTGGAGATAACTTGGGGAGACGGACGTGGACAGATCACCAACAACGGCGATCTTCTCACACTCTCTCTAGATAAATCTTCCGGTTCGGGATTTCAATCCAAGAACGAATACTTGTTCGGTAAAATCGACATGCAGATCAAACTCGTCGCCGGAAACTCCGCTGGAACAGTCACCGCTTACTATGTAAGTGTTGTTTTTCTCAAGTAGTTAGTACACATGTTTTTTCAAGTTTAGTGTAATTTTGCTAAATGGGATTTTGAATGTTTTTTTTTCTTTTTTACAGTTGAAATCGGCTGGATCTACATGGGACGAGATTGATTTTGAGTTCTTGGGAAACCAAAGTGGCGATCCTTACACACTTCATACTAATGTCTTCACGCAAGGCAAAGGCGATAGAGAACAACAGTTTAAACTCTGGTTCGATCCCACAAGTGACTTCCACACTTACTCTATCCTCTGGAACCCACAACGCATCATGTAAGCGTTTTTTCTTTGTCTTCTTGGATAAGCTGATCCGTTCCGAAACTTTATCAACTAAATCCGAAAAAATGGTTAAAATAAAAAAAGTTTTTTCTATATATCCAAAATTTATTTTATAATTAAATAGCAAAAAACACATACATGCTAGATAGGTTAGGTTTTACTTTGGTTACTAATCATGTTTGGTTTTTGTATTCATTCAGATTCTCCGTGGATGGATCTCCGATAAGAGAATTCAAGAACATGGAATCTCAAGGGACTCTGTTCCCCAAGAACCAGCCGATGAGAATGTACTCGACTCTATGGAATGCCGAAGACTGGGCCACGCAGGGTGGTCGGGTCAAAACCGACTGGTCTAAAGCTCCCTTTACCGCTTCGTACCGTGGCTTCAATCAAGAAGTTTGCATTGTGTCAAACGGAAAGTCATCGTGCGGGTCAGGACAAGCGAGTAGTGGTTCGTGGCTTTCACAGCAACTAGACTCAACGGGTCAAGAACGGATGCGGTGGGTGCAGAGTAACTACATGATCTACAATTACTGCACGGACGCTAAGAGGTTCCCTCAAGGACTTCCACGAGAGTGCCTAGCTGCTGCGTAAAGCTTTTGAACAAAAAGATCCAAAACCATAGAAAGGAAAATGAAAATTATATTCTTTATTTCATCATATAGACTATAGAGTAATTAGTCTTTGGTCACATCTGTTTTTTATTCATTTTATGTAAGTATGTGTATTTAAATGATCCATCAATCACCTTACCAATAAAATTTATGCTAGTAAACTACAATGTCTCATTTTGTGTTTAACTTATAATAAGAAAAGTAAAAACTAAAAAATTACTGAACATCAATTTCTGAGATTCCTTTTGTTGATTCCTCAAGCAAAAATTATAAATTATAAGCTATTTGACTATTGAATAACCGATTTTATATAATTATATAAAGGTGGAATCCTTCAAACATTCGAATTTACAAACGGCAATTTAAACTAAATTAATGTTTAGCAAAAGCAAGAATGATTTCTATTGTTGGTGACAGATGCACAACAATTAATAATATATCGAAAAAATTCCCACGAACATGTCTACGTCGAACTGTGTAAAGGCCGAATAATTCTTAATTTAAATAACATCACATATAAAGTTTAAGACTACCACGTCGACAATGTGCCTCCACGAAACTGTCTCTATATAACCTATTATTTCCGACTCATCTAAAATCACCAACAAACACTACATCTCTCACAGCGAGAAACAACAGAGAACCGAGGAAAAATGGCGTTTCTCGCAACCAAACAGTCTCTGTTGTTGACTCTTCTCGCCATTGGCTTCTTGGTGGTGGCTGCATCTGCCGGAAACTTCTACGAGAGCTTTGACATCACTTGGGGAAACGGTCGTGCCAACATATACGAGAATGGACAGCTTCTCGTTTGCACTCTTGACAAGACCTCCGGCTCAGGTTTTGTATCCAAGAAGGAGTACTTGTATGGTAAGATCGACATGAAGATCAAGCTCGTCAAGGGAAACTCCGCTGGCACCGTCGCCGCTTACTACGTATGCAATTTCCTTGTGCAACTGATTAGGGTTCTTTGCATCTCAAAAGTAATAAATCTCCTAAGTTATTAACTTATTATATATGTTGTGTGGCAGCTTTCGTCTAAAGGCGAGACATGGGATGAGATTGACTTCGAGTTCTTGGGAAATGTCTCAGGACAGCCTTACACTATCCACACCAATGTTTTCACCGGAGGTAAAGGCAACCGCGAGATGCAGTTCCATCTCTGGTTCGATCCCACCGCCGATTTCCACACTTACACCGTTCATTGGAACCCTTTGAACATCATGTAAGTATATAGTTTATCAGAAAATCCAATCTTGTATATAAATATATGTTTTAAATCATTCATCATCAATTGGTTTTTATAACTTTTTTTAAAAATGTCTACTATATATATCATTTCATTAGATATATTCTTCTTGACATTTGGTTTCTTGTCCCTGAAGCTTCCTTGTGGATGGGATGCCAATTCGGGTGTTCAAGAACAACGAGAAAAGTGGAATAGGTTACCCTACGGGCCAACCGATGAAGATATACTCAAGCCTTTGGGAAGCCGACGACTGGGCCACGCAAGGCGGTCGCGTGAAGATCGACTGGAACAACGCACCATTCAGCGCCTCCTACAGGAACTTCAACGACCAAAGCTCATGCAGCAGGACATCGAACTTGACATGGGTGTCTTGCGACGCAAATGAGAACTTGTGGAAGTGGACAACTCTCAATGACCACCAGAAGGGACAGCTGAAGTGGATCCAAGATGAATTCATGATCTACAACTATTGTACCGATTATAAGAGGTTCCCTACGCCTCAGACTTACCCCAAGGAGTGTAATCTTTAAGATCCTACTACGAGATTTTTCCTCGGCATCTTTTTTTATTTATTTCCCCTTTGTTTTATTTCATTCTTCTGATGTTACTTTGAATTATTTTCTTTTTTCTTCTTGTGGTGTTTCAAAGATACGACAATACACGTATACGTAATCTTGCTGAGAAAATAAAAAGTTGTACTCATCAATTCATTTTATCTCGCAATGTCATGTGATTGTTTTTATTTTGCGTGCATTGTAAGCAAGATCAAAGTGCTTAAAAAAATAGCCACGTAAAGAAACACAACAATCAAAACAGTGGAGTCCTTTTAGAAAACCCGAGAGGTAACTAGCTAGGTTATCTCCGATTATATAACTTAAGTACTAATAATTAATTATATGTTGATCAAAAAGTACTAATTGTATTTTAGACCGCAGAAGAATTCCCTGGTGTTCATCCATCCGGTGTTCAGTGTAATTTTTTTAACATGTTTATATTCTGAGATTTAGGAATTGAAAATACTTCAAAGTTTAAATGTTTAATGAATGCGTTGGTTGGTCCAACTACCTAATAGGGCCTAACATTTAAGACTGTTAAGAGTCACTATTAGGAAATGCACTTTTTTGGACAGTCCAATTTACAGCACACAACGTGTATTCACTTCCTCTTCGACAATAATGTTTCAAGCTAAAATTACATTTTCAGTATATAGTTTTTTTCGTTTCATATAAATATATCAGATACATTTTCAGGATCGTAGTCTCCATAATCTCATTTTTCTACTCACTGCATCCAATATGTCGAGAAAGGAACATACAGTTGATATAAAAAAAAAGTTTTTGATATTGATTTTTCTATAGTTAGGATAAAATTTTCAAAAATACATATTAACTGACGGATGATGAACAAAGGTCCAAACAATGAACTTAATGCATATGTTATGTTTAGGTTGAGATGGTTGAAGAGAATCGATGGTATAAATTTGTCATTATCATCTTAACTACTTTCTGGCTTAAGTCAAATCACCTCAATTAGAGCCAGTCGTGACAATGAATGAATGTTGGTGTATATCAATCGACTAAATGAATGTTGGTTTTGTGCTTGCAAATTTGACTTCAAAACTTCACTTAAAGAGAGATGATATACATTTTGTGAAACCGTCACAAGAATTGTAAGAAATTGGTTCTACTTCTAGCCTGGAAAAACTATGAGAGCCAAAATGTTCTGATTCTCTATGATAGAAATTTCCTCAGGTTACAATCAAACAAATACGAGAAACCAAAATTTTAATGTTACTGTTCACAGAGGAGGACAAAATCATCTCCCTAATCATCACGAAGATTTTTGGGTAACTAAACTTTTAGAGGCAAAGACAGAAAATTAATTAGAAATATACGGATCAAATTCACTGAACGCAGTTAGTTCATCAAACATTCAATGCGAATCGAGAAGTCCAACTGTATTTTACTTCATACTCATACAAGTGATCTGCAAATTGCCGCGTACATAAATATACATCATTATTAATAAATTACTTATGCCCCAGGCAAATCCTCAAATCTAGACCATTCTATATATAATACTCCTATATACATTTACAAATCATATATGTCAGAGTCTTCCTTTATTCTCATCATTAGAGGGAGAGCGGATAAAATAGAGAAAAGAGATGGTAAGATTAAAGGAAACAGAAGTGATCCTGAGGCTCTGTATCGTCTTTCTTCTTCTCCTCACTTCTTTGTTGGTCGGTTTAGGTTCTGAGACCAAAGATATTGCTTATATCCACAAGAAAGTCACTTTCAGAGAATTGTTTGCCCTGGAGTAAGTCCATTTCCTTTATTTTGTCAATTATATAAATTTGTATATGTAATAACTGACAAATCTCAGCTCTCCATACGATATTAATATCATGAGACTGATGCAGAAAACCTGCAAATAAAACCCTTCATTCCCTTTCTTTTTCTTCTGCAACACTAACATTCCATGTTTCTTTGAGAAGGATTTTTTTTCAGCCACATATCGTATTCAATAGTATTAGATTTGAGCTTTTATGGGCGCTGAAAACAAAATCTTTTCTAGTAACAGTTCTTGTTTTGGTTAAATCGGCATGAAATTGTGTCTTTTCGTACTGTGGGGACATCTACCTTTTTCTTTTTGGTTTTTAACAAGCTTCCATAACATACCATCCCACAAAATAAATTGGCTATAAATTTTGTTTTTTTGTAATCTGTTTGTGCGTTGTTTGATTCTAATTCAGGGTTGAGTTGTACATAGTTGTTGTGGTTGCTGCATACAATATGGTTCAATTAGGGTTTGGTTGGTATGGTACTGAACAAAAGACCTCCAGGTCTAAATGGCTCTCTTACCTCTTGGATCAGGTATACATTAACTATCTTTGATTTAGAGTATCTTTAGCTACGCTTTAGATGTGTCTATGATATTAATTAATTTCGAAATTAAATAGACGGCGGCGTACGTGGTGCTTGCCGTGGCATCTGCAGCGGCACAACACTCATTGCTGGTGTTGACGGGTTCGGAGGAGCTTCAGTGGATGAAGTGGTGCTACAAGTTCACAAGGTTTTGCTTTCAGATCGGAAGTGGCATCTTCTTCAACTACATAGCAGCAATTCTCATGATTGTCCTCTCCTCCCTCTCCGCCTTCAACCTCTTCCGCCTCTACTCCCCTAAGCGTTACTTTCACTTAAAGTCCTCCTCATAAATAAATGTTGTGTTAAGCTTTTTATTAATCCAAAATAATGGTGATTAATGTGAAGAAAAATATTAATTAATCATTGATCCGACTCTTAACCTTAATTTGTGTAACTTCAAGAGTTCAAGTAAATGCAATTTTCTTCTTATAAATATCATTAGTTTTCTTGCTTGAGAAGTTAGGTGTGTACGAAAATATCATTATGTCAGGTTACTAAACCTAATAAGCTTTCCTTACATTTTCTTTTGGTTTCTTGTAATGGCTTTAGTGGTACTAGGGCCTATTATGGTGGTCCTTAGATTATTGATATATGGTAGGGCCTAAAACATGAGCTTGCCCAACTTAAGGCCAAGGCTGGACCTGATAAAATTGTAACTCATATATTTTTCAAAAAATTATCTTATCTAGCTGATGAAGAAGTATAGTTGGATGTGAATTTTACTAACAAACATTCAAACAAAATATTACTTACATGAGGAATGTAAAGAGTCGCAACAAAAATCTAAAAATCGACACAACGACTACAAAAGGAAATTGGGATTGTATTTTACAAAAAAAGATTGTTATAATTTGTATAACCATATTAGGAAGTTGGGGAAGTTTTCCCGAAAGAGATCGATATAGTTTTGTCCTTTCTAAGTTGGACTTGTGATCATTAGAATATGTACTATTGTTTGTTTTCGAAAGACAGATATTGTGCAACTAGCCCAATGATTCAACGTTCTCAAACCATCTGTCATATCTTTTCAAATATCTATTCCAAATTATCTGTAATTATGTTGCACCGCCACATATGAAACTAATTTCAACATTATTGTGTCGTACATCATAGACTAAACCCAAAAAAAAATATAAAAAAATAAACGTGAAGGTGAAGAAAGTTATACTTAAGTTGCCAAAGACAGTTAATTTTGTAACACGTAAATTTGCGTTTTGGCTTAAAAAAAATATGAAGAAAATTGTACTTTTACGACTAACCGTGTATGTAATAATTGAATTATAAATTAGGCAAGGGGAACATTGGTTTTCCCTTGTAAAGACAGTTCCATAAAACTGGTCGGATGTATCATTTGGATCATCAACCAGGACTGCATAAACACAAGGAAATAACTACTTCTGATCATTTGGCAGTCATCTCTAATAGATGTGAAAGTAAATGAACAATTCAACTCACCGGAAGGTGGGTGACTGACTCAAGTCTCAAAAGTGATCGACAAAAGTATGACAAAAACCTCTGCGTGTCGACATCGGCTCCCTTTGTCTCGAATCCTCCGACTTATACTCCAACAATTGGGTCTAGTGTAATATACTTCTTCTCAAGACTCTTGAAACAATACCGCCAACTGGTTCAGAAAACTGCTCCAACTTGCTTCACTAGCTACTTCATCGTTCCGGCAAGATAGTCTCAAAGATGTAGTCCTGTTTTTTTGCTTAAAATTAATATCTCATTTTTTATGACTTCACAGTTTTGTTCGCAACCTTTTTGTATCCAGTTTACTTAAAAGTTAAAAAGTTTAAGCAATTACATAAATGACAAACCCTAACACTTCTTCACCTTTATTACTCACATCTCAGTCAATATGTTTATGTATACAAGACTATAACGTTTAAAACAAAATCTTGACTATATTAGTCAAATAACTCTACTAAGAAAGTCCTTAATTTCGGTTAAATAGTCCTGATATCAAAATTTAATTTATTTCCTTACGTATGGTCAAACATTTATTTCCTCATTATGGTTCTAATTGTTATGAGTATGACCAAATGCATTTCTCCAAAGTCCAAACCCAAATTTGGCTTCTTTTCTTTTTTCTTGTGCTGATCCAAAAAACATTTGTTTGTATGCAAGTATGAACACCCCACATTTTCAAAAGCTAAATCTTTTCATTTAATACATTTTCTGTCTTAAAGTTATAAAAAAGTTTCCCAAAAAAGAAACGAAAAGTTTTTCAAAGCAAACAAACAAGAAAAGGTAGCTATCCAATTGTATAAATTGAGAGAACTCTCTACTAGTTTGTTCTCTTCTCTAATCTCTTTGTTTTCTCCAAGACACATCCAGCTGCAGCATCACAAGCTTGATTGCTACTATCAATCAGACCAAATCCCCAAGTTTCTCAAAATCCATATTACCCTTTTCTTCTCTCACCTTGATTTAGCCGTAAAGTCATCACCTTTTCAACTCCTTAAAAGCTCTCTGTTTCTCTCCTCTCTCTCTCTCTCTTTCGATCTACAACACTCTTTCTCTCTGTTAACGACGATGAAAGAGTATTGGACGTCTTTAGCTTCGCTTCTCGGCGTTTTGGCTTTTTGCCAGAGCCTAATGAACTCAATATTCCCGCCGGAGCTCCGTTTCGCCTTCCTCAAATGTTTCAACAGAGTCTTCCAACTCTTCTCCTCCTTCTGCTACTTCGACATAACGGAGATTGACGGCGTCAACACCAACGAGCTCTACAATGCCGTCCAGATCTACCTCAGCTCCTCCGTCTCCATCGCCGGAAACCGCCTCAGCCTCACCCGAGCCATCAACTCCTCCTCCATCACCTTCGGCCTCTCCAACAACGACTCCATCGTCGACACCTTCAACGCCGTCACCGTCGTCTGGGAACACATCGTCACGCAGCGACAAACCCAGACCTTCGCCTGGAGACCAATGCCGGAGGAGAAGCGCGGCTTCACGCTCCGGATCAAGAAGAAAGACAAAAACTTGATCCTCGACTCTTACCTGGACTACATCATGGAGAGAGCCGGCGAGATTCGCCGGAAGAATCAGGATCGGCTTCTCTACACGAATTCGCGAGGCGGGTCTCTCGACGCGAGAGGTCTCCCCTGGGAATCGGTTCCGTTTAAGCACCCGAGCACTTTCGACACGCTCGCGATGGATCCGGCGAAGAAGAAGCAGATCATGGAGGATCTCACGGACTTCGCCGAGTGCCAATCGTTTTACCAGAAAACCGGCCGGGCTTGGAAAAGAGGATACTTGCTCTACGGTCCTCCCGGCACCGGAAAATCCAGCATGATCGCCGCCATGGCTAACTATCTCGGGTACGACATCTACGATCTCGAGCTCACCGAGGTCAAAAGCAACTCCGAGTTGAGGAAGCTGTTGATGAAGACGAGCTCCAAGTCGATCATCGTGATCGAGGACATTGATTGCTCCATCAATTTAACGAATCGGAATAAGAAGCAGAGCACGGCGGAGAGCTACTATGAGCAAGAGACGTTAACCGGGTCCGGTTTAGGCGGTTTAGGAGAGGATTCGGGAAATGGGAACACGATTACGCTGTCCGGTTTGCTGAATTTCACTGATGGGCTTTGGTCTTGTTGTGGCAGCGAGAGGATATTCGTGTTCACGACGAATCACATTGAGAAGCTTGATCCTGCGTTGCTGAGAAGCGGGAGGATGGATATGCATGTGTACATGAGCTACTGTACGTTTCCTTCGCTGAAGATCTTGCTGAGGAATTACTTGGGATACGAGGAAGGAGACATAGACGACGGCGTTTTGAAGGAGATGGAGGAAGTGGTGGATAAGGCGGAGATGACGCCGGCTGACGTGAGCGAGGCTCTGATTAAGAACCGGAGGGATAAAGACAGAGCTGTGAGGGAGCTTTTGGAGGAATTGAGAAGAAGAGCGGAAAGAAATGAGAAGAATGGGAAAATGAGGGGTCAAAATGGGAGATTGATTGTGGCTGATGACGTGGAAGAGCAGGAGAAGAGGGCTTTGGACAGTCCTTATGCAGAAGAAGAAGAAGAGATTGAGGACAGCATTTGCAAGAATAGTGATGATTAAATTTTGTTTTATGTTTTATTGTTCTTGTGTTTTGCTAACATTCTATGTTTACACAATGTGAAAGTTGTGTTGATCTTTCTTGTTTTCTTTTGTTTTTTTCTCCTTTTTGTGGAGTCAACCCATTGAAGTAAACGAAAGCGAGAGAAGAAGAAGAAAGAGAACAAAAGAAAGAGCTAGAGAGTTTATTAGTTGAAAAAGAGCTAGTGGTGGGTGATGAAGATTTTTGTATGTGGGGATTGGAAAATGCAAAGAGAGATTATTGGCTCACCATTGGCATATCATATGCTGTTGTTAACTTGTTATTATAGTATTGCTATAAACTTCTTATTGGTCTTTTGTTGAGTGGTATGTACTTATCATATTTTATTAGGTATGGCGTATGGTAATTGACATTAGACTATTATATTTATTCGGTTGCTTCAGACTCCAATGATTAATTTATATGTAAGTCAGTGCATAATCGTATTATATGTAAAGAGAAGTAAGGTTTGGTTCTGAGATTTGGATATGGCAGGCTACTAGGTGAAGCACTCAAGAGCCAAGAGTCGACACTATTCTTTCCTTCAAGGAAAGGGTGTTCAATTCCAAATTTAGTTTGAATTTGGGTCCGGTTTATTTTTGGTGTTTTTGATTGTACAAATTGTTTTTGTTTTCTGTGTTTGTCGGCAATGTATATTTTTTTTTGTAACTCATAATGATCCTAAAAATCTATAGTAGTCGACTCATCTGGACTGTTCAAACCATTAGAATCTTATTACAATTTACGGCTGATCTTTCATCTCCTATAAGATTGTCCTCACATGCAACTATTTTGCCATAGCTAAGCACAATGTCTTTGTAACCGATTGGATATGTGTTCTTTCTTCATCCCTTAAATTATTCATCCACTTAATTACTAGTATTAGTTTTATATAACCTACCTAATTTCTCTTTGATTAAATGGGTATCCATTTGTGATCGAGTAAATGGAATTTGGTTTGTTGTACAAAGTGATGACCCATTGGATAAGATCAATGCCCTGTCAGTTTTAAAGTACAAACACAGAACGAATTGTTTAGCCTTAAGACCAAACATTGATAGTTGCCATGTTAATTTTTTGGATTTTCTTAGCATTGTGGACTCACCCATATGAAGTTTTGTCACAATGTGGTGTCGCTTTATTATATTTCTTACTTTATTTGTAATACACTATTATACAAGCAACAAAGTTTATGCTTCTGTTAATTGACTAAACAAACTGGATCTATCCATTGAATATTTTATTTGAACTATGAGTGTATCGTGCACAGGTGATAAAAATAATAATGTGAACATGTTAGTCGCTAATATGCTAGATTTGGATGATGTCTCTCTAGTCACATTACCACAAGCAGGATGAGAGTTGAAGCTTCCGGATGAGATAAACTTACAAAGTATTATAATGTCGTGAAATGATAATTGTGTACAAGAAAAAAAATCCCAAAAGAAGGATTTAAAATGAAAAAGATAGACTCTGATATTAGTACCCTTTTTGTTTGATTCGGTGAGAAATAAAAGGAAGATTTGATTTAGAAGTGAGTTGGAGATGATGCATGTACATTAGGCTTTTGTCGGAAAAGCCGTGAAAACTATAAGCCTTCTGACTTGGACACACGCTTTTACTTTTCCTTGCAATTCAATTTCTCATATGAATAAAACACACAAGAAAGAATCCAACGTATGTTTGTCAAAACGTCAACATTTTGCTCTTTTTTCTTACACATCACACCAAAAAGTTTTATTTTATTTTAGAAAACATATAGAAGGGAAAAATTTCTATTGGTCAGAGACTCAGAGCTTGTACGTCAAAATTTTGTAATTTGTACCCTTCAAAAGATCAAATTATATGAGTCACTAGCCCCTCGCGAGAAAAATAAAATAAAAGAGTCATAGCCCACGATCAAAATTAAGCCCAATAAACCCCTTTTCACAAAAAGGCCCAATAAGAGAAGCCCGATATAGAGTGACGTTATATATACGTCACAGGTGAATCTTATAGTTAGCGTAACTTGTCCAACTATGTTAGCAACTCCGACTAGATTCGTTGCTTTAAGAAACCCATTCCGATCTTCTATTAAGATTTCGATCCTCACTTCGCCACAGAAATCACTGATCAGAGCTTCAAATAATCTTCGATTCGTAGCGGCGATGTCGACCTCTTCTGCCGCCGTCAACGCCGTCACCAGCAGAGGATCTATCACTCACGTCATATTCGACATGGATGGTCTCCTTCTCGGTAAGTAAAGCAACTCAGTTGTTTTTTCTCTCTTCGATCTTTTCTTCTGCTTGACTTGTGTAACTGCCATTGTAGTGGCTTTTTTAGTTTTTATTTTTAGAATCCTCTGTTTCAGTTTCATGAGTTGACTTTTTGATTAGACTGATTTTTTATTTTCAATGTAGTTCGATTTTAAATCACTGTACGTTGATTTGTAAAAGTAGTTTGGTCGGGAAAATAAACTGACAAAATCCTAGTATGATTAGGAGATTGAAAGTACGAGGAACAGTAAAGAAACTGCTCTGAAACAGAGCTTCATTGATCTATGAAGTCCATTTGTTTATAATAAAGTGAAAAAAAAAACACATTTTTGAGCCCCTTTTGCTTCTCTCTGTTTTTGAATCACATTGACAAAGAAAGACTCCAATTTTGTGATTATGCCAATTTCTCTACTGTTTTGCAGACACTGAGAAGTTCTACACGGAGGTTCAGGAGAAGATACTTGCTAGATACAACAAAACATTTGATTGGTCTTTGAAAGCGAGGATGATGGGAAGAAAAGCGATAGAAGCTGCCACTCTTTTCGTTGAAGAATGTGGAATCAGTGACTCTCTTTCACCTGAAGAGTTCATTGTGGAGAGAGAGTCAATGTTGCAAGACCTCTTCCCCACAAGTGACCTAATGCCAGGTACAATCTACGTTTTCTACTTTATGTAGAATAACACAAAAGACACATTTTGCTGGCATGGTCTTATACTCTTCCTCTGTTGCAGGAGCTAGTCGGCTTCTCAGACATCTACACGGGAAAGGGATTCCAATTTGTGTGGCCACAGGGTATCACTAAGAGTGCAAATAGCCAAATATGTGTATTTTAGCTTCTTTCCATGTAGTTATTGTCCTTTTTGGCTTATCTGATTTAGCTTCTTGTTTGTGCAGTACACACACCCGGCATTATGATCTGAAAACACAAAGACACCGTAAGCTTTTCTCGTTGATGCATCACATAGTGCGTGGAGACGATCCAGAGGTGAAGCAAGGGAAGCCTGCACCAGACGGTTTTCTTGCTGCAGCTAGGAGATTTGATGTACATATATAAGTCATGAAAACTATACTATAAAGCCATAACACTGATATGAAACTCTATTAGCTTGTGTGTCAACCTGATGTCTGTCTCTTCTTTGTGGGTTTTCATAGGACGGTCCTGTAGATCCACGGAAGGCTTTGGTGTTTGAGGATGCTCCTTCTGGAGTCATGGCAGCTAAAAACGCTGGAATGTAAGTTCCCCTAAGGCCTCCCAAGAGATGAGCAATTAGTCCTATACGGCTAATCTGTGGTTTGTGATTGTGTGTGTGTGTGTGTGAGCAGGAATGTGATAATGGTGCCGGATCCAAGACTAGATAAGTCCTACTGCGATGCTGCGGATCAAGTGCTGGCCTCTCTGCTAGATTTCAAACCAGAGGAATGGGGATTACCTTCCTTCGAGGATTCACACAACTAAAGACCATAAAGCTTTTAGGGTAACGTTATCCTCAAGCTAACGATACTTTTTTTTTTTTTTTTTTTTTTTTTTTTTTGATAACCGTGGGATCCTAAAGGCTTTCTAGGCCCACAGACTAATACCACGAGGCCCACGGCAGTCCGCGTATTCTTACCATTTAAGGCAGTCCGGGTGGCCAAGGGGACTCGAACCCAAGTGGCGGAAGTTACAGCTGTGACCCCTTTAACGATACTTGACTGATTCGCTTTGATTTTTTTATGATTCAGGCCCTGAAACCTTGTATTGAAAAGATTTCGTACCCTTTACAATAAAAAATGATAGATTCTTATTGGGGTATTTTCCTTTATATGATTTATAATTATGATTTGATATTTGATCTATGATTTGTTAATTTACAATCCATCCCATTAAAGAAGATTGGATAATTTACAATCTTCTTATCTATTCGATGGTAAATCTGCAAAAATCTTCTACCGATTTTCATCTCCATAGCTTAATAATTAGTTAAGCATTAGAGCACGTTTTTAAGCATTATGCCAGCCTGAACACAGCTAACACTCACTACAAACAAACAAAAAGAAGCAAGAATCTTGGATCACTTCCCTAAGCACACCACGAAACCGGTAACGATGTAAGCGAACGATTACGTAATAAATGATACGACGATGGATCTACTAGCGCTTCCTCCGGATCTCCAGTTAATGCTCTCTCAACCAACTCTTTTGCTTCTCTATCATCTCTCTATTTACACATTCTTATCTATGTTTCTATATAAATGGGAACAGAAGATTTAAGAGTTGCCACCACTCCGTGGATTTTTATTTGAATGTAAAAACAAAAACAAAAATCCTTATCAGCAATTTCAGAAATATCGTTTCTCTTCAACAACTTTTCCAATGGTAAGTGGATCATTATCTATCACCTACTTAGTTTAAAAAAAAACCCAACTGTTTGAGATTGTACCATCTAGTAGTCTGGTATGATTTATCCTACTAGTAAGATTTTTTTTGTTGCTAAATGATCTATATAGTACAATCTACTAATCGTATTTATCCTACTCGGTCTAACAAAAAACCTGAATTTAAAGAAAACACAGAGCATATTTGTATGGTACCTTCTCTTAAATTTTGTTGTCCTTTATTTTTATAGATCTCCATCATAATCATATCATTTTAAATCAAGCCAACTAAGATGAAATACAAGTTTTTGGTACTTTTGGCTATTTAAGGGTTTATATATGAGTGGAGGTACCATGTTGGGTAGTTTGCGGAGTTGAGAAATGGTACTTAAATCAAAGCCCGTAAACAGGTGTTTAAGGTTTAAACTTATAGATTGGGTGGCTTTTATGTGTGTTAAGGCAAAAGAAGGAGAAATTAGAAGGCATCTTGTGCTTCTCAAACCTGTCTCCTTGGAGGATGAGAAAGATTCTGAGCACACAGCTTCAAGTGTAATCCGTCGGATTCTTAGCCTCCTCAAGAACGTACGCCCCGGATCCGATCTAACCAATTTTCAGGTGTAATATCTTAAACCTGGTTTAAGTAAAATTTATTGCTATGCCACCAACAATAAATTTTACCAAAGTAATTTTTCAAAACTAAAAAACTCGTTCAAATAAAATATCTTATACTCCCTCCGTTTCAAATTAGTTGTCGTTTTGGCAAAATGTATCTGCAAATATTTGGACGTATTTGCAATGCAAAATATGTCCAGATACGTCCAAATATTTGCAGATACATTTTGCCAAAACGACAACTAATTTGAAACGGAGGGAGTATATAATAGGAGAGTTGCTCTCTCCATCTAAGCTATCCACATCAGCAAAAAAATTCATTAAATTGTTTTTAAGATATTTAATACATGACTATTCATATTTCTTTACATATATTTATATTTTAAATATAAATAAAACTAAGAAAAATACACAACTAAATTACTTAATTAATATAAACTATGTGATAATTTGATGTTAAAAGTTATGAAAAAGTTTAAATATAAGTAAAAATATATTTAACTTGAAATGGTATATATTTACCTTTTTATTAAAAGGATTTATCCTATTTCTAAATGTTATAATGTGTTTACAAATTAAAAAGTTGATATAAATTAATTAAAATAATAAAAAACCAATGACAAAGTAGAGTTAGAGTTTGCTTTTTTAAACAAATAGAAGTCGAGTTTTTATATGTAAATTTAATTGCAGTGAAAAACATAATTTTAAGGATTGTGATATGTTTGTTTTAAAATATATTCACTTACAAAACTAACATAATAGAAAATAATCAATGGTCATGAGACTCATATGCTACCACAACAAAGTAGATATGTAAAAAAGTATATATATTTTTTTTCATCTTATTTCGGTGCAAATGCGATTTTACATTATACTTACAAATTTTAACATTGAGTCAAATACATATGCATGTTTATAGTCTAACAGAAGTAAACAAACATAATATTTATAATATGCTAAAATGTTTAAAATAGAAAACTCGAGATAAAGTGGGGTGTTAACATCCTAATAAAATAAAATAAAAGGACGTGCGATGTGAGATAAAGTATAAATAAAACTAAACAGAAAACTATCGCAAACAACCCCGCGCTTGCGCGGGGCTTCAAACCTAGTTAAACCAATTTGTAACAGTCCAGTTCTTTCCGTACAAATCACGTCATTTTCTAATAATTTTCATTCTTTTTTTTTCTCAACATTAAATTCATATAGATGATGAGTATGCAATTTTGTTCCTTTAAAAGTTGCTAATTGTTTTCTTTGAACGTAAAGCTACCACCTCAGCTGAACCAACCAAAATCGCGACTCCAATGTTACGCCGAGTTGATTTACAGCTTCAGCGGTGATGATATGCTAGGGGAATGCAGCCGCCGCGATTCTCCCATTGAACGGCTTAAATCGGTGGTGACATGGAACATCTCCCATTTCCGTCCGGTACTTATTGGCCAGTCTGCGTACAATCCCATTCTTGGTGAGACTCACCACGTCTCAAACGGTCACATCAACGTCCTCATCGAACAAGTATAATTTTAAAGAAGCATTTTATGCTAATATTAGTCATAGGAAGTATTTTATCATAGAGTAATATTTATACTATTAGAATAATTGCAACATATATATATATTTGCATGGTTAATTTTCAGGTATCACATCATCCCGCAGTGTCCGCACTTCATGCTACTCACGCTAAGGAAAATATTGACGTGACGTGGGTTCAACATTCCAGTCCTAAATTTCGTGGTATGTTTACTATTCATTATATGAAGCAGTCATATTATTTCTGCTACATTCAGATTGTCACAAAACCATCAAAAACCACAAACAATTCTAATAAGCATCCGGTTAAATCTTTTTCCTAAACGAATGCATATACAAATATACAATATACTGTTGGAACTAATTTTCGCAGTCCTGCATATATTTCTCTTGCGTAGGCGTTTTGTATATTCGAATAGTCTTTTGCTTTTTCAACTCCTTCGTTGTGAAATTTTATTTGTGTATGTACTCCTGGTTGAGTAAGGTGCTTACGTGGAGATTGAGACGAAGGGCAAAAGAGTAATGAAGCTTCAAAGTCGAAAAGAGACTTACGATATGAACCAACCGAGACTAATTGTAAGATTGTTACCGACGCTGGGAGCTCAATATACCGGAAAGCTCAAAATCAAGTGTCCGGAGACCAATCTCGAAGCTGAATTAGACTTGAACTCTGATTCGTTCAGGGAAAGATTCAGAGGCAACAACAGCAGATCCATTAAAGGAAAGATTTATGAATCTTCCTCAAGGGATAAGCTCTACGACATCTTTGGCCATTGGGACAGGTAAAAATATAAATGATGAAGTCATTACAGCTCTTAAGAACATCAGAAGCAGAAATAACACTAACATCACATGATGTTTCAGAACTGTAACGGCGAAAAATCTGAAGACCGGTGAGGACGAGGATATTTACAATGCCAAAGAGAATATCTCAGGACTTAAGCCACCAGTTGTCAAGAATCTGCAAGAAGTAATGGAGAGCGAGTCGGCGTTGGTGTGGGGTGAAGTAAGTGAAGGGATACTGAAGAAAGACTGGGAAAGAGCTGGAAAAGCTAAGAGGCTTGTGGAGGAGAAACAGAGAGAGTCTCTGAAACAAAGAGAGGCTTCTGGTGAGTCTTGGATTCCCAAACATTTCTCAGTGGTCAAAGACGGTAAAGACTGGGACTGCTCACCGCTAAAGCCCACGGTTCCTCCGGCTCCACTCGTCATCACAGAGGCACAAGGAGAATCATAAACCGATATCTAGATGCCAAGACTTTGTGCTGAGGATTGATAGCTTGAGTTATTACAATTCCATGATATTATTATGCTATAGCTAATCTCCATGCATCGAAACACAAGTAAAAGCATACTTTTAGGGTAACGTTATCCTCAAGCTAACAATACTGGACCTTTGATTCTTTTATGATTCAGGCCCTGAAACCTTGTATTGGAAAGATTTCATACCCTTACTTGACAATAAAAATGATATTATATGATTTGATCTATGATTTTTGTAATAACGTGTGTTTTCGTGACAAAGGGTATTGGCTTGGCGTGGAATTCTTAATTTCTTAACAATTTTTTTTTTCTTTCTAAAATTAAAACTTCAGATATGTAGATTCATGTCGGTAGCCAAATTTAAGGATCTTGCACGTCTTTACTATTACTAGGAGACATCAAAAGAAAATATTGTTGTATATATACACCGACATGTTTGTTACGAAATATAAATTGAACTGTAAAATAAAACGAAAATGGATATCTCTACCATACCAAAAATTATATGAGATCACAAAAACTAACATTGATAGATTAAAAAGTTTTGTTACAATTTTAATATGGCGCAACATACGTGTTTGTGTTGCATAATTCTTGTAGCAATCTTTAGTTGATTGCTTCATGGTTGAAAGTTTCATGATAGTATTATTCATTTTAGCGATCCTGTTTGCAAGGGCTTGAAGATGATGTAGATAACCAATTGGCTATATCTCGACTGGTAAAAGAACCTTAGATGTTATATTATCGAGTGCCGTTTGGGATGAAACCAATATTACGTGTTGTGGTTTCGGGCTTAAGGGGATGTAAGGTTTGTCCGAGAACATTTTAGCAATTAATTAAAAAAAAAAAAAGAGAAGATGACGTAGATAACTGATAATTAAAGAGGACTCAAAGTTTGGCGTCTCTTTGGAGTTTTGGTCGTAAGTCATCACATGCGCGTATGAGCCGTCCAACCCCCAGAGTCACTAACGTGCGCTTCGTATCAAAGTTAACATAGATTTGACAAATTCTATTCATTTCTCTAAGATTGACTAACAAAAGAAATTGGATACATGGTACCTTGACCGTGTAAAAGCAATTGAGTCATTGAAGGGTTAAGCAATATACAGTACAAAGCCAAACAAATCTTGGATGCATACTTACAATATACATAATCGACTCATAAAACACGTAATTATACTCCAACTTGATCATTCATGGTCTCTTCCGTTCCTTCTTCTCCACCTGACTAGAATCTCCCTCTCATATAAATATATACATATATGCCCATGTAGCCATAATTCCCAAAGTCCTCACACACAATCTCCATCTATTTCTTCTTCTCCAAACGAAAACATACCAACAAAAAATCATATATACTGAATCAAGAACTTAGCATAAGATACCATATTGGTCCTAATTATGGAAAACGATATATGCAAGAAAGTATCATCAATCTCGAGAAACTCATCGGTCGGATACTACTGTCACCGGAAGTCGGAGGGTGTTCCGTTCATGTGGGAGATGCAGCCAGGGACTCCCATTAATAGTCAGCCGTTGGAGATTGTTCGTCCCATCAGTCCTCCTCCGGCGATGCTCAGCCTCCGTCTCCCCAAGCCATCTATATCCATTCAAGAGCCAAAGCAGTCTGTGTTTCCAGCAAAGCTGAAGCTGCGGAAATGGAAACATATTCGTTGCAAGAAATATTTCTCTAGATTGACTAACAAAATGGTTTTGTCTTCGATATGTTTGTACCCTGACAAACGCTAGATTGGCTAGAATGTGTAAACTGGCCGAGTTATTTAATTAGGCCCATCAATAACGTGTTGGCAAAGATAAATAATATAACGTGTTCTGTTCTTCTAAGAAATATTTTATATGTAAACCAGGTTATTTATCGTTCATCAGAAAAAATAATATTATCATCAATCTTGGAACTTGGATCACTCCCCTAATTAAGCAGATCACAAAACGGCGATGACTTAAGCGAACGAGGAGATAATAAATTATATGAAGATGGATCTAACGACTAACGCTTCCTCCGGAGCCATCTTTAATGCTTTTCTCATCTTTTTTCCTTCTCTATCATCTCTCTATTTAGTTCTCACTCCTTGCTCTTTATTTATCGTTCATTAATAACAGTACATAACATCAATAGATTTCAGAAATATCTTTTCTCTTCAACGACTTTTCAAATGGTAAGTGGATCATTATCTATCAGACACTTAGTTTTTTTTTTCTGAACGTTATTCCAACTGTTGAAGATTGTACAATCTATTTATGATTTATCCTACTTTTTATAACTAAATCCTGAAATTTGGTGGTTTTTATGTGTGTAAAGACAGAAGAAGGAGAAATCAGAAGGCATCTGGTGCTTATCAAACCTGTCTCCTTGGAAGATGAGAAAGATTCTGAGCAAACAGCTTCGAGTGTTATCCGTCGAGTTTTTAGCCTCTTCAAGAACGTACGCCTAGGATCCGATCTCGCCAATTTGCAGGTGTAATTTTCTTAGACTTTAAACCCTATTTTGAAAAAAGGCTTTAAAGTTTAAACCTTGTTAAAGTAAAACTTACTGCTATATTACCATTGCGTTTTTCTTTTCTCTATAAACAGATGTAGTGAGAAAAACAAAAATTGTGTTAATATATTTGTATAAACTTAGAGTAGTAAAAAAAACAAGGTATTTACGTGGAAAATGAAATGATATGATCCAAATTAAAATTAAGATGCCCAGATCTGAAGGAGAAAAGTCCAAGATTACTTTTTTGTGGGAGCGGACCAAATCCATATATATGTTGTTCGTATGATGATTCTCTCTAACAGTTAACTACTTATAATTTCCGCACAAATCACGTCATTTTCCAATATATTTATAATTTAAAACTTCTTAATTATTTTCTTGAATGTAAAGGTACCACCTCAGCTGAGCCAACCAAAATCGCAACTCCAATGTTACGCTGAGATGATCTACAGCTTTGGCGGTAAGGATCTGCTCGGTGAATGCAGCCGCCGCGATTCTCCCATAGAACGGCTCAAATCGGTGGTGACGTGGAACATCTCCAAACTCCGTCCCGTACTCTTTGGGTCTCCGTACAACCCTATTCTTGGCGAGACTCACCACGTCTCGAACGGTCACATCAACGTTCTCATCGAACAAGTATAATCTTATTTATTAGTAGTATTAATCAGACAAAACATTTATTAAACAAATAAATAAAAAAGCCTAAAATGGTAACGATTAAAATCAAGATTGAATTGATATTCCGATTATACTACTCTGATCAATGATTTTTTTTTTTTTTTTTTTTTTAGCCTCAATGATTTGTTTGTGTGGTTTCCTAAAACTTACTTTTAGTGATTTTCTTAATATGATTTTTTTTCCATAAAAATAACTACACTTTTTGAACAGTTGCAACATCTATTTACATATGTTAGTTTTCAGGTATCACATCATCCTCCAGTGTCCGCACTTCATGCTACTCACGCTAAGGAAAATATTGACGTGGCATGGGTTCAATATTTCAGTCCTAAATTTCGTGGTATATATATTTTTTTTCCTTTTTCACACAGATGTAGTCTAATTGTGAATATCCAAATTATCGCAAAGCCAAGTCTAATTGTGAATATCCAACCAAAAGCAAAACCAATTCGAAAAGGCGTCCAGAACTAGCAATTTGAATTCGTTGTGAACTAATTTGTGTGTGTGTTCATGCTTAAATAGGTGCTTACGTGGAGATTGAAGTGAAGGGCAAAAGAGTAATGAAGCTTCATAGTCGAAAAGAGACTTACCATATGGAACAACCGAGACTGATTTTAAGATTTCCTGGCCCTGGAGGATACTGGGACGGCAAAACCAAATTAAAGTGTCCGGAGACGGGTTTAGCAGCTGACTTACACTTGAACTCCGGTTCCTTCATGGAAAGATTCAGAGGCAACAACAGATCTCTTAAAGGAAAGATTTATGAATCCTCCTCTGGGAATATGCTCTACGAGATCTTTGGCCATTGGGACAGGTAAAAACATGAATGGTGAAGTCATTACAGCTCTTAAGAACATCAGAAGCAGAAATGACACTAACATCGATCCCATAATGTTTTCAGAACAGTAATGGCGAAAAATCTGAAGACCGGTGAGGTCGAGGTTATTTACGATGCTCAAGAGACTATCACAGGACTCAAACCTCCAATTGTCAAGAATCTGGAGGAAGTAATGGAGAGCGAGTCGGCGTTGGTGTGGGGTGAAGTAAGTGAAGGGATAATGAAGAAAGACTGGGAAAGAGCTGGAAAAGCTAAGAGACTTGTAGAGGAGAAACAAAGAGAGTCTCTGGAACAGAGAGAGGCTTCTGGTGAGCCTTGGGTTCCCAAGCATTTCTCAGTGGTCAAAGATGGTAAAGACTGGGAATGCTCACCGCTACAGCCTACAGTTCCTCGGGCTCCACTCGTCATCACAAAGGCACAAGGAGAAATCGTAAACCGATTTCAAGATTCCAAGACTTAGTGTTGATGATAGCTTAAGTTATTTCAGTTTTATGAAATACAATACCATCTTCAAGGCCAATGCAGCTCGTCTCCATGCATCAAAATCACAAGCACGTAAAAGCATGCTTTTGGCGTGAAGTTACGTAGTCAATTTTTTTTCTTTCAAATTACATTTCCAAAGTTAAAACCAATTACTATTACTTATCTAAAAAAAATTATTTTAAGAAGTTTCATTTCATACATCACAAGTGGTCATTAAAATAGATAATTTCTTGTTTAGACTTCAAAATGCATCTTCTTGATAAAATAAATCAGGAAATGAATGAAGTACAAATTAAAAACACTAAATCACTAATTACTGTTATTCTGGATGCAGTATGCATGCTTAATATTGTTTCGACATTATCATATTTTATCGTGCCGGTGGAAGGTTTGACCCAATGAAGCAGCTCAACAAATTATCAAGACTATATATTGTTGCTCATATTATTAAGTCTTGCTTTTTTTCACGAGTCTAGTAATAGTATAGTATAGGTCACCATTCCTAGTTGACTGTACGGGGCGGATGGGTAACAAATCTTGACCAGTGTCCAGCCCATTATCAACTCCAAACGATAAGAAAAACCTGATTTTTCTCCCAAAAAGAATTACTCCCTCCGTTTCAAATTAGTTGTCGTTTTGGCAAAATGTATCTGCAAATATTTGGACGTATCTGGACGTGTTTTGCATTACAAATACATCCAAATAATTACAGATACATTTTCCCAAAACGACAACTAATTTGAAACGGAGGGAGTAATATATAAGCCATCGGACTCTGCAAAGAAGATTCGAAAAAATTACAGCTAGGGTGCAATCTACTTATCTATTGAGTATCTGCTAAAACCTCTCACCGATTTTCATCTCCAAAACTTAATTAGTTTAAGACTTTAAGGCATTAATTAGAGCACGTCTTTTAGCATTCTGCCAGTCTAAACATCACAAGTCAACTAAAAATGATTTCTACAGTAAACAAAATCTTGGACCAGTCCCTTAAGCACAGCACAAAATGGCCACGTTTTAAGCTAACAATGAGAAAAATTAAGTGATACGGAGATGAGATCTAAGCGCCTTCTCCGGATCCATATTTGTTAATGCTCATCCAGCTCATTTCCTTCTCTATCCTCTTTTTCTCTTGTTTTGTAACTCATATTTCTTCTACCTATGCTTCTATATAAATGGAGTAAAAGGTTGAGAGTTTATCATTTTCGATACTGGTATCAAGTAAACTGGGTTTATTTGCCTTTTTAACCATATATATATATAAAAAAAAAAAAAAAAAAAAAAAAAAAAACTCATCAGTAAAATTTTTGAAATTTCTCGTTTCTCTTCAACGACTTTCCAAATGGTAAGTAGATCATTCTCTAGATATCAGCTGTTACAGATTTTACAATCTAATCGTGATTTATCTCCTCAATGTAAAGTTATGAAAACATAGAGCAAATTTTTAGTACTCAATGTAAATGGTCTGTAGTTTTTATTATATCTCCATCTTAATCATGCCATATTCTAATCAAGCTATTTAAGATAAATTTAGAATTTCTTGGACAATTGTAGGGCTACACATTTATATATATGAGCGTGGAGGAACTATGTTGAGGTTTCCAGACGTATTACATGTGATTAGTTTTGAAGCCAGTAAACAGCTGTTTCTCGGCCATTAATTCTGGTGTTTAAGGTAGATTCAATTGGTTTTATTTTTCGTGTGTAAAGGCAGAAGAGAAAGAAATCAGAAGGCACCTTGTGCTGGCCAGACCTTTCTGCTTGGAAGATGAGAAAGATCCAGAGTACAAAGCTTCTAATCTCATCCGCAAGATCCTCAGCCTCCTCAAGAACGTACGCCCAGGATCAGATGTCACAAATCTTCAGGTATAGTTTTCTTATAACTTTTTGTAGGTACAAAATTATTACTCCCTCTGTCCCACTATATAAGCTGTTTAAGGTAAAATACAAAAACCAAGAAAATTAGTTTTTAAAAGTAAAATATTACTTAATATATAACTTAACCAATCATGAAGAAAGACTACAAAATATAATTGGACACACAACATCCAATAAAGTAAAAAGTGCAAAACAGCTTATAATTTGGGACAAATTTTTTTTCCAAAACAGCTTATAATATGGGACAGATAAAGTACCATATTACAGAATGACAAGTGGATGGACCAAAAAAAAATGACATTTGTTTTTTATTTTATTTTACAAGATGCCAAATGGTAAGTAAGTCGGTTTTTTACCTTAAAAGCTACTAGTATTAATTATTTACTTGGGCCGTAAAGCTGCCAACTCAGATGAACCTGCCAAAATCAACCCTCCAATCATTCGGCGAGGTGATCTACAGCTTCAGTGGTCTGGATCTGCTCGGGGAATGCAGCCGCCGTGATCTTCCCATTGAACGGCTCAAAACGGTGGTGGCGTGGTACATCTCCCAATTCCGTCCGGTAATCTTTGGCATGTCTCCGTTCAACCCCGTTCTTGGCGAGACTCACCACGTCTCCAACGGTGACATCAACGTCCTCATTGAACAAGTACATGTCATGTTTTTAATTTTTTTTTTAAAAACAATATAAAAGATATTCACGTTAAAATAGTCGATCACCGTAAACAAAGCAAAAACTATTAAAAAATTACAACTAAACGAAAGTTACGAAACAAAACTAATTTTACGATCTTGCATTCAGACTTTTTTTGTACAATAATGAGGTTTTCTTAAGGAAATCACAATAAGGTTAATGCAACGCCGATTAGAGTTTTCTTTTCTTTTTCCTTAAAGTCAATGAAGTTTATATTTTTAATAACGTTCATTAAACCGAGTGTGTAAAATACAAGCACCATGTTTAGTCCTTTCGGAGACATCCGATAGAAAAAATTATGTATTTTGAAAAACCAAACAAATGATGGTTTTTAGTAAGATATTTGCACTAAAAAAATATGAAACTGACAAAACGTACGTTTTCAACATCGTGACTAAAAACGGATAGATATTGTTAATATTCAGGTATCGCATCATCCTCCGGTGGCCGCACTTCATTCTACTCACGAGAAGGAAAATATTGACGTGACGTGGGTTCATTATTTCAGTTCTAAATTTCGTGGTATGTTTATTTACATGTGACTGTCAGATTGTTTATGCTGCATCCAAACTATCACAAAACCAAATTCGAATATGCGTCCGGTTTGCTCTTTGCTTATGGCCCGGTTAAGTTACGAAATCTAACAAGTTTGAGTGTACTCATGGTGAAATCAGGTGCTTACGTGGATGTTGAGTTAAAAGGGAAAAAGGTATTGAAACTTCTAAATCGACAAGAGACTTACAATATGGACCAACCGAGACTCACTGTGAGATTCTTGCCGTCTCCGGGAATTCACTTGGCCGGAAAAGTCAAGATAAAGTGCTCGGAGACGAATCTTGAAGCTGAATTACACGTGAACTCTGATTCTTACATCGAAAGACTCGGAAGCAATAACAATAGATCAATCAAAGGAAAGATCATTGAATCTTCCTCTGGTAATCAGCTCTACGACATCTTTGGCCATTGGGACAGGTGAGAACACAAATAATAAGATGATGTAGTTAATGTCACTAACATGGTGCCATAACGGGTTCAGGACAGTAATGGCGAAAAATGTGAAGACCGGTGATGTCGAGGTTATTTACGATGCGAAGGAGAACATCACAGGACTCAAACCTCCAATTGTCAAGAATCTGCAAGAAGTAATGGGGAGCGAATCGGCGTTAGTGTGGAGTGAGGTAAGTGAAGGGATACTGAAGAAAGACTGGAAAAGAGCTGGAGAAGCTAAGAGACTTGTGGAGGAGAAACAGAGAGAGTCTCTGAAGCAGAGGGAGGCTTCTGGTGAGTCTTGGGTTCCTAAGCATTTCTCAGTGGTCAAAGACGGTAAAGACTGGGACTGCTCACCGCTACAGCCCACGGTTCCTCGGGATCCTCTCGTCATCATAGAGGCACAAGGAGAAATCGTAAACTGATGAAATTGATTTACAAGATTTTGTAATATCTTATTTTAGGACTTCTGGTGAGTCTACGTACACAAGGAAAATTTGATATTTACAAGATTCATTCTAGTTATCTATTCGATGAAGAATTTGCAAAAATATCTACACGATTTTTCTTCTCCAACTTTATTAATTAGTAGAGCATTAGCAATTTTTCTAAAAGCATATTAGGCCAGCTTAATATATAAACTCAAAAAGATTTCTCATAACAACAAGATAAAAAGCATGAATTGTAGACCACTCCCCTAAGCACAACACAAAACGGCCACGACAAGATAATAAATGATACGAGAGATTAATTTACCGACCAACGCCTCCTTCATAAATTAATGCTCACCCAACTCTTTCCTTCTCCATCATCTCTCAAGATAGATATTCTTATCTATGTTTCTATATAGATGGAGCCAAAAGATAGAGAGTTATCACTATGGGTACGTTAATTTCATGAGGAGAATTTTGAGTCTCTGGTTTTTATAATTTTCAGAATCATTTCAGAAAATAACTCTTTCTCTTTTATTTAACTCATTCCTTAAAAAAACACATCAATAAAATTCAGAAATATCGTTTTCCTGCAACAGCGTATCAAATGGTAAGTGAAGTGGTCATTTAATTATTCTCTGTCACACACTTGGTTTTGGTTGGGGCATGCTTACATATTTTTTAGATTGTACGATCTGATTATTATTTATCCTACTTTTTATAACCCAAAAGTTTAAATCTAATGAAAGTAATTGCCTTCTGATCTGTTTGGTACGTACTCTGAATTGATCTATTGTCTTTGGTTGATATCTTCAAGTAATTTCTGAATCAAACCATTTAAGATGAAATGTTAATGATATTTTCTTGGGAGTGCATATATAAGGTTCTATAGTATATATGACTATGAGTGTGGAGGAACCGTGTTAGGTAGTTTTCGGACTTGAGAAATGGTGGTTGATTCTGAAGCCGGTAAACAGCCAATAAGTTTTTTAGCCGTTAATTCGGGTTTTATGTAAGGGATACTTTGGAAATTAGGTAGTTTTGAGATACGTGTTGGGTTTAAACTGATAAATTGAATGTTTTTTATGTTGTGTAAAGGCAGAAGAAGAAGAAATCAGAAGGCACCTTGTGCTGGTCAAACCTTTCTCGTTGGAAGATGAGAAAGATTCTGAGCATGCAGCTTCGAATGTCATCCGCAAGATCCTTAGTCTCTTCAAGAACGTGCGCCCAGGATCCGATATCACCAATTTTCAGGTATATATAGGTTTTTTCTGAAGCCTTGTTGAAGTAAATTATATTGCTATACATTCAGAACGGCCATTGCGTATTTTTTTTCTCTTCCTAACAAATATTATTACTCCGTAGTATTAACCTTTAATAAAGATATATTCATAGGTAGGTGTACACAGTATGCAGTACGCAGAATGCATGAAAGTGAACTCTCGAACCATCTCTTCCCTCAATATTAATTACCTCTAAGAAAATATTGTCGTTTTCCGGTGCACCCATATTTTTGAAATAATGAGTGCACTATTATTTTGTTGGTATGGTTTTCTTACTTGTACATGTACTGTAAATATAAGAGAGGTATCATATAGACATATAGTTACGGAAAAAAAGAAAAAGGTAGCAACTAGACTAGTTAGTTTAATTCTGTATATTATTTCGTATCATCGATATCTTTAACAGTTGAACATTATATACTTCCGTTCATCATTTAATCGTCCTATAAATTCTTTAGATGTTGCGTATGCAAAACAATCTCTAGTTTCTTTTAAAGTTGTTTTTTTTTTTGACCAAGGCTTTTCTTTTAAAGTTGTTAATTATTTTATTTGAACATAAAGCTGCCACCTCAGCTGAACCTACCAAGATCGCAACTTCAGTCTTACAACGAGATGATCTATAGCTTTAGCGGTGAGGATCTGCTGGGGGAATGCAGCCGTCGCAATCTTCCGATCGAACGGCTCAAATCGGTGGTGACGTGGAACATCTCCACACTCCGTCCATTGATTTTTGGAATGTCTCCGTACAACCCCGTCGTTGGCGAGACTCACCACGTCTCCAACGGTCACATCAACGTCCTCGCCGAACAAGTATAGTCATATATATTTAATGAAAGTTCGATAAAAAATCACCGTCCAGTCATATTCAGATACTTTCGTATACACTTTAAACACATTGTGATGAGTATTTTTTAAAGAAATCTCTTATTTAATCCATTTGTTCGTTTTAATAATACATTATGGTACGTACATGTATTGTTAATTTTCAGATATCACATCATCCTCCAGTATCAGCAATTCATGCGACCCATGAGAAGGAAAATATTGACGTGACATGGACTCAATATTTCACTCCTAAATTTCGTGGTATGTTTATTAACAGTCCATTTATTATTCAGATGTAGCAGTCAAACTGTTTCTGCCGACAATTCTATGGTCCTAGCTAAAAAATCAAGCCTAATTTTGAATAATCCGTCCAAGAACAGGACTAATTCGTATAATTTCACCCCGGTTTACTCTAAAACCGAACCATCACTTCTTGGTTCCGTATCTAATTTCTGCATGGACTTCATGGTGAAATCAGGTGCTTACGTGGATGTTGAGGTAAAAGGCAAAAGGGTAATGAAACTTCTAAATAGAGAAGAGACTTACGATATGGACCAACCGAGACTCATTGTGAGATTCTTACCGTCTCCGGGAGCTCACTGGGCCGGAAAAGTCAAGATAAAATGCTTGGAGACCAATCTTGAAGCTGAATTACACTTGAACTCTGATTCTTTCATCGAAAGATTAAGAGGCAACAACAATAGATCAATCAAAGGAAAGATCATTGAATCTTCCTCTGGTAATCAGCTCTACGACATCTTTGGCCACTGGGACAAGTAAGAACATGAAATCATTACATCTCTCAAAATCAGAAATTGAAAGATTTCGTTGAAATTGTTCGTTTGGAAATTTCCTGAAAAGCTAATCATAGGTTCTTCTCTCCATCGGAACAATAGGGCCGTTATGCTCATTACGAAACTTGTTGAAGAGATGAAATATAACCAAGGTATATCTTTTTGATCAGAGGTTGAATCGATCATCAGAAGAAGAATTAGGCCAAAAATTAGGATACATTCTGGAAAAATAAAACTTCCATCGAAGAGAAGCAAATGAAAGGCTTTCATAAAAATTCTCGTAGAATCGAGAATGAAATTTTCATTCTGTACATGCCAGATCATGAATTAGTAACTGCATCCAATCTCAAAAAAAAAAACCAATTTTTGATTTTTGGAATGGAATATTTACGGAATCCCCATGAATAGGATAAAACCTTATTCCATGGTATTTACATGAGATTGCTCTTTCTTATTCTTAAGCAAGTCCCCGAGAGGGCTTAGTTGATCCATGATTTATGTTTCGTCTTTTCTTTCCTTTTCGTTTGTTTCGAGAAAGAGATCGATCAATTCCGATTTTGTCTTTTTCTATTGATTCTTTTCGGATCGAGATGTATGGATCCATGGATCTATGTGTCTATATAGATCCTGTTCATGGATTAACGAAAATGTGCAAACGCTCTATTTGCCTCTGCCATTCTATGAGTCTCTTCCTTTTTGCGTATGGCATCGCCACTCCCTTTGGCAGCATCCACTAATTCGGAACTTAATTTGAAAGCCATATTTCGACCCGGACGTTTTCGGGATGCCCCTAATAACCAACGAATGGCAAGTGCTTTTCCTTGCGTGGATCCTATTTCAATGGGAACTTGATGAGTTGATCCGCCTACACGTCTCCTCTTCTCAGATAATTATGCTTGTGTAGTTAGGGAAGAGGTTGACCAATGTCTCGAGAGAATCAGGATGAAACTTCCTTGCAAACAGATAACAAGGCCGTGTAATCCCATTCCATGTGCAAGGCCAATGCAGCTCATCTCCATGCTTCAAAAACCACAAAGTAAAAGGGTATAAAGAAAGAAAGATTGCGAAAATATGCTACAAAGGAGAGAGAGATCGTAAGAACATACCTCTCCAACGCTTGTGACGTGTACACTCATGTCTTCAGACTGCACAAGCGAGAAAAGAGAAGAATCCAATAAGATGCTTTGACTCTCACAATTTTCAGGAGATTGCGATTTCAAAACATACCGTGACATTATTCATGAACTCTAAAGAAACCTCGTGTGCTGCGTAAGTCTTTGGATGCCACCTTCTTTCAGACCAATCAAACAAACGTCACTGACCAGTTTGAGATCCCCATGGGATCAATCATCTGAAAGAAGAGCCAGCAAATAAGCAAAATGTTTCAGGGTCAAGAAGGCTTTAAAGATGGGGTGTGAAGAAGAATAAACTCACACTGAAGAATGTTGGCAAGTAATGTTCATCTGCAATACAGTTCTTGTCAGCCTCTATCCCTGGCTGAAATTTATAAAAACTCAAAATGTCAGAATTTGAAAACTGAAAACTTTTTATCTAGTTAATATAAAACCAAAATTTTCAGAAACAGGACAAACTTACTCCACAATACTCACGGAATTTTGAGTAGTAAAGACCATCAGCCATCACTATAATGGCGTGTTGTCGCTTCATTGTGAACCACTAGCAAGAGAAAAGAAGAAAATTACAAAACAATAAGGTGAAAAAAAACTCATTTTTTACCGCAGTAGTAAGCAACATACTGATCAAGAAAAGCTCTTAACGATTAAAGCTTGTCTATACCTGAGCACCCTTTCTAAAGTCATCCCTGGCGATTTCTGGCAACATATGTTCCATATGTCTACCAGTCCCATGCGGGCCAGGATCCACAAAACTTCAGAAACAGAGATAATTCAAGAAGCTTGTGTCAGGGAATATTTCATGGAAAACTCAAAACCTTTCTTTTGATTTTTGAGAGTAGTTTACCTCTCAATGAAGCTGACGTTGGAGTACAAAAGATATCTATAAGTGTAGTCAAAAGTATGCAATGGTATGCAACTGCACAGAAAATAGAATTGGTGTGAATTTGATCTAATGCAGAGAACCTTAACTGGGAGACACTTAAAGCAAGATTGAAATCATCACCTCTCTGAGAGAAGAACAAAGTGTTGGTTGTCAGGATCTTCAAGAGCATTAACCAGTAACCTCTTCTCAGCATCAACCATCGAAATCCTTCCCCAAGTGACCTCATCACTATAGATTTCCCGTTCAGAAAAGTGACGGCTGATATGAACCGGCCGTTCCTTGGACGGGTGGATGTAAATCGAGAACTTCCCTTCATGACCCTTCACAACACCAACAACTATATAATACTGAAAATGTAGCTAAAAATTTGGACTTTCATAGGTGTTTTGTTGTTACCTTGAAGAACTCATCCCAGAGCTTTTCAAACGGCAAAGTACCGGGAGTCAAGAACAAGAAAGCGATTTTGGAGTTTTCGGTTAGTAAGGGAGGCGTTCTAAGTATGTCTCTGACCACAGCTCGAGCTGCTATCTCCTCATCAGTGAACTTCCTGACGTGAACAGGCAGCCACGACGAGAGAGCATCCTCGCAGCCTCTGTTGCTGTAGAGGCCGTGGCAGGAGGAGCTCTTGCCGTGCCGTGGGAACATTTGAGCACAGATGAGAAGCATGCTGGTCACTGAAACTGTCAAAACAACCCATAAGGGCTTCTTCAGAGATGTGCGGTGACGTGGCCCCTGCAAATTCTTCTGCATCTCACCCATTGAAGTCAATCTCTTTAACACCTCCCCTTCTTCCCTTCTAATTGATAGGCATACAAAGACTGGATCTTTCCCTTTTTTTTTTACCTCTCCATGTTTCTTTTAAATTCGCATTGCCTGAAGAAGAAAAAAGATTTGATTTTTAGACTCTAAGTAATGTTTCAAACTAATCTAAGAACAAGACTCCTTCAGAAAGAAGCATTAAGCAAAACGGATAGCTGAAAATGCACGTTGTTCTCGTGCTATAAATCACACACACACACACTCGCAAATGTACAAACTTAACAAGTCTTAGTCTTGTGCTTTTGTCTCCGACCAAACCAAATCACTATAAATCTCAGATTCGCTTTGAAGCAAGTATAAGTAACACAGAGCAATTAGAAAAGTATGGAGACACTGTAGCTAGCATTATAAGTTAAAAGAGTCTAAATACAGTTACCTGAATAAATTGGAGACGGTAGAATGCAGAAAGACAGAATCTTTGTCCGAACTCAGATCTCAAAAAAGTCGAATTTGATCCTCTTCTTTAAGATCTAGGGCAACAAAATAAAACCCAGAAGTGATTCAATGAACTTGAGGTCAAAAGAAAGAGACACTTTCCTTTCTCTTTTTAAAAAAAAAAAAATATTTAATTCTAAAACATACACACAAGAAAATTGTTAATGGAAGATGATTCAGAGCCCTTTTCCGTTCTTTTTATACCTGAGCACTTCGTTTGATTCCTTTACTCTCTCTCTCTCTCTGTGTCTCTGTTTGGTTTGAAAATAAAGAATTGAAGAAGAGACTTTTTGGTGAAACCAGCAACAAGTCTTCTCCAAGTGATGGAATTTGAAACAAAGAGATAACGAACATTATTAAACACAACCTTTCCATTTTCTCCAACAATTTCTCTAAATTTCTTGTTATTAAACTAGTATTATAAAATTCCAAAAGGATCTACATTTCTGTGTTTGTTTGAGATTTGAGTTGGCATCACGACTCTGGAACCTTTTTAATGTATTTAGTATTTTATTTGTTTATGGGCGATGGAAAAGAAAATTGTGCAAGTGGGAGTATCAAAAATAACGAAATTACCTCTGTCATCGCACTTGACTCTTCAGGACAGTCGCCGGTTTGTTCCATCCACGACGGTGGACGTTCTGCTTATGGAAATTAATTAATTCAAAAAAAAATTTAGTAGTTGTTGTTGCCCATTAGGCTATATGGTATCACTCTTACAACGTTATTCAAATTAAGTTTTTGTAAAGTTAATTGGTGATATAACACTAATAAATGCCAAAATTATAAAAAATACACTGAAATTTGAGAAATTAGGGAACTGACCTTTAAAGTACTTAGAAGGACAGAAAGGCCTCCCACATATAGTCAAAATGTACAAATGCATCAGAAACGAGACTATAAAGCGTTGAACAGAATAATGACAAGAACATTGGACATAAGTACATAACACGAGTATCACGAAGATCTGTCTTCGAACTGTCCCATCATTGGCTCATTGCCCAACTTGAACGGTAATGGGTGAAGGAAAGGAAACAATACATGCAGGTAAATTATGCTTATGGGCCTTAGGGGGTCTATTGGGGCTATATTAAGGACCAAAACATTTCAATCAATTAGGCACCTTTCTAGCAGCGGAATTAGAATCTACGCCCTTGAGGCACACCAACAGAGCTACGTACTGAAGTTCGTTTGGCGGTTTTTTATCGCAACTGAATATGAGGTTGTTATGAACTTATGATCGACAACAATGAACAAAAAAAGTCCAAGATTTTATTAACCATAAACTGAAGTTTGCATTTCATATAACCATGTATGCAATGGAAGATGGTCATATCCAAAAAAAAAACCAGAATATTCAATATGCAATTATTAAAGATGCTATCTGTTAAGTATAATATTTTAAACTAGAATTTGATAAGTTTGACAAAAAAAAATAAAAATAAAAAATAGATAGTTTATCATTAAAAGTATGAGAAAACGATAAAACAAAAAATGCTCAAAGTATGATCTTATGTTTACATAAAATATAGTACGGTTTAAATAAATACTTTTACTATGAAACAATTCAATATCCTACATTTTGTTTGATGTTTTGGCTATATTATACATTTATCGTCAGTGTGTGTTAGACTAACTGTGACTGTAACCAAAGAATCCAAATTTGTTTATGGAACAACATTTGTTTTTATAATACTATTTTACTATAACTAAAAAAAAATGTTTACAGATGATGATCCTTACAGATGTTCTATTGTTTTTGGCACGGAGGAAGTATATTTACTGTCACGGAGGATGTCATTAGATGTTGTATTGTTTTTGGCGGGTTTTCTAAAGTGAGGCTTAAGGAAAAACATCAAAATAGGCTAAAGAATTCAATTTTGTTTCTGGAACAACATTTTCTTATAAAAAAAAAAATAACAAAGAAAAAAAAGAATTGGTTTACCGATAATGATCAAAAAAGTCAAACTCCATAAACTTCGCGGAAAAAGAAAGCACCGTAATGGTGGAAATAGGCTTTTTTTGTTGCCATTACCGGAAAAAAATCCAAACATTTAAAAATCCCACTGACTTAGCCAAAGATGGTCACTTTAAAGACCCAAATACTCCTTTCTCTCTCCTCCTTGTCTCTCTGACGACTTAAGAGCAGCCAGAATCTAGGGTTTGTAAACAGTGAATCTTTTTGCTTCCTCCACAAAATTCGCCTTCTGGTAAGTCAATCACTCAGCTCTTCTCTGCCCCCGTTTACTTCTGCTCGCTACTGAAATAGCTCATTTCTAGGGTTGTTTTCGGATAAAAAGTCTAGATTTTTATTACCCGTCGTACTTATACTCTGTTCCTTCTCTTTCTCTCTGCCTCTCGTTTGGGTTTTCTCTTTCATTTCTAATGCGAAGACCATTTACATAGTCATTTAGATATGTAATAGTCTTATAAAGTTTTGGTCTTTATTGCTCTGTGTTCATTACTTCGAGTTCTACACTTCTACTACTCGATTTCAAATGTATTTGATTTCCTGTGGAAATTTCCTTGTTTTATCACTGGGAATATGTTTAAACTTGAGGAAAGCAAGAGACTTTTGATTAGATGATATGTGTGATTTTCTCCTTTGTATGTTTTAGTGTGTTTATCATATAGATGAATTAGTGTGTTTTTAAATTGCATTTCTCTTTTTATAAAACTGGTGTTTGAAGAGAGTTTGTTTCTTCAGGAACCTGTGTTATTCTCACTTCTTGGTGCAGAAGACTAAGAAAAGCAAAATCCTTTTGAGGCAATGGCAACTGAGAATCCTATTAGGATGTCCGGGAGCAATGAAAGATGGTCTAGTTCTAGGCCAGCCTCTGTTCCTAACCGGAGTGGAAGTGCGCCACCGAGCATGGAAGGGTCTTTCTTAGCCGTTGATAATCTATTGTCACGACAGGGCAGCGGCAGTTGTCAAGAGCCTGTGACTGCTCATCCTACTTTTTATTCGTCTAAACACAGCCTCAACCGCATACCTTCTCCACCGGTTTATTACCCTGCTGAGTATCAGCTGATAGACAATCGTGTAGGTAGATTTAGAAGTAACCGGGGATTGAACAAAGCTAATTCTCCCATTCATTTGTCCCAAGCTACACTTCCTACTCATAAGGAAGTGTCTGAGGATGAAATCTCTCAGCAGCAACCTGTTGATAGTGTTACAGATAGGACAACTGGTTTGGCAGATTTCAGGCAGGTTCGTCTTCGTTGCCTTTCCCTTCTCATTCATATTCTTGTTGTGAGTTGTGAGAAATGTCATATAATAAGTTACAGTTGAATCTCTATCCGTTGCAGGATGATAGTTCTTCTGGGCAGACCCCTCAACATAGTCGGTCCAACTCTTCAAATGGTGAGATGAACACAGCGGATGAGAGTGGTAACTTCTCGGAGATATCAGATGATGTCATGGCTAATGATAATGCTGCTTCAGTGATTAAGGCTTCCATTGGCATTGAGACAAGTCCAGATGAGTCGACTCTCATCACCAAAATGAAGAATACTAACATATCCGGGTCTGGAACGGTTATATACCCTCGAGAACCAAGGTATGCAAGGCCAGAAAGGCAGCTGCATCATCAGCAGCAAAACAATGTAACCTGGGTGGTTCAAGGTGGCGGCAAAATGGCTTCTAACAATGCAGTTACCGGAGCCGGACAGTTTCAGTATGGTCAGCCTGTGCTTCAGTCTTCAGGCTTTACGCCTCCTCAGGTTTACGCTGCTAACCAAACGGCTTATGTGACTTCACCAGCTCATGTCTATAACATGCAGTCTCCTCCTGTTTACTCTCCTCAATATGGTTATGGACCGTACACTAACATGATCCCACAGTTTATGCCTGGATTCCACCACCCTTCTCATGGTTCCGCTCCGGTTATTGTCGGTCCAAATTTCACTCCTCAGTTACCAGGGCCAAGTGCTGGAAGTGTAGTCCACGGAGGTGAAATGCAGTATGCAGAGAAGATCTATGTTCAACCGGGTCAGCCTTCTTTCCCAGATCCTAGGTTTATGATGCAGTACAGTCAACAGCCATTCGGGCAGATGGATCCGACGGCTCCTAGAGGGAACCATAAGGGTCCCCCTGAGTCTCAGAAAGATGAGCCAAAGTTCATTCGGCAGATAAGGGGGCCGAGTAATCCTAATGTTGGTAGAATGGGAATGATGGGTCCTAATTATTATGGAATGCAGCCAAATATGGGCGTTATGGTGCAGTTTCTGCCTGCACAGCTTGGCGCTCCTGTTTCACCAAGCGCTGTTCCTTATGTAGAGGGATATCCTCCTGGATGGCAGCCACAGGGAAGCTTGGAAGGTGCTAATGGACCACGTTTGTGCAATTTTCTTGAAGAGCTGAAATCTGGGAAAGGCAGGAGGTTTGATTTATCTGACATCACAGGACACATTGTTGAATTCAGGCAAGTATTTTTATGTTTTCTTTCACGAGTCTTGTCTTTGGTTACTTCACAGTCATATGTTAACAAACTTTGAGTCAAATCTTGTTTACTTTCAGTGCGGATCAACATGGGAGCAGATTCATTCAGCAAAAGCTTGAGCACTGTAATCCAGAAGAGAAAGCTGCCGTCTTTAGGGAGGTTCTTCCTCATGCTTGCAAACTAATGACAGATGTGTTTGGCAATTATGTCATTCAGAAGGTCTGTCCCTACTCGATTCTATGTCTTACATTGTCTTGTCCATCAGAAGTTTACCCCTTTTGTTGACTATTTGAGATTATCTGTTTCAGTTTTTCGAGTATGGAACCCCAACACAGAGAAAGGAACTTGCGGATCAGCTCATGGGACAGATAGTACCACTTAGTCTCCAGATGTATGGTTGTCGTGTGATACAAAAGGTACAAAAGTCGCTACATTTTGTTTGGGCTTGGACTTTGTTAAAGACGAGTGACTCATTGGGTGAAACTTTGTTCTGGTGTAGGCTATTGATGTCGTAGAACCTGATCAGAGAGTTCGTTTAGCTCGTGAACTTGACGGGCAGGTCATGAGATGTGTTCGAGACCAAAACGGAAACCATGTGATCCAGAAATGCATTGAGAGTATCCCCGCAGACAGAGTTGAGTTCATGTTATCTGCATTCCGTGGTCAAGTTTCCTCGCTCTCTATGCATCCTTATGGTTGCCGTGTCATTCAGGTACTAATAACTCATGTAAACGACTGTTCTGCTTCTTCTCCTTTTCTTGGTTTCTCTTATTGCTAATCAAGAACAATGCGTCTCCTCGTTCTCTTTTCCCTTCTGTATAGAGGCTTTTGGAGCGTTGCTCAAGTGTGCATCAGTGTCAATTCATCACCGAGGAGATACTGGATTCAGTATGCGTCCTTTCCAAGGACCAATATGGCAATTATGTCACACAGGTTTGTCATACCATTTTGAAACTTACAAATCATTTACAGCTGAAGTCAAGTTAAACCAAAATCCTTCAGTTCAAGTTTGAACCGATCATCACTTAAAACCAATGTTCCTATTTGGCAGCATGTCTTGGAGAAAGGGACATCCGAAGAAAGAGAGAGAATCGTGAGGAAACTATCAGGGCACATCGTGCAGCTTAGTCTACACAAATTTGCATCAAATGTTATAGAGAAGTGTCTGGAGTATGGTGGTCGGATTGAGCGGGACCTCATCATCAAAGAGATTGCAGGGCCTGACGAGAGCTATGATAGTCTATTGGTGAACATATAGAGACCAATCCTGATAGATTTTTTTGCTTCTTAACTGATTGGATATTAACTGTAAGTCACACCTTTAACAGATGTTGATGAAGGACCAGTATGGAAACTATGTGGTGCAGAAGATATTCGAGACGTGTACTGTTGATCAGCGTGCGACATTGTTTAACCGAGTGAGAATGCACGCTTCTGCTCTGAAGAAATACACATATGGGAAACATATTGTGACTCGTTTGGAACGGCCTTTTGGTGAAGGTACTAGCTTATTCAACTTTAGTCAAGTTTGAATAGATATACAATCACAAGCTTAGGAACAAAAGTGCTTGTCTTTATTGTCTTATACCGGATTATATAGGCAGAAACAGGGGAAGCACAAGAGTGAATAGAGTTAAAATGATATGGTATTATATGGATAAAGAATGACAAAATTTGGTTGTGTTTCATTGAAATGTTGTGCAGAAAGCCAAGAATCCAGGCGATGAGGTGGCTCTTCTGATCCAAGACAGTGGCTGACTCAGAATTTAATCTGGTAGAATTCGCTTTTTTCATGGAAGCTGGAGATTCATTGGAAAGGTTTAGTGGAAATGGAAGCGGAAGCAAATGATTGTGAAGAATGTTGTTGTGTACTTTTGGAATATTTACCGTAGCCGTTGTGATGATTGTGTGGCATGCTCGTAAATAACTGTATCACTAGTTTACTTGTTATTGACAACTGGTTTGTGGATTCATCAAAGACAAATTCCAAACTTTCTTAGACAGTTTTATTGAAGCCAAGTTTTACATGTTAGTCGTGAAATAGCTTGTTTTATTGAAGCCAGTTAAATGAGGGAAATTCACCACCAATCCACAAATTTCATGATCTGATATTAATCAATACAAAATTGTATCACATTTCGGCTAACTGTTATGAGCCAATGTTTTGTTCATTGAGAGGAGCCAAATTATAATATAATCAAAAGCGAAACTTGTCATTACATCAGAGAAGACTCTTGAAATGAGGGTAAACGGAATTGAAAGCAAAGTCGTAGCATTATCAAATGACATGGATAGAAGAAACAATCCTCAACAAAAATGAGACCAAAGGAAGCTCAAACTAGCAATTCCAAATTGTAATCTTTCTCTTAACCAAAGAGATCGAATCCGAAGTCTCCCTCTTCCTCTTCAGATTCTTCCTTCTTCTTCTCATCTTCCTTAGGGGCAGCTGCAGCTTCACCCGCACCACCACCACCAGACGCAGCTCCTCCAGCAGCGAATCCTCCACCGCCACCACCACCGATGATCACCTGCTCCACACAAATCCAATCAACTCACATAAATAGCAGATCACACCCAAGAAATTACAATGCAAGGCGAGATTCTAACAGAACCATGGACACTAAATCAGCCACTAAAGTGAAGAACCATTGCAATACAATAGTGGTACGTAAAGAATTAGTAAGAAATGAGTGATTAGCTATCACAAAGCTGTAACCTTGTAGCTATAAAGCAAGCTACATTGAAGCAAAATCACATTTCATACAATGATAAGCGCTCTGTTTCGTAATTGTAGGCTTCTATCACAAAGAAGATGACATTGTAATGCATCATCCTAGTTAAACGAGACCATTTGCGAAAAATCAACAACCATAATGACATCTCAATACGATCCCGCAATCAACAACGGAACAATCAAAGAGATGAGGAAGAGAGAGGCTTATATTATACCTGGCAAACGCCGGAGGTAGGGGAGATGAGGGAAAATGAGGACTGAACGCCGCCGGATCCTCCGGCGGAGAGAGCGACCTGGACGAGCTTGCGGTTGAGCTCGAAGGTAGAAGAAGCAGAGGCCTCAAGGTCTCCTTCGTGTTGCTTAGCGGTCCATTCTCCGCCGCCACTTTTGCACACGAACGTGTATACTCCCATCTTTCTTCTCTGTCTGCTAAAAAAATTCCGATGGCGATGAGAGATTTCTGGAAAAGGCGCCGATGGAGTGATTATGCTGTTATATACGATGACGATGAACGAAGCAAACAGAAACTAAAGAACCCTAGTAATGGTCTTGCGTAAAAGACCGTTTTACCCTGTTATAAATTAATGGGCCTTAAATGGGCCGGTTTGGAGAACAGAGGTTGTTAAATTGCATAACTGGCTTGGATTTCCAAGACTTTCGTCTGTGCAGTGTTCTTTCAAATGTTTTACAAGAATTTCAGCTTTTTTTTTGTTGACATTTTCCACTTCCAGTAATAGAAAACTGAATGCTGCTAATTTTCTTAACAAAGAGAAAATGTAGCAAAGGGAAAAAGAGAGAAACATTTCATAACACTTGACATATATGGGTCACAGTGTTTGATATTTTCAGTAAAAGGCTCTCTTTTATTTCTCTAGATTACTTTCCATCTAAATGTTATTGTTTTAGAAAAAAATAGTTGAAGTTTCAATTATAAATCTTGGCCAATGTAAATGAAAAATATAAAGAGATTAAGTAGACCAATAGTGATGAACTGAAAAATAAATTCACAATTACCTTGGTTTAAAACCTGGAAATATAAGTTTGTGAATGAGGGTTTTTTTTTTTTTTTTTTTTTTTTTTTTTTTAGAAATAGTAGAATTGAATAGTTGACCAGGTCAAGAGCAGACAAAAGAAGACTTTCGTTTTTCATTCAACAAAATAAAGTCTTTGGTAAATCAATCAAACGGAGTCGATAATTGTACGTTATCTTTCATCTATCCTGTCTTTTGGTTCAGACGTTGACTTTCCGTTCCTTTCCTTTTCGCCTTTATATGCAAATAAAAAAGAGAGAAAGTTTCAACAAAAAAAGGTAACGTACGTCCTCGTGAGTGAACAGTGAAGGAAAGGACGATTCACGATGGGGAATAAGGCAAATCTCGGATGTCTGATCATCTTCTTGGCTCTGCTGGTTGCAGAAGTAGCCATGGCCACCGAGCATCGTCCCTTTGAGCGGACAAAAGGTATTAATGGTCTCGAAAAGATCACCATCCGTGACCGCCGCGGCCGATCTGTCGAGGTACTCTTTCTTCTCTGATACGGAACAACATCCAGATCCGCAGCGTCTTTTGCGAAACTTTTTTTAGAAAATCTTGACTTTTGACTTTTGATCTGTTGATGATTGTGTTATTATTATGTACGGCAGAAAACGTTTTTTTTTTTGCTAAAGGTTTACAGCAGAAAATGGTTTTGACTAATTTTTTGGATGATAATTTGTCTATATTAGTGATTTTGATTATTTTTTTGGTTTTTGTTAAATAATTCAGGTTTACTTGTATGGAGGACAAGTGACTTCTTGGAAGAATGAGAAAGGAGAAGAGTTACTTTTTATGAGTACCAAGGTACTTCACATTCACCCTTTAAGATGATTTTATATATATGTGTGTGTGTGTTTGACCCCAAAAAAAAAGAGATCATTTGACCCAAAAAACGAGATCATACATATATATTTTTTATTTTGATGTTGCACTATGGTTGGTTGTATGTCTTAAATAATTGGCTAAGTTATGCAAAGATGAACCAATTGGATACAACCTTTGGTTTCATTCTTCAGTTTAATGAATCTTTACTTCGTTAGCAGCTTGTAAATGAATATACAAGTAGCTTAATAATCTGCTTGTTCTAGAGTAGATGCGTGAATGAGCTCCAAATGAATGAGATTTGATATCATCATGTGTTATGTATTAATTGTGCAGGCTATATTCGAGCCTCCAACACCGATTCGTGGAGGAATTCCAGTATTATTTCCTCAAGTATGTGCTTTCATTCGAATCTTCTTTTTCAATTTGTGATTAAATGGTATGATTTGTTTTTGTTAATGAAATTCTTTATTTTTCTGCAAGTGTAGTACAGTAACACTGGTCCACTTCCCTCACATGGGTTTGTTAGACAAAGGTTCTGGGAAGTTGATGCTAATCCACCTCCTTTGCCATCACATCCTTCTCCTAATGCTCACGTTGACCTGATCCTAAAATCATCCCCAGAGGATTTAAAGATCTGGCCTCACAAGTTAGCTTCTTGAAATCTCTCTCTCTGCTTCATATTCTTACACCAATTTTCAGATATTTTAAAAGAAATATATGTTAGGATTAGCTCTACTCATTGCCAAATGATTTTTGAGTTGGAAGTCCATAGTTCCATATATTTAGAATGTGTAATGCTGTTTTGTTGTTGTTAAATTCTCACATAAAGTAGACTTGTTAATTGTGTGTGATAAACTCTGTATCCATTTCAGGTATGAATATAGACTGAGAGTCGCATTGGGACGTGGAGGAGATTTAACGTTGATATCTCGTGTTAAGAACTCTGATGTAAAGCCGTTTAACTTCACATTTGCTCTCCACCCCTACTTTGCTGTTTCCGATATCAGGTACTCACTGAGGCACAAAATCTTATCTCTCTTCTAACTTTTCCTCAACCCTTTTTGATATCGTGTCAAATATCATAATATATAGTTTCTTGCTCGAAATGGTTATTTCGTAACAGATAATTACAAATTATTGATTGCTCTGTTGGTGTTGTAAAGTTTAATTTATCATTTTCTTGTGTTCAGTGAAATCCAGGTCGAAGGATTGCAGAATTTGGATTATCTTGACCAACAAAAGAACAGAACACGTTTCACTGATCATGAAAAAGCTATAACTTTTAATTCCCAGGTAAGGTTATCCTTTTTTTTGCCAATTCCAATTCCAACTCCAATTCCAAACTTGTTTCATCACTAACAAAAAAAAACATATTTGTAATTCTTCAAAAAATAGCTTGACAGGCTTTACCTAAGCACTCCAAACAAAATCAGAATCGTGGACCACAAGAAAAAGAAGACAGTCGTGGTATACAAGAAAGGAACAGTTGATGCTGGTAAAGACTTAGTATTTTGTTTTATAAATATACACACACAAAAACAGAATGTCTGTCCATTGTTTAGTGATAATGGATCATTTATAATATAATCTGCAGTGGTGTGGAATCCATGGGAGAAGAAAGTGGTAGATTTGGGAGTTGAAGATTACAGGCATTTTGTTGCCGTGGAACCCGCGGCCGTGGCGAAACCAATCACATTGAAACCTGGACAAGAGTGGAAAGGAGTACTCCAAGTATGTGTGGTTCCTTCTCGTCGCTCCACTGGAAATTAAGCTTTAAACTTAAAACTGTTGTACTTTATGTTACCGAAACGTCATATGTTGAACACTGAGTTAGTCAGGATCCAAACCGGACCTGACCAGCTTTTTGTTTTGTTACTTTAAGCATTCTTGGATCTTGTAAACGCTGGTAAAAATAAAAGTGATTTAATAAATGGGAAATAATAATTGGATTCGTGTTGAGCGTACAATGATGTGTTCTTACTGGTTGTTAAACTGGAGAAGAAGAGAAAGAGATAATGAAAGCTTTCAAAGCCTCGAATCTAGGCTCTGATACTACGTATGTTGATTTGTGAATAGCACAATGCGTGCCTCTCTTTGTATTCCATTGATAATGTTTATAGCTAGGAGCTATACAACGGTCAAATATTAATTACGAAATATATACTTATACATTATATTTGTATTATGTTTACTTATCTATCATAACTCGTCTGATTTGAGAAAAGTGGGAACTTCAAAAACTTAAATGAATAAAATATGCATCAATATAATATTTGCATGAGAAATAATAACGTGTTTAAGATAGAAAATGATGCACATATGACATATTGGTTTTCTTTTTTTGGTTCATAAAGAAATGCACATCATATCACCATGGCTTCTGCTTCCGGGATCTTAAATCCCTCAGGAATTTTCATATATATCTCACTATCAAGTGAGTCATATAGGTATGCAGTTACAACATCCATCAGGTACATCTCTAAATTATTAGAGATGCAGTCATATTACAAATTTACAATAATCCGAGTTTTGAATATGAATCGGAGGCGACGAAAAAATAGGAAAGATGGACTGGTTAAAAAGGAACAAAATCTAAATCGGCGTAGATAAAGGTGAAGATCAAGAGCAGATTTTGCGTTATCGGTGGTGCTTTTGAGCAAGATGGGACAAAATAAGACTTTTCTTTATTTGGCTGACAAAATAAAGTATTTTCTAAATCAAATGTACGTTACCTTTCCTGATTTAGACTTTTTTTGTCTTTGTTTTCCTTCCCTGTGGCCTATTTATGGGATAGAACGAGATAAATTTTCAATACAAGGTTATAGTCTTCGTGACTGAACAGTAAAAAAGAGGACGATTCATGATGGGGATTAAGGGAAATGTCGGGTGTCTGATCATCTTTTGGGCTCTGCTAGTTGCAGTAGTCGCCATGGCCACCGAGCCTCCTCGTCTCTTTGAGCGGACTAAGGGCATCAATGGTCTCGAAAAGATCATCGTTCGTGACCGTAAAGGCCGATCTTTCGAGGTACGTACTCTTCTTGTCTTATCATATATGGAAGGAAGAATCTGCCGGATTCGCGTGTATATATTTTCTTGCCGAGTATTATTCTAAAATATATTCAAAACGTTCATGGGTTTTGATATTGTTTGATTGTCACCAATATTTGAAATATATCTTAATTATGTGTAAAATCTTTTTTTCTAGTAATCTTAAGCCCTTAAACACACCAATTGTTTTTGTTAGATTGTAGTTTATCAAGGTATATATATGTGCACATGCCTGGATATAATGTTAGAATCTATCTATAAAATTAAATAGTGATTTATGCTGCCTAGACTCCAAGTTTCGTATTGTTTGCTACGGTTTTTCATTCATTTATTTTGTGAAATAATTTCAGGTTTACTTGTATGGAGGTCAAGTGACTTCTTGGAAAAACGAGAAAGGAGAGGAGATGCTTGTTATGAGTAGCAAGGTAATTAAGACACATTATTCTACGTACATATCTTCTTTTGGGATCATTGCATATAAACTTTCTCTTGTTGGCTATCTTCAACAACTGGCATAAGTTAGTTATGCAAATATGAATCATTTAGGAAAGAATGATTAGATAAGTAGCTTACCAGTAAACGTCAAAAAAAAAAAAAGAGAGTAGCTTACCAGTATACTTATCATGTGTTATGTATTGTGCAGGCTATTTTCGATCCTCCGACACCGATTCGTGGAGGAATCCCAATATTGTTTCCGCAAGTATGTATTTTCCGTTTTTTTTTTATTTATTTGTCTATTTAACTTGCCTTTAAAATTGTATGATATGGTTTGGTTTTGTTAATGACATGTTTTTTTTTCTGTAAATGCAGTACAGTAACACTGGTCCACTTCCCTCACATGGATTTGTTAGACAAAGGTTCTGGGAGATTGATGCTAATCCACCTCAGATTCCATCAAATTCTTATTATCTATCTTTTGTTGACCTGATCCTAAGATCATCCCAAGAAGATATGAAGATCTGGCCTCACAAGTTAGAATTCTTGAAACCTCTCTTTTACTTCACACATTCTTACAACATGTTTCAGATATTATTGTATTCTTCACATTTTTTTTTTTTTTTTGGTTTAGTTCTCACGGAAAGTACCTAGCCTTATGACCTCCTATCTGTACCCATTTCAGGTTTGAGTATAGAATGAGAATTGCAATTGGACCTGTGGGAGAGTTGATGTTGATATCTCGTGTTAAGAATACTGACGTAAAGCCATTTAACTTCACAATGGCTCTTCACCCCTACTTCGCTGTTTCCGATATCAGGTAATCTCAATTAATTATGTTATTTTCTTTTCTTTTATGGAAAATGTTATCTTAGCATATAGTAGTTCTTATTTTTGGTTATGTGTCACAGTGAAATCCAGGTCGAAGGAATGCATAATTTGGATTATCTTGACCAACTAAAGAACAGAACACGTTCCACTGATCATAACAAAGTTATAACTTTTAAATCCCAGGTAAGCTTTGTTTGATTTTTTGCAAATTCCAACCCTTATTTCATTTTTGCATCACGAAGGAAAAAAAACCAACAAATAACTCTTGAAAAAAAAAATACAGTTTGACAGGATTTACCTCAGCACTCCAGATGATATCAGAATCGTGGACCGCAAGAAAAAGACGACAATGGTAGTACACAAGGAGGGACAAGTTGATTCTGGTAAAAAGACTTAAGATTTTGTTTTATACATATAGACACAGAAACAAATTGTGTGTTTAGTAATTAATGATGACTCATTTATAATATTTGACATGCAGTGGTGTGGAATCCATGGGAGAAGAAAGTGGTAGACTTGGGAGTTGAAGACTACAGGCGTTTTGTGACCGTGGAAAGCGCGGCTGTCGAGAAACCGATCACAGTGAATCCGGGACAAGAGTGGAGAGGAGTACTCACAATGACTGTGGTTCCTTCGAAGTAATCCAATAGAGAGCTTGACCCCTAAACAAACAAGTCATGCATTCATCCTCATACTTATTTATAAACTTAAAATTTGTCTCATAAAAGTATATGTCCCGAAAACATTACATGGTGAACACTGAGTTAGTCAGGTTCCAAACCGGACCTGAGTCACCTGACCAGTCATCATTATTTTTGTGGTTTTAGTATTCGTGAATCCCTTGTAAACGATAATAATAAAAGTAAGCGTTTTAATGGGACACAGTAATAATAATTCGATTTTGGTTTGATCTTTCTCAAATATGAAATTAGTTATTATTTATTTATTATATACTTTTTTTGGGATGTTTGTGGAATTGTGGTACTAATTATCAAAAATGAAAAAATCTTGGCCACAAAAATAAATTATCTCCAAGACGTATTATCATCCACCAATGAAATGTTCCCTCATTTTTTTTTTGTTCTTTACTCTGTTCCTTCAATCTCAAAACGGCCGATTTTCGGCCAATATTCGAGAAGGTTTCTAGAGATTCTTGATAAAAAATTCGATCGTAAAGCAGAAAAACGAGGGTTTTAAATGGGTTCGGTTTCGGGTCAAACCCGAATTGCTATGATGAATCTCTCCCTCTCCACAGCTGAGAAAAATCCTAATTTTCGCTCATCGCTTCTCAATTCTAAGGTATTGTTTTCAATTCATCGTCTTTCACCAGAAAGTCTGTTTCTTTTTATTTTCATTCTTTCTGATTCCTTCCTCCTCCTCCTTCGCTTGTGGTAGAACGCAATTTCAGATAGTTGTGGGGTCTCTTCCAAATCCACTACATTCCTCAGGGGTCAATTTCAAAGTATACATTTTTCTTGGATTCGCCACACTCGACCTTTGAAGAAACGGGCAGGTAAGAATTCGTATTGATTTTGCAAACCAAAACCAAATCTTTTAGAACGTAGTTGTGATTAGATTCTTGTATAGGCCACGTGGTGTCGCCGATCTGCGTCTTGCCGTTAACGGAAGAGAGTGTAGAGAAAGTGCTAGACGAAGTACGGCCGTCGCTAATGGCCGACGGAGGAAACGTGGCGCTTCACGAAATCGACGGGCTTGTGGTGGTTCTAAAGCTGCAGGGAGCTTGCGGGTCGTGTCCTAGCTCATCGATGACGTTGAAGATGGGAATCGAGAGTCGTCTTCGAGACAAGATCCCAGAAATCATGTCCGTCGAGCAGTTTCTCGAAGCTGAGACCGGAGGGTTAGAGCTAAACGACGAGAACATCGAAAAGGTTTGATTTTGGGTGTAACTGAAATTATAATTTTTATTTTTTTAATTTGGGCCCTTAGTTTTGAAATTGATCTGAATGGCCCATTTTTCAGGTTCTCTCTGAGCTACGGCCGTACCTATCCGGTACAGGAGGTGGAGGGCTTGAGCTGGTTGAGATAGATGGTTACATAGTCAAGATTAGGCTCAGTGGACCAGCTGCTGGAGTCATGACCGTTCGTGTCGCGTTGACTCAGAAACTGAGGGAATCAATTCCTTCCATCGGTGCAGTCCAGCTTCTAGAGTGACATGAACTGACTCCTTTCTTTTTGTTTTTTATTGTGTATCTTTGTATTAAGTTCTACAAGGCTTATTTTTCAAAAGAATCAATATAGACTATATAGTTATGATTATCAAAGTTTAGTATGACTGGATAATGAATGATATACATTGTGTTAACAAAGAAAATAAATGTAACAGAGATAAATACCACCACCTAGAAAGTAGAAACACTCCTTGGATAAATTCAAGTTATTATTATTATTTTTTTTCATTTTATCCGTGAATAAGTGAATCTCTAGGTATATTGTGTGTACTTGGTGCCCAAGGCGTTCTCGCTATATTAAGTGTAGACGAGGTAAAAGAGATTCAAACATAGAACAATGTCACAGCTTATTATCAGCCGACTATGTAAACCCTCCCTAAGCAGGAATTTCCTCGTAAGCGCTTCTCTTCCCTCCATGTAATAATTTGGTTTTTTCTTTGAATTTTGTTTTTTGTTTTTGTTCTCTCTAACGTACGTGTATATAATCATTGTAGAGACGCACAAACGTTCGTCTGTTCTCATGCACGAGCGGGTCTGACTCGGATGATGATGAGAATCGGTCTTTCTTGTCTAGACCAGCCTACCCGTTTCTGTTGATCGACCACCTCCTTAACAATCCAGACTCTCCGGACGGTGGGCTAAGAAAACGCTACGGAAATCTAGATTGTCCCAAGGTAAAGGCATTGATGACGAGAAACTCGCGGAAGAGGTATGTAATGCGATGACTGTCGGGTTTTCACGCGATGGGTTGCGATTCGGGACTTACGGACACAACAAGTACACTGTCTCTTACAAGCCCTCTGACCCGGAACTAAAAGACATGACCGTTTACCTACCTGAACTTCCCACCGGTTCCAAAATCCAAAACATTGCCATGTCCTCTTTACCTAGCCGTGACAAAGATTGGGTAGTGGGTGTCAAGTTATGGGGATCTCAGTTGAGTATGCCCTTTTGGCAGCTCTATATGGATTGACGTCAAAACCACGCCTCGATGTATAGACCCTTTGTCGAACCTCATCTTCTCGCAAAGAGATCAAAGGTTCTACACTCCAAGTCCCGGAGGCAACTACTTGTGCTATTTGGATGAGTGCGACGAGCTCGAGTTCCTCGGCTTGCTTTTTGACGACCTTCCAAAGTCTGTCTCGCAGGAGTTGGCGGAAGTGAGTTCATGTTCAAGAACAGACCACCTTGTTGATTCACCCACCGGCGAACTTTTCCTCGTCAAGTGGTATAGTATCTAATCAACATATAAAATTAATTTCATAGTTGGGTTTTAGGTGAATATATGTATATACCTGTGTGCTTGAGTAACATATTGTCTCTTTCATGTATTTGCAGGTACAGTGAGGACTCGGAGCAGGAAGAAGACAACGACAGCGGGATGGCAACACTGATGCCGGTAACAAAAAAGTTCATGGTGTTTAGAGAGGGGCTACAATCGAGTGAATATGAGAAGACTATGATCTACACAGAAGACATTGGAGATCTTTGCATTTTTCTTGGACATAGTGAGGCTTACTGCGTCCCGGCAAGCTCGTCCCCTGGACTCAGGCCTAACTGCATCTATTTTGTGGGCCGTAACTTTGGTGTCTATGATCTCACCACCAAAAATTGCACTAACTTCTACAAAAAAGATGGCAAACCAATAACGAGAACGAGTTTCCCTTACTGGCCTTCTCCAGTTCCTCTCTAGCATCTCTTAGTTAATCATGTTACTGGCTGTTTCTCGTCTCTTTGCTTCTCTTATGTTATCGGTGTCTTTGCTTTGCATGCTATCATTTAAAATCCAATCTTCTCTTTGTCATTTTACGTTTGATTAAAGTTACTATATAATGCTATTTTAATTTTCCGATTCCAACAAATATAGTATTCGGTAACTTTCAGTTTCATATATACACCCATGATCAATGTTCGTGTGATGTGATCAGGTATTGTTTGAGTTTGAAATCGAGAAGCCTCTCTCTCTGATGTGTTTAAACTTTACTAGTCACTTTGATATTATCGGATGTCTTTTATTAGGTTGGGTTGGCTCTTGTACCATTTGATTGAATGACTCCTTTTTTTTGTGTGTAACTATTCAATTATAAAAGGCCTTTTTTTTATTCAATATGATTATCAAAGTTTAGCATGACGGTAGAATATGTGCATCAACTCAGCAAAGGAAAGAAATATAACAGCGATAAATGTCACGCTAGACACATTAATTTCCTTGGATGGGTGTCAATATTTCTTTGTTCTTCCGTAAATAGATTATTCTCTAGATATTCATATTTAGTGTGTGCACTTGGTGCCCAAGGCGTTCTCTCTGTATTAAAGTGTTAGAGAAAGTAAAAGAGACTTGCACAGTTACGAGTTTCAACATAGAACAATGTCACAGCTTATTATCAGCCGCCTACTTAAACCATCCATCTGCAGTTTTTTTTCTTGTTCTTGTTTTCTCTAACTTGTTCAATGTACATGTTTATAATCATTGTAGAGACACGCAAACGTTCGTATGTTCTCATACACGAGCGGGTGCAATTCGGATGAAGGAGCCTACCCGTTTCTGTTTATTGACCACATCCTTAACAATCCAGACTCTCCGGACAAGTGGGAAAGAAAATATAACAAGGATCACCCCACGACTAAGGTAATCAAGATTAATGACGAGAAACTCATGGAAGAGGTATGTAATGCGATGACTGCCGGGTTTTCACGTAATGGGTTGTTGGAACCAAATTTTTAAGCCAAATGGCTGAATAAAATTGTGGACAAGTGTGAAAAGAAATGGGCTTAGGCTCATGTAAAATTAATGAGAAAGTTAAGTGAGTTAAATGAAGGAGCACTTCATTTGTCCCAAATTGGAAAAAGGAATAATGTCAAGAATAAATCTTCCAGAAACTTCTAGAAAGATTGAGTTCAGTTTCTGTTTGATAAACAAGAAATTAATAATGGAATTCTTCCTTATCCCTTAATGGAATTATTCATTATCCTTTAATGGAATTATTCCTTATCTCTTTTGGTAAACATCAAAAAAGGATATTTCCTCCTTGGAGAGCAAGTCTCCTATCACCTATAAATAAAGGGCCTCACCCCTCTCATTATTTATTCACCAATTCATTCAATCATTGATTCATAAATCAACACTCCAGCAAATCTCTCACATCTCTTCCTTTCTTCTCTAAAAGTAAGTCTCGAGAGTATAGCGTAGTTATTTAGTTCGCATATTCTGTAGTTGGGTGTTGCAACTATAGTCTCACACAGTTGTATCCTGGGATTCAAAAGTCTCATCAAAACCGCCACACTGCGGGAGATTTATTGAGTTAAGGAAAGAGATAAAATCTCGCCTCTGTGTATTCGTCTGTTTTCAATCGGATTTCTTACTATATATTATTATTATATAAGAATTTCATTCGTATTTTTCAATCTGGATTTTCGCGGTCCTACAGTCTTAACTCAATAAATCCGATCCTCCTTATCGCTTGAATCGGATTGAAAATTTGCGAAACAGTTTTTTCTTATATGATATTATAAAACGGTTTTCTTAAAGATCTGAAACAGTTCTGCGAAAGTTCTTTAGCTATTCAGCAGAAAGTTTCGATCTCAAAAAAGACGAATATCATTACTTGATAAAACGATTTACGCGACAGCTTCCAGCAGGATTGCGAAACGTTTTTTCAACTCTATTATATCTGATCTCTGATCTAATATAAAGTTTAAGAGCAAGTCTCTGTGAACTTAGCGAATTATTTTTTCGCTTACCCCACAATACTGACAAAATCTGTCTTTTGTGAAACAGATCCATAATGTCTGGTACTGTCAACAATGGAACTGGGGGGAATCAGCCTGCGGCTAATGGCGCTGGTCAACTTGCTGCACTCGCTGCACCAACTCTGCCTAGCAACATAAGTGCAGCGCTTACGCCTGACAAATTCGATGGCACGAATTTCAAGCAGTGGCAGCAGAAGATGCACTTCTTCCTGACCACTCTGAATCTGGCAAAGTACCTCGTTGAGACTAAACCTCAGATGCCTGCTGAACAAGAGGCAAACCCAGATCCACGAGTTCATATGACTCTGGAAAACTGGGAGCAAGGAGATTTCCTGTGCAGAGGTTACATTCAAAGTCGCCTAGTGGATCAACTGTTCAATGTGTACAGTGAGGTCAAAACCCAAGGAGCTGTGGGAAGCCCTGGATAAGAAGTACAAGACGTTCAATGTGGGCTCAGGAAAATTTGCTGCTGCAAAATTTCTCAACTTCGTAATGGTGGACTCAAAACCCATCATGGACCAAGTGCATGACCTGCAGATGATACTCCAAGAGATATCAGATGAAGGAATGAAGATCTGTGAGACTTTCACAGTGAATTGCTTCATTGAGAAGCTTCCCCCTGGCTGGGCAGACTTCAAGAACTATCTTGCATTCAAGCAGAAGGCTTTGACTTTGGCCAACTTGATTTCTAGGCTGCAGAATGAGTCACTGAAGCGTGAAAGAGCTGAAACAGTTCAGACTCATGATGCGAATGTGGCTGAATTTCGCAGTAAACCAAAAGGCAGGTTTAACCCTAACAAGGGTCCGCTCAACAAGGTTGCTAATCAGGCTTCCACGGGCTTTAAGAAACAGGCCCAAGCCCCCAATTCCCAAAGAAGAAATCTGGATTCTCAGGGAAGTGCAATCACTGTGGCAAGGTTGGACATCGCGGAGCCGATTGTCGCAGCAAGGCCAAGGAGAAAAACCAAGCCAACTTGACAGAGGATGACATGGTGGCTGTTGTTACAGAAGCTAACATGGTTGAAGAGAATCCGATGCTATGGTGGTATGACACTGGTGCTACCACACATATCTGCATTGACAGACAGATGTTCAGCACTTACCAGAAAAGCAAGGAAGATGCTCGTCTGCTGATGGGAAATGTGTCCCACTCCAAGATTGAAGGCACTGGAAAGGTGGTCCTGAAGATGACATCTGGAAGAGAGCTCACACTCAACAATGTGAAGCATGTTCCAGACATGAGGAAGAATCTGATTTCTGGCACTCTGATGAGCAAGCATGGATTTGCCATCAACTTCGAGTCTGACCAGCTGATTCTCAGGAAGAATGGTGTTTTTATAGGAAAAGGTTTTGTTAAGGATGGACTGATTAAGATGTGTGTATCTCCAGTCCAGAGAAACATTGTTGTACCTGTTTCCAATGATTTGATTAATAAGAAACCAGTTGCTTATTTGGTTGAGTCTTCTAATATTTGGCATGAAAGATTAGGCCATGTAAATTATAAGTCCATTGAAAGACTGATGAATTTGGACCTAATTCCGAAATGCAAAATAAACAAAGACAAATGTGAGATATGTGTACAAGCAAAACTCACCAAAACACCATCTCCTCATGTCGAAAGAACAACTGAACCTCTGGGCCTAATACACACAGATTTGTGCGACTTGAAGTATGTACAAACCAGAGGGGGTAAAAAGTATTTTGTGACATTCATAGATGATTGTACAAGATACTGCTACGTCTACTTGCTGCGTAGTAAAGATGAAGTTTTGGAAAAATTCAAGGAATACAAAACTGAAGTTGAAAACCAACTGGGAAAAACCATAAAATGGTTAGAAGTGATAGAGGAGGCGAGTATGATGGACCCTTCAATGCTTTCTGTCAGGAGAAAGGCATCATACATCAGACCACTGCTCCCTATTCACCAGAATCTAACGGAGTTTCAGAAAGAAAGAATCGAACTCTGAAAGAGATGATGAATGCAATGTTGCAGGAATCTGGGCTACCGCAGAATCTGTGGGGGGAAGCTCTGCTAGCCACAAACTATATCCTCAACAAAATACCACACAAAGTAACTGGCAAAACGCCATATGAGCTTTGGAAAGGTTCAGCACCTTCTTACAAATACTTGAAAGTGTGGGGGTGCTTAGCAAAAGTTCAAGTACCACCTCCTAAGAAGGTTTCGATTGGGCCTAAAACAGTGGACTGTATTTTCATTGGATATGCGCACAACAGTAGTGCTTATCGGTTTCTGGTGCACAAGTCAGATATACCAGATATCCATGCAAATACAATTATTGAATCAAGGAATGTGTCATTCTTTGAGAATATCTTTCCATGTAAAGATAGACAGAAGCTGAAGCGAACTCATGACGCAATTGTGCCTGCAAATGAGACTAGTACATCTGGTACTTCAGTAACTGAAGCAGAAGAAAATGAGGTTGAACCTAGGCGTAGCAAGAGAGCTCGTAAGGAAAAATCATTTGGTGATGAATACTTAGTGGTATTTCTCTGTGAGAATGAGCCAAGGACATATTCTGAAGCCATGTCTACACCAGAAGCAGACTTATGGAAAGAAGCTGTAAACAGTGAAATGGATTCTATTCTGCAGAACCATACTTACATAATCACTGATTTACCTCCAGGGTTTAAGGCACTAGGGTGTAGATGGATATTTAAAACGAAGCTCAAAACTGATGGAGCTATTGATAAATACAAGGCAAGACTTGTGGTGCAAGGATTCAGACAAGTTGAAGGTCTAGACTTCTTTGACACTTATTCTCCAGTGACGAGAATAACTTCAATCAGAATATTGATAGCTATTGCATCTTTGAGAGACCTGGAAATCCATCAGATGGATGTTAAAACAGCTTTCCTTAATGGTGATTTAGAAGAGGAAATCTACATGAAACAACCTGAAGGTTTTGTGACACCAGGTCAAGAACACAAAGTTTGTAAACTTGTGAAATCGCTGTATGGACTGAAACAAGCTCCAAAGCAATGGCATGAAAAATTTGACCACGTGATGATGTCAAATGGATTCAGCATCAATGAATGTGACAAATGCATTTACGTCAAGAACACTCCCAGTGGGTACGTTTTGCTGTGCTATATGTTGACGACATGCTCATCATGGGCAGTAACAAGGATATAATCCAACAAACCAAGAACATGCTTAAGAGTCAGTTTGACATGAAAGACATGGGTCTTGCGGACGTTATTCTTGGTATTAAGATCACAAGGACTTCTGAGGGAATCACCTTATCTCAGGAGCATTATGCTGAAAAGATACTTGAGCGGTTCAAGAAGTATTCGAATGGAACTGCGAAAACTCCAGTGGATACACAATTGCACTTGACTAAAAACTCTGGTGAAGGAGTGTCACAAGTTGAGTATGCAAGGATAATTGGAAGTCTGATGTACTTAACCAATTGTACCAGGCCTGACTTAGCATGCAGTGAATGTATTAAGCCGCTACACAAGCAATCCTGGTCATACACACTGGAAAGCCATAACAAGAGTGTTAAATTATGTGAGACACACTAAAAGTTATGGATTGCACTATGGTAAAGAACCTGCAGTCTTGGAAGGATACAGTGATGCTAACTGGATATCGGACTCAAAGAACTCAAAATCCACAAGTGGATATGTCTTTACACTAGGAGGTGCAGCAATATCTTGGAAATCTTCCAAACAAACTCTACTGGCAAGATCAACAATGGAATCTGAGTTCATCGCTTTAGACAAAGCAGCAGAGGAAGCAGAGTGGCTTCGGAATTTCTTGGAAGATATTCCTATGTGGGAGAAACCAGTACCGGCACTGCGTGTACACTGTGATAGCCAGTCGGCTATAGCCCGGGCACTGAATACTCTCTATAATGGTAAATCTCGTCATATCAGGAGACGACATAAAACCATTAGACACTTGATCACAACCGGTGTAATCTCGGTCGATTACATTAAGTCAGCTGATAACCTAGCGGATCCGTTTACAAAAGGTTTGACAAGAGATCAAGTTTTGAAATCATCTAAGGGAATGGGTCTTTTGCCTATGACAAAAGAGGATGTTTGATGGACACCCAACCTTCGCGATTGGAGATCCCAAAAGGCTGGTTCAAAGGGACAACTAAATCAAACAGAATCTGTTTACAGCACTGCAAGACAATATGTCTGAGCCCAGCTCCCAAAATGATGCACAGTGCTTCCTGTAAGTTTAAAGGATAAGCGTTGCTTTTAATGATATGAGTAGCTTTCATATATACAAGGAGTACTAACAGGATACTTTTCTTATATGACAGGAGCTCAATGAAATCACCTAGTGAGTGTGAAATGCGGCCGTTTCTAGGAGGATGAAGTCAGGCTATATTCTCTAAGTTCACTCATGATCAACCAGGAAAAGTTCAAGGCCACAATGAACGCAATAGAGAACTAAGTTCTACGAGAAAATGAAGCTGGGTTATAGCTGTTGTCTCGGTTTACATAAACATCCGGGTGGTTCAAGACATCGTGTTCACCTCCTGGCTAAGTAAACCCGACAGTTATTAACAGTGATTAGTTCAAGGCTGAAACATGCTACTACATCATATACAGTTAATTTTCGCTTATACTCTCGTAAAGTCCTTCTGTCAGTCTCTAGAGTCTGCATTATAGTCTTTCGAGTTAGTAGAGTCTGCATATGTTTTAGAGTCATTTCTATTCATGTGGGGGATTGTTGGAACCAAATTTTTAAGCCAAATGGGCTGAATAAAATTGTGGACAAGTGTGAAAAGAAATGGGCTTAGGCTCATGTAAAATTAATGAGAAAGTTAAGTGAGTTAAATGAAGGAGCACTTCATTTGTCCCAAATTGGAAAAAGGAATAATGTCAAGAATAAATCTTCTAGAAACTTCTAGAAAGATTGAGTTCAGTTTCTGTTTGATAAACAAGAAATTAATAATGGAATTCTTCCTTATCCCTTAATGGAATTATTCATTATCCTTTAATGGAATTATTCCTTATCTCTTTTGGTAAACATCAAAAAAGGATATTTCCTCCTTGGAGAGCAAGTCTCCTATCACCTATAAATAAAGGGCCTCACCCCTCTCATTATTTATTCACCAATTCATTCAATCATTGATTCATAAATCAACACTCCAGCAAATCTCTCACATCTCTTCCTTTCTTCTCTAAAAGTAAGTCTCGAGAGTATAGCGTAGTTATTTAGTTCGCATATTCTGTAGTTGGGTGTTGCAACTATAGTCTCACACAGTTGTATCCTGGGATTCAAAAGTCTCATCAAAACCGCCACACTGCGGGAGATTTATTGAGTTAAGGAAAGAGATAAAATCTCGCCTCTGTGTATTCGTCTGTTTTTCAATCGGATTTCTTACTATATATTATTATTATATAAGAATTTCATTCGTATTTTTCAATCTAGATTTTCGCGGTCCTACATGGGTTGCGATTCGAGCATCGATATGGGTCACGTAATGACCCTCTACCGTCCATGATAACCGCAGTAAGATAACTGAGCCTGATTTTGGTTCTAATAGGTTTGGCTCATTGATCTCTATCGAAGGAGAAGGAGACTCGACGGATTCCGACAATGAGTCGGGTTCGTTGGAACTTATGACACCTTCGGAAAGGATCCTTCGGGAAAGACCAGTAAAACCATCAACAAAAGCTAAAGAGATGCAGGCTAAGGCTCGTGGACGGGGAAATCGAGGACGGGGAAGTCGAGGTGGACGTGGCTAGACGTATCCGTTCTTAAGCACTAAAGTCGGTTGAAGCGGAAGATTCAATTGCCTATGGTTCATTATGTTCCCATATCTTTTCACTTCTTTATCCTACTTTTAAAAAAACTATGTGACTACTACTATGGTATGGTCATGGCTTGTGTAACCAATGTTTTTAATAAAGTGGCATTTAAAAAAAAAAAAGATATCGCGAGACGATCATATCTTACAAGCCCTCTGACCCGGAACTAAAAGACATGACAGTTTCTCTACCGGATATACCCTACGGTTCCAAGATCCAAAGCTTGGCCATGTCCTCTTTACCTAACCGTGACAAAGATTGGGTAGTGTGCGTCAAGTTATCCGGATCTCGGTTGAGTATCTGCAGGCGTTTTGGCAGCTCTAAATGGATCGACATCAAATCCATGGCTCCGTCTATGGACCCTCTATCTACTCTCACGTTCTCCAGAAGATATGACAGTTTCTACATTCCAAGTCCCGGAGGCAACTACTTGTGCCATTTGGATGAAAAATTCGAGGACCTCGAGTTCGTCCAGTTGGGTTTTGACGATCTTCCAAAGTCTGTCTTGCAGGAGTCGGCAGAAGTAAGTACATGTTCAAGGTCAGACCACCCTGTGGAGTCACCCACCGGCGACTTTTTCCTCGTCAAGTGGTATAGTATCTAATTAACGTATATACAAAATTCGAGTTTTAGGTGAAAGCCAAACATATATATGTTATGGTCTGCGCTTGAGTATCATATTGTCTCTATCATGTCTTTTGCAGGTACAGTGAGGACTCGGTGGAGTACAGTTCCGACGACGACGAGCTGTCAACACTGACGTCAGAAACAAAAAAGTTCATGGTGTTTAGAATGGGGATGTCTTCGTATTCATGGACAAGGACTATGATCTACACAGAAGACATTGGAGATCTTTGCATTTTTCTTGGCCATAGTGAGGCTTACTGCATTCCGGCAAGCTCGTCCCCTGGACTCAAGCCTAACTGCATCTACTTTGTGGGCCGAAACTTTGGTGTTTATGATCTCACCACCAAAACTTGCACTACCTTCTACGGAAAAGATGACCATCCATTAAGGAAAACGAAATTCCCTTACTGGCCTTCTCTTAATTAATTAACAATCGCTGTTGCTCCTTTCTTTGCTTCACTTATGTCATCGGTGTCTTCGCTTTTCCATGCTATCGTTTGAATCCAATCTTCTCTTTTCACGTTTTTCCTTCAATGAAATTTACTCTCTCTTTTTTTTTTTTTTTTTTTTTTCCGTTCCAACAAATATACTATACGTAACTTTCAGTTTCATATTTACATTATTATACACCACTCAAATGTTCGTGTGATGTGGTCAGGTATTGTTTGAGTTCGAAATCGAGAAGCCTCTTTGATGTGTTTAAACTTTACTAGTCACTTTGATATTATCGGATGTCTTTTATTAGATTTGGTTGGCTCTTGTACCATTTGATTGATCGACTCCTTTTTTTATTGTGTAACTTGTATTCAATTTTAAAGGCTTTTTTTTGGTTCAATATGATTATCAAAGTTTAGCATGGAAAACAAATATACCAGCGATAAATGTCACGTAGACACAATACCTTAGATGGGTGTCATTTTTTCTTCTTCTTCCGTAAATAGATTATTCTCTAGATATTCATATTTAGTGTGTGCACTTGGTGCCCAAGGCGTTCTCTCTATATGTAGAGAGGGTTGATAGAGACGCACACAGTTAGAGAGTTCAACTTTGAACAATGTCACAGCTTATTATCAGCAGACTATTTAAACCATCCATATGCAGAAATGTCCTCGTAGGGGTTTCTCTTCCCTATGGAATAATTTGATTTTTTCTTTTGTTTTTTTTCTTGTTCTTGTTTTCTCTAACTTGTTCAATGTACATGTTTATAATCATTGTAGAGACACGCAAACGTTCGTCTGTTCTCATCCACGAGCGCGTCTGACTCGGATGATGATGAAACTACGGGGAACGGGCTTTTCTATTCCAGAACTCCCTACCCGTTTCTGTTTATTGACCACATCCTTAACAATCCAGACTCTCCGGACGGTCTGGTAAAAAAATATTACAACAACGTCGACAAGCTAGGTCGTTCCATGGGAATCATCATCAATGACAAGACACTCGTGGAAGAGGTATGTAATGCGATGACTGCCGGGTTTTCACGTGATGGGTTGCGATTCGAGCATTACGGAGACAACGGGTTCAGTATCTCTTACAAGCCCTCTAACCCCAAACTTAAAGACATGAAAGTTTACCTACCGGATCTACCCACCGGTTCCAAAATCCAAAGCTTGGCCATGTCCTCTTTACCTAAGCGTGACAAAGATTGGGTAGTGGGCGTCAATTTATCCGGATCTCGGTTGAGTTTCTGCAGGCCTTTTGGCAGCTCTAAATGGATCGACATCAAATACATGACTCCGTGTGTGGACCCTCTATCGACTCTCATGTTCTCCAAGAGATATAAAAGTTTCTACATTCCAAGTTCCGGAGGCAACTTCTTGTGCTTTTTGCAAAAACAATTCGAGGAACTCGAGTTCTGCGACTTGCGTTTTGACGATATCGATCTTCCAAAGTCTTTCTTGCAGGAGTTGGCGGAAGTAAGTACATGTTCAAGGACAGACCACCCTGTGGAGTCACCCACCGGCGACTTGTTCCTCGTCAAGTGGTATAGTATTTAATTAACATATATACAAATTTCGTTGGTGGGTTTTAGGGTGAAAGCGAAACATATCTATGTTATGATTTGTGTACTTGAGTATCATATTGTCTCTATCATGTCTTTTGTAGGTACAGTGAGGACGTGGAGAGGGAGGATGAAAACGACAGCTGGATGTCAACACTGACGCGGGAAACAAAAAAGTTCATGGTGTTTAGACAGGAGGAGGCAGATCCGTGTTGTATGCATGAGAAGACTATGATCTACACAGAAGATATTGGAGATGTTTGCATTTTTCTTGGACATAGTGAGGCTTACTGCGTCCCGGCAAGTTCGTCCCCTGGACTCAGGCCTAACTGCATCTATTTTGTTGGCCGTAACTTTGGTGTTTATGATCTCACCACCAAAACTTGCACTACCTTCTACACAAACTTGCCCGCCTGTCCTGGCTACGATAAGCATCCATTAAGGAAAACGGAATTCCCTTACTGGCCTTCTCTAGTTCCTCTCTAGCATCGCTTAATTAATTAAGAATGGGGCTGTTGCTCGTTTCTTTGCTTCACTTATGTTATCGATGTCTTTGCTTTTCATGCTATCATTTAAATCCAAATAATTATCTTTTCATCTTATGCAAATTTTTTCCCGATTCCAACAAATATACTATACGTAGCTTGCCTTTCAGTTTCATATTTACATAATACACCCCTCAATGTTCGGGTGATGTGGTCAGGTATTGTTTGAGTTTGAAATCGAGAAGCCTCTTTGATGTGTTTAAAATTTCCTAGTCACTTTTATATTATCGGATGTATTTTATTAGATTGGGACATTGGGTTGGCTCTAGAGCATAAAAAACCTTCAAAGTGGCAGTTATTTTAAACCTCGAGAGTTTTTAACTAGCAGTTTAAACTTTCAATCAAACTGAAAATTTTAATACAAATAGTCTTCCATCTTACACTTATATTCTCTTACACTTATAAGTACAAATATAAGTGTCAGATAGATAAAAGACTATTTGTGTTAAAATTTTCAGTTTGATGGTTTAAACGGTTAGAAACTCTCAAAGTTTAAAAGTGTAAGTGACTGCCACTTTGAATTTTTTTAATGCGATTTTCCCTTTTTCATTGTGTAACTTGTATTCAATTTTACAAGGCTTATTTTTCATTTGGTTCAATATAATTAATCAATTATGATTGTCAAAATTTAGCATGACTGTATCATCATCTCCTTTTTGTTAGCTAGGAAAACATATATAACAGCGATAAATGTCACGATAGACACAATTCCTTAGATGGGTGTCATTTTTTCTTCTTCTTCCGTAAATAGATTATTCTCTAGATATGATATTTAGTGTGGACTTGGTGCCCAAGGCGTTCTCTCTATATTAAAGTGTAGAGAGGGTTGAAACTTGAAAGAGACGCACACAGTTAAAGAGTTTCAACTTTGAACAATGTCACAGCTTATTATCAGCCGCCTACTTAAACCATCCATCTCCAGAAATGTCCTCGTAAGGGTTTCTCTTCCCTATGAAATTATTTGGTTTTTTCTTTTGAGTTTTTTTTTTTTGATCTTGTTCTCTCTAACTTGTTCAATGTACATGTGTATAATCATCATTGTAGAGACGCGCAAACGTTCGTCTGTTCTCATCCACGAGCGCGTCTGACTCGGATGATGATGAAACTACGGGGAACGGGCTTTTCTATTCCAGAACTCCCTACCCGTTTCTGTTTATTGACCACATCCTTAACAATCCAGACTCTCCGGACGGTCGGGTAAAAAAATATTACGACGACGTCGACAAGCTAGGTCGTTCCACGGGAATCATCATCAATGACAAGACACTCGCGGAAGAGGTATGTAATGCGATGACTGCCGGGTTTTCACGTGATGGGTTGCAATTCTGGCGTTACGGAGACAACGGGTTCAGTATCTCTTACAAGCCCTCTAACCGCAAACTTAAAGACATGACCGTTTATCTACCTGACCTACCCACCGGTTCCAAGATCCAAAGCTTGGCCATGTCCTCTTTACCTAACCGTGAAAAAGATTGGGTAGTGGGCGTCACGTTATCCGGATCTCGGTTGAGTATCTGCAGGCCTTTTGGCAGCTGTAAATGGATCGACTTCAAATCCAGGAATCCGTGTATGGACCCTCTATCGTCTCTCATGTTCTCCAAAAGATATAAAAGTTTCTACATTCCAAGTCCCGGAGGTAACTTCTTGTGCTTTTTGCAAAAACCATTCGAGGAGCTCGATTACTGCGACTTGGTATTTGGCGATCTTCCGAACTCGGTGTTGCAGGACTCGGCGAAAGTAAGTTCATGTTCAAGGTCAGACCATCCTGTGGAGTCACCCACCGGCGACATTTTCCTCGTCAAGTGGTATAGTATTTCATTAACATATATACAAATTTCGTTGGTGGGTTTTAGGTGAAAGCGAAACATATCTATGTTATGATCTGTGTACTTGAGTATCATATTGTCTCTATCTTGTCTTTTGCAGGTACAGTGAGGACGTGGAGAGGTACGAGAACAACGAGAGCAATATGTCAACACTGACGCGGGAAACAAAAAAGTTCATGGTGTTTAGACAGGAGGAGACAGATTCGTGTTATATGTATGAGAAGACTATGATCTACACAGAAGACATTGGAGATCTTTGCATTTTTCTTGGACATAGTGAGGCTTACTGCGTCCCGGCAAGCTCGTCCCCTGGACTCAGGCCTAACTGCATCTATTTTGTTGGCCGTAACTTTGGTGTTTACGATCTCACCACCAAAACTTGCACTACCTTCTACACAGACTTGCCCGCCTACTCTACTTTCCCTAAGCATCCATTAAGGAAAACGGAATTTCCTTACTGGCCTTCTCAAGTTACTCCCTAGCATCTCTTAATTAATTGAGAATGGATGTTGCTCATTTCTTTGCTTCACTTATGTTATCGGTGTCTTTGCTTTTCAATGTTTTCATGCTATCATTTAGATCCAAATATTCTCTTTTGAAATTTACGACTTCTTTTTTTCCGATTCCAACAAATATACTAGTAGCAGCGACTTATCATTTCATAAGCAAACCTGCGGTTACTTGTCAGTCAAGTAACCGATTTTATATTACTCGTGCATTTGACGGTTTTATAGTGGCGGGTTCTTAATCACAACTCAGACCACTCCATTTTTATAATAAGAGGCAATCAAGTGTTGAACAATAGACTGAAAAACAAAAATAGACAGAGAGACACACAAAAAGAAAAAAATCATAATTTATGAGGCCAAAGTGCCAAACAAAAGCTAAGAAATCATCATTGGTAATTGTTGTTTGTCTAGTAGAAAGAATGAAAGAATAACACCTGAATTAATCAAATTAAACACTGAAACCAAGAGAGAGAGAGATTATTAAGTGAGATGTTGTAACTCTAGAGGAGCATATGATGATGGTTGTTCTGCTGCGGACCTGCTGAGCCTGGCGGAGGCGGAAGGGCAAGGAAATCTCCAAAAGGATTAGAAGGAGAAGGACCTGCAGCCGAGAACTGATGCTGATGTTGATGATCTTGAGCATTTGAGTAATTATTATAGGGACTTTGATGCATCATCATCATCTGCTGTTGCTGTTGTTGCATTGCCATTTGAACATTAGTGGGAGGAGCAATGTTATTGGACATTGCAAAGGGATCTTGTTGCATCTCGAATGGGTTTGGTGGTGCTGCTCCTGCTGTTTCTGTGCCACCATGTCCATATCCAGCGTTGGTTAGTTGGATCTGTCTCCTCGCTGAGGCATCCTCGTACAGACTGTCAAGCAATAGCGTGTCGAATCCTCCTGCCTATAAACACACCAAGAGAGAACAAACCTATGTGAGTAGAAACAGAGAGATTCAAATTTTGATAGATGTTGTGTTAGACTTAGTTACAAGTTTGGTGTCAGAAGCAGGACGAGGAACGTTGTTGTTGTTGTTCTGAGGAGTGACTAGTGCCAGTTCCCAACCGGAACCACCGGTTTCGATTAAGCTTAAACTGTTTGATGGACCTTGAGCTTCATGACCTGCAGAGACCAATAACAACTTCACCATCTTTATTTCTCCTCAGATAGTGTTTAAAGAAAGTCTCTATATTTGGTCAAGAATCAATCTACAAGTGGAAACAAACCATATGGAACACATTTTTGCTACCTGGTGGATATATTGCGAGAGCCAATGCATTGCGGTCCTCTATCTCTGTGGCTTTTGGATTTATCTCACTCAAGCCCTGTGAAGGAGAAGGAAAGGTAAAGGAGGTCTGAGACCTAATTTGGCCAAAAGAAATATCGGTTCATAAGATGTTGTGTAGTAAGAAGATTGACCAGCAAGTCATCTGTGTCTATCAAGAATGAAGGCTTAGTAGCTTCTTCTTCTATTTTTTCTTCTTCCTCTTCCTCATCTTCGATAAGTGGCTGGTCATCTTCAGTGTTTTCATTATGATTTTCGGCTTCTGCAGGTTCTTCAGTCTGTGGAGAGTCTTCTTCTTCTTCTTCCTCTTCTTCCTCATCTTTTTCCTGATACTCCTGTTACCACAATGAAATGCCAATCATGCATACGGAAACTTACTAATCAAACAACCTAATATGATGAGGGTAAACTTTCTTTATACCAGCTTTTTCTGTACAGAACCACTTTGAGGCGCTTCTTTAATGTAATCTTCCATTGTTGCAAGAAATGACGGAGGAGGCTGAAACAAGTTTTTAGATATTAGGTCTTTTGATGTTGAAACAATCTCAATTCATATAAATTAATTAAGAACGAACCTGTCTCAAGGTTGGAAATTGAAAGTTCCTGGCAAGCTCTAGACCTTTGCAATACTCATAAAAATCAGCCAGATTTTCAGCCTGTGCAGTGAAAAAAAAACCTTTTCAACAGTCAAGCTTAGTGAAGATTTTGGGAGTTAGTCTAGCTTTAGAGCTTTACCTGTTGACCAGCTCGTTTGTATATATTTAGAGCTTTAACTGCATCATGTCTTGTCATCTCAAAGAACTACATCAAGAACAGAGAGAGAGATACTTAAGTAACATTCAAAATGGAAGCAAACTCACACTAAAAACAGAGAAATTAAAGGAGATTTTTACAAACAAACCATGTCTACAAGATTAATGATTCCATCATTAATGGCACAGTATATTTTGAAGCTTTCTTTAAGCACCAATGCAAGAGCGTATTGGATCAGGTAATTGCTATAGGCTGATCCTTCTGGCTGCAAGAAAACTGAAAACATATTAAGAAATCTTTTAATGCAAAAAGCCAGAAAAGAAAAGGTAGTGGAAAGATTATAGTTTTGGATATACATAAGTTTACCTTACAACCAACAAGCCTGTAGAGAAGTTGCTGCAAAGCAGGTAAATGCTCTAGCAATTCTTCATCAGAGAGCCTCCTTGTTCTATACGTTGCATTGAAATCCGCGTTCTAGACAATGAATTTGTCACATAAATAGTCAGTGTCTACATTTTAGATTCACATTTTGTTGGTTTCTAAAAGGTGAGGAGTTAATAACAAACCTTTGAAGTTGCTCCTGAACCTTTTGGTAAACGCTCTGCCTCTATGTCATACTTCAAAACACGATAGCATTCGAGCCGCTCTTCAAGGAAAAGCGCGTACGTTCTTATCCATGCAGAGCAATCCCAAGCTGCAACAAAAAGTTACAAGAACATGTGTTTAGCAAGTTTCATTAACATACCAGTTAGCTAACGGAAGAAATGGTTTATATGCACTCACCAAGAGGACTTGTGTCGTCTTTGAAGTTAGATATTCGAAGAATGTGTCCTCTGTGTGAGTAGTTAAGAAGCTCTTCTCTGAATGTTGGATCACCTTCTCTTAGTGTTCTGTGAATTACTATCAACACTTTGATTGCCACCTACGCGTTGTAAAAAGCAATTTAGAGCAAGCCAAAAGATAATTTATAGATTGAAAAAAAAAGGGTTTTTGTTTTTTGAAGTGGAGTAACTCACAACCCAATTGTGAGTTTTGGACAATCTCTTGGCTAGTGCGTGAATGCAGTAAGCAACATCTGCTCTTGGTCTTACTACAGATGTTGCTGAGAATACTTCTGCATAAAGATGAATAAAACAGAAATATCAGAATACTCTTATCGAATCAGAGACTCTATCAAATTAAAGGATTTTGGAGAATTTAGAAGCAGAGGAAACTATACTGCGAATGTGTCGTTCTTTGGGAGCAGATTCGACGTGATTTGTGGCCTTGACGATCGCAACATCCAAATCCTATCTCGATTTTAAATCGGTTATTACAGAATTTTCAAGCACAAACCAAAAAAAAAGTTGAAATTTCAAAATGTAATCGTCTGACCTTGAATTCGCTGTTGACCTTTGCGATGCTGACGGTGGTGGAATCTTTGAGCGCTCCGACGGCTTTCCGGAAGCTGTGAAACGTTGCCATTCGAGAGATGGAACGGAATCTGGGAAAGTGGTCGGTGATTCCGGCGATCACCGGAGTTGTGAGACGATCTGTTGTTTTAGGATGCGATAAGGATTTGAAGAAGACGAAGACCAAGTTTTTTTGGGGTTTGCTCTGTTAGTCGCCTTTTACAACAAACAGAACACAATAACAGACTTTTCCACAAGCTCCTCTCTCTCTCTCTTCTCTCTCTCTCTCTCTTGCCTCACCATGACGTGCGTAACAGAATATTTTGATGATCTGGTGATTTTATTTTCCTTTTTGGTCATTGTTTATTTTTCTACAAAAAATAGGCAATAGATTTTAGTGATTAATTTCTGGCAATATTATCTTAGCATTAACAGATATCGTATATTCCTATAATCGGATGCCAGACTGCCAGTTATCAAACTTTTCTTTTATTTTGGTATAGAGTCTATAGAGACATTAGATTATCGATTTGTCAAAGTGAAATCCACTTACCTCTCTGTAATTTTTGTATGACAGGTAATATGATCTCAAATGGCTTTTTTTATAACCGATTTAGACATATACCGACAGTTATCACCTTTGATATTAAAAAAAAAAAGTTATATTACAAAACTGACTATTATTGCACTCCATTCTTATTGCATGTCGATTCAATCCTTACTGATTGTGATTGGGTCATATTTGTCAAATCTTCTAGCTTACCGGATATATCATTGCATGTTTTGTTCCAAAATACTCATTTCTCATAGTTTTCTTAATGTAATGAACAAGTAACATTTTGCTAAATATATAACTTGTGCTCAGAGTCCAGAAAAGATAACAAAATTACCAAACATTGCATTTATCTTCTTTTTTTTGGGTGTAAACATTGCATTTATTTTGCATGCATCCCTTTGCATTTATTTTTATTTTTTGGCAAATATACTTTGATCTAATGTTTGTTTTTGTTTCCTCATGTAAATGTGTCTGTATACGCATATGGACTATATAAGTATACGGCTCGATTGTGCGCATAGGCATCCGCTGACCAAGAAACTGGATTACTCAAGAATCAAAACGATTTTATTATCAAGAAAACAAGTTACTAAGAGGTGATCAGTGGATTGAGAATCATGCTCCAGCAGTAGTGGTAACATACTTGATGAGCATCTTGACAATCTCTTTAGAGACCTTTGAACCAGAGCCCTTAAGGTTCTGAATCCTTCCATCTGTCTCCTCTTCTAATCGTTTTGCAGCTGCTTCCTGATCCGTCTGAAACAAAAAAAAAAAAGGGTAAAGAATAAGTAACAAATCAAGATCTCAGTAGCTAGTTTTGTTGTTGGTGCTTATTACCCCAGAAACTTGTTTCTGATAATCTTCTTCTAATCTGGATCGGTACTCTTCCATCTCCTTCTCAGCCTCGTCTTTCGCTTGCTTCATTCTAGCTAGCTTTGCTGATCATCGATCAAAACAAAGAAAAGGATTCAAAACAAACCTCTTACTAGCCAATTACAAACCTTAAAAGAGAAAGACTGACTATACCGGTCCTAGCAGCCGATACTATCCGTCCGGCTTCTTGTTCAGCTGTTAAAAGCATCTGAATGCCACCTTGGCCTCTTAGAGAATCCATGGCTTGTGTTCTCCTCAAAGACGATGAAGACTTGTGTTTATACTTTTTGCAAATTTTGATGCCAGATATGGAATTTGTTGATATAAGCGTCTTTGTTTATGGTTTTAATTAGACAGAGAGATTTTTTCTCCTTGGTTCATGGAGTTCGTTTTTGACTCATTATTTTGAAATTGGAATGGGTTAAAAAAAATAAATAAAAACATTGCATGATCCCCGGATCGGTGTAGATTTTTAAGATTTAAAAAATGTTGTGTGAAACAAAATTACTAAACTGCGAGATAAAAGGGATCGCAACATGACTCTAACTAAAGATGATTATAAACATAAAACACATTCTCTAGGCCTTTATGATCATGAAAGAGGCTCAACAGACAAGGTTGCTTTATTTTTGGGCCAACCACTTATCTACATGTTTCTAATCCCCAAGTCCCCAACCCTGAATGTGTCAAAATAACCAGCTAACAAATCAGCAAAAAGTATTTATCAGGTAGGCCATTAATTAATAACCAGCTTAATTACGTCATTTCACTGATATATATATAAATGGAAAATGAAAGCAGAATGCCCAAAATGTATAAAAATCATACACATGCACATGTATCATTATAGTTTGCATTTAATCTTCGACCACGCATGCATTCCCTCTTTACAAAAAAAAAAAGGGTTTCACATCCAATTATAAATATATCAACATAACAAGTCGTTCGAGTTGAAAAATAAAGGAGATTTGGTTTTCTTTATTTGATCTATTTGTAACGATCATGTAAAAATATCGTCAATTTTACGCCATATGATGGTGATCAATAGGACGTGGTTGTTTTCGGTTATCATTATAGCGTCTTGTGTTCTTAGATTCAAAGCGGTGCTAGTAATCGCGGCCGGAGCGGTGGCAATAATTGCTTTTAATGCGGCGATGGTTTGGTTAAAGGTTTGGTTGCTGTTCAGATGCCATACTTTGATGTTTTTGTCTCCTTTTAGTTTGTTGTTTTTAGTTGTTCTTGTACAGAAATATTCTTGAATTGCCCAGAGCTAAATATTTTTGTTTCATATAAGGTTACTGAAACTTAAGAATAAGACAAACCCACGGAAATAATTAATGTAAATTAGTTTGAGCGTGATCATTGGTTTCTTTTGAGAATCCTAAAAAGTATAAGTCGCACATTTGTACAAGGGAGTAGGGACTTGCATGTTTCGAAGGTCCTGCTCTTGCAAGAGAGAATTTACTAACTTAAGAATGTATAATAACGAAATAACGAATACATAAAAAAGAATAACATCATGTACGTAGGTATAAATCATAAAGGTATAAATCATAAAGATATCACATGATCTTAGTGATATTAAACAAAGCAGGAGCTTCCCCGATTTCATTTTCTTGGAGTTAAATGTCCCTCACAAAGTAAACCCTATTTAATTATATTTGGTATAGTTTTATTCACATATTCATTATCAACAAACAAATTATTCCAAATTGCAAACAAATATATATATATATCAATTTCTTCAAAGTTACCACTTTTGAATAAATTGAAGTAAGAATTGGTATCCATGCATATATATAGGATCAAGCTACTGATGATACCTTGTCAAATAATGTGATTCCAATTGTTATGTGTGGATTAAACTGGATTATATGGAACTAGTCGTCTAGACGTGTACGATACTTCTTACATGTATTTATTAGACTACAATAAAATTTTACATTAATAATTATATTTTTAATCACATATTCCGAAAATATAAAGTGATGGGGTACAATATATTTTTCGTCACCCGGAAACCAACCATGCATGTGCATTGTGCAATTATTAAGAAAATAAACCAGCAACAACTTTGGGTAAAAATAAAGCCTATATATAAGAAAAACAATAACATAATAGCAACTATCCATCAGCTAATAACAAGTGATGTTAAGAAATAAAAATAAAACATAGACTAAATTTCCACCTAAGATAGAGATCGAAGTCGTTAAATGTCATGTCACTCCAGAATTTACATAGCGACGTTAACTTGCAGAGATTTGTGTAATATTTAAGGTTCTCCTCCATTTTTCGAGAAAAAAAAAGAAAAAAAAAACATTATTTCAAGTACACCCGCTAGAAAAATATCAAATTTCGATCACTTTCACCTAGGAGAAAAAGTAAGGTTAAATATGTGAAAGAGTCAAATCAAGAGAATATATGAGACGCCATATCTCATACGTACGTAACAATATAACAACTGCGTCGAACCCTAAGACTAAGACTTTTTTTTTTTGAAAAAGGCATACCCTAAGACTAAGACTTGGTCACTTCACTATGCATCATCGCGACCAGCCAAAAAACATGTTATGCTCGAAAACTGGATCCCACCACAATATAATATCAACAGTCATGAGCACAACAACTAACTCGGATAATTCTTTCGTCTTCTCGTCTTTGTGTCCTTTCTTTTGAACTTTTTTCTTTCTCTTACAAGTTACAACTGGAGCTACAAAACTCTATATATATATATATTGACCTAGCTGTAATATATATACACGTTTATAGGATATTTATTAAGATATGGTGAACAATATGTTAAGAACCCAAAATAATGTTTAGAACTTTTTTTAATCATGTACTATATGGATGTAGAACAAATGAACAATACATAGAAGGGTGACAATTGTCTTATTGAATCTCAGTCCAGCGGACATCCACGTATGTATCTAAAGTCAAAACGGGCATGTGAACGCGTTTTAACATAAATGCAATCACTATGACATTATCTAGACTTATAATACTAATTTCCTTTTTATATCACTTTTAACAATTTTTGGGGGCGATGAGTTGAGAGGGGTGGACATTTTAATTTTTGTTTAATATAGATAGGATTGGGTTGGTAGGTTCGATTTTTCTAGTCAAAACTTAAATGGACTCTAACCGAAATTATTTCGGCTCGGTACAATATTCTAGTTAGAGTTTGTATTCATCTAGTTGACATGTTTTGCATTAGATATCGTGGCGCGATGACGACTATTAGCGACATATTTTTGTTGTGTGAGCATGCGACCATAATGTGTTCATGTGGCTTTCAACACCAAAAAAAGTAGACCAATTCACCAAATGTTTTTAGAGATAATAAATGATTTCGATAACCGGAAAGGTAGAGCTACCATGACAATTATATCATCAACATATGTAAACGTAACTAGTGATTTGTAGAAGAAGAAAGAAGCATCAAGAAGAGAATTCAGAAATCCAACAGACAAACGATAATTGTAGTTTCGTGTCCAGCCAATCTAAAAGAGTGTTCTTGTATTTGCATTTTGGTACAAAATCAAATTAATTTTGTAGTATAACAATTCAAAATGAAATCGATAGTGAGTGCATTTTGATGCATCATAGAGTCGTATGATGTATACACTACAAATAAAATATTGATCAATTATGTCTCTAGGCGTTGACTACAAAGTTTTCATAAGTCTCGTACTCTAAAATCGACACTTGTTCCTTTTCACTAGTATTAAAATAACAAACCGTGAAGACTTCTGCGAATACCAAATTTATACCACAAAAAATTACCAGTGTAGTTCGACAGAAAATTAAAAACAATCCAAAATAGCGAGTGATCAAACATTATTAGAGAGTTATTAATTAGGGTCATACAAACACACACACACAGTGAAACAGCTTCACACCAAACAATTATCGCTGAAACCAATAAACTTGGTCTTATATGTCTTCTCTCATTAAATGTCCTCTCCCTCTCTCATCCTCTTCCTCTCTAACCACTTTCCCCTTAAGTTCTCTCTCTCTCTATTTATTTTTTCTCATTTTTTCCTCTCCAACTAAAAACACTATTTCGGTGAAAATGCAACCGTCCGGTGATCCGGCGATGGAAAAGGAGAAGGAGAAGGAGAAGGCGACACCAAAAGTGTCACTGCTTAAGCTCTTCTCCTTCGCTGATTTCTACGACTGCGTTCTAATGGCTCTCGGATCCATCGGCGCGTGTGTTCACGGCGCCTCCGTTCCAGTCTTTTTCATCTTCTTCGGCAAACTCATCAACATTATCGGTCTTGCTTATTTAGCCCCGAAACTAGCCGCTCCCAAAGTGGCCAAGGTTTTATATCTAATTATCTTTCCTCATAGCACAAATATAAACAGCTCGAAATTTCAAAGTTTTATATGTACCTAAAAAGTTTAAATTCCTCAGTAATTGAAGAAACCAACAAAATTGTTTTTTTAGCAGATCAGTCCAAATGTACTCTTAATAAAATTCGAATGAAGTGCTAATTAATTTGTTATAAATGATTGCTCGGCTTAATTTTTTTTTTTTTTTGTGCAGTACTCTTTGGATTTTGTATATCTGAGTGTGGCTATACTATTCTCGTCATGGTTAGGTAAATAATAATATTACTAAAATTACAATTCAATTTTTATCCTAACTTTTGATTAGTAAAATGAAAAAATTGAAAAATGGAAAACAGAGGTTGCATGTTGGATGCATACGGGAGAGAGGCAAGCGGCAAAGATGAGGAGAGCTTATCTCCGGTCAATGTTAAGCCAAGACATAAGCTTATTTGATACCGAAGCTTCCACCGGAGAAGTCATCTCCGCCATCACCTCCGACATCCTTGTCGTCCAAGATGCTCTCTCTGAGAAGGTACCTCTCTAAAGTCCAAACCGAATAAATTCGGTATCGAATTATTTTACTTTTTATTAATATTTGAGGTTAGTTCACTTTGACCAAAAAAATTAGGTCACTTCAATTGTTAGATTGACCAATTACTTTTTATGGTAGGTTTTTTTTTTTTTTTTTTTTTGTAGAAGCATATATCACGAAGTTTGTTTTTGTGCAAAACCTACTAAAACCTGCTAATTAAGGCATGGTCTCTTTTAAGTTAAATAATTAAGGCATGGTCTCTCTATCGTTCAAATCTATAGACATTTTTCTTTCAAGCCTATAAACATTTAGGTAGTTAAATTTAGAAATCTTTATATGGGTTGTTTTTTGCACATGGGTTGATATATATCTTC